TTTTATAATATTAATTTCTTTTAATTCTTTTATTTTATTTAACTTTTATAAATATATAAACTATAATATATATTCTATTAATTATATTAATATACCTATTAAAATAAATATTCTTTTTTAAAGTTTATATTATTTATTAAATTATTTAAATAACTTAAAATAAATAATCTTTTATATAAATCTTTAAAATATTATAAATAATTCTTTATAATCTTATTAATAATTAATTAATATAAAAAATTAATAAATATAATTCTATTAAACTTTATTATATATATATAAATTTAAAAGAATATTATTAATTAATATATTATTATTAATTACCTTATATTTTTAAAAGTATATTATTAATTAATTAAATAAAAGTTTTTTAAAATTAATTTTAATATTTAAAATATATTATAAAACTATATTTTATTTCTATATAATAACTAATTTATTAACTTATTTATAATATTAAACCTACTTTATCTTTTATTATTAATAATAATATTCTATATTAATAAAATAATACTTTATTATTATTATTAACCTTTAATAAATAATAATATATAGTTAAATAAATAACTATAAAAATAATTATTAAAAAACTAATTAATTAATTATTATAAATATATATATAAAAATTAGTTTATTAAATTATATTAACTAATTATAATTAATTTAAAAACTTTAATTTAGTAATAAAATATATATAAATCCTCTCTTAAAGTAGTTATAACTAATAGAAAGATTATAATAGAGTAAGAAGTATATACTAAGGCTTAGTTTAGTAGTATATAAATAAATAAATGTACTTATAGGTGAGAATTACTATTAAATTAGGAATAGGGGCCTCGCTAAGGCTATATCCTTACCAGAATACAATCCGTTTAATTACCCAGACCAGACTGACTTCCTTTGTGATCACGCCCTTATACCGTGTTAGGTAACACGACTTGGTCTAACGTCCCCGACATGCATCTAACCGCAGAGTAGCGGACCACAATGGACGACGCATGGTGAGTCAGGTCTTTTTGATCTATTTCTACATCGAGGTATGACCCGAGAATCCTAGCTTGGGCTGCCAGCGAGTTCTTCTGTCACGGGACAATCCCAAACAGAGCAAGGTCGGCGATAGGCACGCACAAAGACGATGAAGGATCCGCACTGAATATTCCTCCCATGAATCTAGGCCATGACTTCTGCAGCTGCATAGGAAGCTTGGTTTTATATTTTCACCCGTGATTCTTTCTCCAGAAGTGAAACCGGCACGTCGCCTGGGAGCTCCGAGACAACTCGGAGTACACATCGGGTAGATAAATTCCCCGCGTGTATTTGGAATACACGGAAACCAAATTCCAATCACTCGCACCCGCATCATCGAACCAGTTTGCCTGTTGACCAGTCTTGTGCATTACAGTGCGTCTTGGTTGCACAACATGGTTTCCGAGTCTTGATCACTACATCACTCGCTCATGGATACACAAGATAAGATATTCCTTGCTTGCCTGGGGTAGTTAGTAAATCTCGTACCAAGCCTCTGAGCAGGAATGTCGTAAGTTGATTCACTGATAATGACGGAGACATTGCGAGAGCTCAGGACTCGAATGTATGCCCTTTGTTTATGAACTGCAACTTGTCATCGGATCACATTTCTAACAATGGTACTAGACAGTAATGGCCTTTTTCGGGAGCAGACATACCACTTGCATGTAATGAAACAGATGACTGTCCAATACCCCGAGATCAGTGCATGAGTTCTGCGTATGTCCGAAGAGTTATATTGTGACGTCGGTCAGGTTCAGCCTTTGTAAAACTCTGATGAAAATTACTTGGCATTTTCTAAGAGGAGCAAAGGTGGTTTCGCTTCTATTCCGTATACGTCCGAGGACATACATGGCGCCTTCATAAGAGGAGCAAAATGCCACGTCATTACTTGTTCACCTGGTGTTGGAGCTGCCGTGGTAACTTGAGTCTCTCCATACTGCCCGTATATCTGTGAACTCCACCGTCCCTCAATTGCACATGGGTTTTTTTCAACGAGACGAAGAGCAGATTGGTATTTACAGCTTCATTGAATTTGCCAGAGGATCTCGCAGCGCTGCAAATGTGGCCGAGTATTTTGACGAATACAAAGTATGGCGCCGTCGCCGCGGTCACACGCGATCCTGGCACGCCGTTTCGACCTTGCGTACCTTGGTAACCAGAGTGTTGCACACAATAGCAGGGTTGTAAACGGTTTGAAGACACACACACGTATCAGTTGTATAATTTAGACCTTGCTCCACCACGACATTCTTTCCTTTCCCTGCTTGACCACCCGGGCTAAATACAACAAGACCATACCAATCAAAAAGTTGATGCCCATGAAGAGCTGAGCAGCCATGTAACTTCCATTGTCAGCAGTAATGAGAGCGCCCCCAATCGGATTGCCTATCAAGACAGCGAAACTGACGACGGTGAAATTTAAACCAATTAGAGCACCTCGACTCTGCAAGTCCGGGATTAAGCTGGGTAGACTAGCTGGATACAAACTCATGATCGCACCAGCCACTATGCCGTAGAAGCAAGCCCACACATAGAGTTGATGTGGTGTATGTATCGCAATCCATGAAAACACCATTACGGAGGCCACAAGGCAAGTTGGAATCAACAAATTGAGAGGCCCCGTACGGTCTGCAAAGTAGCTGGGTAGGACTCGGCCGATCACCCCAGCCCCGTTCAAAAGGAGAACGAGGTCAAGGGAGCTTCGATATGATAAGCCGGGCTCGAGGGCCTCACGGCTATAGAGGGATATGTAGTGAAATCCATAGAAAATAGCGAGGTAGATCTATGAAGCCTGTCAGATGGGTCCGAGCGCGGTTAGGTGGCATTTAAGCATGACCGGGTCACTCACAAAAAATGTGCCAATTGTGAAGATTATAAAGTCCAAACCCTTGAAGTGAGTCAATCCAAAGCCTTTCGACATTCTTCGCGGTGGTAATCGTGACTTCAAACCAAGACAAGCACAGAGCAGAGTAGACAACTGAACGAAGCCAATGGCTCTCATTGTCCAACTGAAGCCAACAGAAGGTATCAACTGTCTTGCCATCGCTGGGAAGATGAGGCCCCCAGTGGCTCCACCACAATTGATGACCCCAATAGCCAAAGACCGCCTCTGTTGAAAATATGTAGAGACAACAGATACTGCTGGCGTTACGAGGCATCCATTGCCTATGCCACAACATAGACCCTGGGTCAGGAGCAAATGCCAATATCGAGTAGCGAATGAGGCCGCAAAAGCCCCAATGGTGATCATGGAAGTGCCGCACAGTAAGATTGTCTTCAGATAACCGGCATCAGTAAAGCGGCCGATGAAAGCCCCGACAAAGAAGGTCAGAAACAGTTGGATTGAGCCGATCCAAGCAATGTCTGCCGGCGGTCGGTCCAGGGTTGATGCATAGTACGCCTGAAATATCCCATAACTAGCAATATAGCCCCAGGTGTTCATACAGATTAGATGAGCACAGAACACTTGAATCAAATCAGCAAAAGCCTGGGCCCGGGTATGAGCGAACTAAGCAGGGGTATCTCACCGCAGAGCCATGCCCTGCGCCCTCCGTCAGGCGGGACATCATGATCTTGGCTCGGAGAAAACGCTAGCCCCGCAGCATTTGTGGTGTCCCTACTCTCAGTCATCGGTTCTCTGACTGGATGTTGCTCGACTGCTTTGTCTGGGCGGGCTCCTGGGCAGTTCTCACACCCTTCTAGCTCATTGTTCAGTTGGGATGGCATATTATAAGGCCCCATCCACTAGTAGTATACATAGAAATCTGGATCCAGGTTTTCGTTGTGATGTGTCAGTCATATTTGACTAAAACGGAACATCTTATGGCAAGTACCTATATTGATCTTACAAGAACCCGTGAACAGCCGCCATCGTAACCGATTCTACCCCCAAGTCTGACTAATAAATGCCTCGGCTGGTTCTCAACATGACACATTCCCGCGGACTAATGTCTTGGTGGTTGTGTAAAGTTTATGTTCATGGCGAGACCCACAACCCGGCACTCCCATCATGGGAGTCCCATGCACATTGAATTACTCGTCGTGGTGACCTTCCACGGCAAGTAAAGTGAGAGCTCTTGTTGGAATGCTTGTCTCGCCCCACTGGGACTCGCCTCCTTCACCGTTGCCAGATTTTCGGTTTTGCTCAACGCAAAAGTAAAATAAAATAAGATAAAAACCCAAGCGATCAAATAGAAAGAGACGCTGACCAAAATTGCCCATCCTCAGGGAGAGGCTGTTTTGGATGATGCTAAGGAAATGGACCTTCAGGTCCGTTCGCCAGGTCTGCTCAAGAGATCACGCACATCTCGGTCTCCTTCCTAAAAGGTCACAGCGGACGCTTGCACACGCACGGGAGTACTATATCACGCCATCCATACACATAGGCCCGCATCCGTTGCTCTGTATCAAAACCTTAATCACAAGTCCAAGTTACTTTCAGGGACTAGGAACTTGGTGAAAACTAAACTTGATAAAATGGATTATAGAAAATCCAGCTGCTTAAGCTCATGGTGGAGCACTGCAGGGAAGTTCACCGCCCAGGCTGTCCAGGTAGCGCCCAGATCTCAGGCATCTTCAAACAGAATTCCATTAATGGGTCACTGACGGATGCTGCGAGTGCACACCTGGTTGAAAGACCCCCTTCCCAGATCCTGATGAACCTGCCCATTCTGCCAACCCGTGACATGACCCTTGATGTCAACCTTGAGCTGCAATCTTCACCAAATCATTCACGCTAGCAAGCGAACACTATGGGGTTGATTCAAGAGAGTCTGAACCATGGAACATGCAACGGCGAAGCACCATGGTTAATAGTCACAAACACTTGTATTCCCATTTTTGCAAAGAATCAGCATGTATCAGCTCCCAGCGGCGTCTATGTATACGGCAAAGGACTTAAGTTGCCAGCCCACCGAGAGTCTCTTTCGCCATTTGATTCGGAGGCAGAGCAACCGGTCTGGGCAACCGACATGGATGTTAATAACGATGCCGTTCGTTTCAAAACGGGTGTTACGAACAACCCACCCCTTTACATGGCCCAGAACACAACTCTCAGATTTTGGGCAATCGGCACAGACATCTTCACCCTGAATGCTGCCCGGAAACACTGGAAGATGCCCATTGGGATTGTGAATCCTACAATCATCAACCGTGACAGCACGACAAGCTTTGTCGGAATATCACAACTACCGCCACACTCTTCATTTGAGTTGAAGAGGCATGGAGACACATGGCGATTCAACGTGAAGGAGCTACACGATCCTCTTTTCACCGTGCTTCAACCTCGAATCACAGACTTTCGCCAGGCCGGGTCGCAGTTCACAGAGTCTTTGAGCGCAGCCGTAGCAGCAATCACCAAGGATGAGAGCGAGGTGGCCACTTTGCTCTCCGGGGGCATCGATTCTGGTGCCGTGACCACCTTTGCAGTCCGCGCAGGCAAGAAGGTCACCGCATACAGCGCCGGCTCCCCCTGGGGAAACGAACATGAAGAGGCGCAGGAGCTTGCAGACTTCCTCGGCATTCCTCTCGTCCGCATCGATCTTTCGGCGGAGGAGATCCTGGCTGCGATACCAGCTTCCATTCGTGCTCTGGGCACAGCAAACCGCGTGGCGGTCGACGTATCACTTATCGTGTCCGCGGTGATGCGGAGGGGGGTAATCAAGGAGCAGCGTGTCCTCACGGGCTACGGGGCTGACCCTTTGCTGCTGGGCCTACCACCCAAGTCAGTCGAGGTTGAAGCGCTGACGGAGGAAATCATCTCTGAAGTTGACCTCGCTCGTCACTGCTGCGAGCTGACGGACGCCGTGGCGCGCACGTGGAACAAGAAATTGTCCCACCCATTCTGGCACAGTGATGTGATCAAGCTGGCGGTGGACATTCACCCACACTGCAAGGTCCATGAGGGCCGCGAAAAGGCATTCTTCAGAGCTGCCATGGAACAATACATGCCGAAGCACTGCGTCTGGCGGCAGAAAATCGGAATCCACCTTGGTGGGGGATTGCAGGGGGGCCTGGACACTTATTTTGGAGGTGTGGATCAGAAGACCAAGGTGTATGCTGGGATTTTCGAATCTGTTGCCGAACGGCTTGTGCGGGACCCATTGGCGAAGATTGATGACTTGTACCCGAAATGTAACTAAAAGCTCTTTGATGTTTGCTTTGAACCTTGTGCACGCCTCGCTTGATGTTTTGAAAAGTTCATGTTGATTTTGCAATGCTGTGACGCCGAAAAGCGCATGGCAATCACAGCATGATACATCAAAGATTCTTGCAGATAAAAATTACGAGTCTCGTCGTAGCATAACCAAGCTGGATCAGTCATTCCGTATTCTATGATAATGTATCAATTCGAAAAGCCATTCGCCCGCATCAGGCAATGAACGCCCCCCTGGCCTCCTTCGCCCTGTGATATGAAATTTGGACGCTGTCATCAAAGTATCTCTGGATGACATTCTTGATCCTCGATACCCCTTCAACGACTTCCTTCTCTGTGAGGGTGTATGCAGGCGATAGCATAATGTGGTCACCTTTCCTTTCCGGGCCTTCATGCCGTCTCAGTCTCCATGCAGGAGCAGCGTAGAATCGAACGCACGCATCATTCCGAACAAAATAGTCCTCTTCTCCAAACGCGGCAAGCTCCGCAGAGACCTCATGAGCCCATGCTCCTCCGTCATCATGCTGAAGCTCAACCCCCCAGAACAGGCCTCGTCCACGAATGTCAGTCACGTTCGACAGACCACTGAAATTGTGTCTGATCTCTCGCTCAAGACGCTCCCCGATTTTCTGGATATGGCCGATCTCAAGTAGTCTCTGTATCTCCATTTGGGTGGCAAACGCAGCAGCGCAGACAGCGGGGTGAGATTGGTAAGTGAAGCTGTGGATGAACTTTGGGCTACAAGACCGTGTTAGTGAGGTTCATTCAGAGGGCCTTTCTCAACCCACCCTAGACCTTCTGCTATCTTTTTGTTCACGATCATACCAGCAGCAGGCATTATTCCCGCCGCGAGACACTTGCCCACCATTTGGATGTCCGGAGCGACGGTCTCGAGTGCGCGCTCATCCTTTACAAGATGGCGGTGCCCGTTCATGGCGCGCCTGGCTTGATCCAGTTGAGCCTGGTCGTGATGCCATGCATGCATGCTACCCGTCCGTCCCATTCCACACATCACCTCGTCGTACACTAGGATGATATCATTGCGTCGGCACAGCTGCTTCAGCTTTGCCAGGTACTGTGGTCCGGCGGGTTGGCAGCCGAGGGCCTACAAATTCACACTTGTTAGTATTCTTGATTTCGACGGCCAAGGTAGCGTTTTGGATAGACTCACAGCTCCCGAAACCGGTTCGATCCAGATAGCAGCGATGGTGTCAGCCCCCAAGATCTTGATCTGGTCCTCCAGGTTATTCATCAACCTGCCCACGTATTCGTCTTCGGACTCAGTGTCCAACTTGTCCCCAAAGGGATAATATCTGTCGAACTTGATGTACTCAACCTCCAATGGTTCGTCATGCATCTCATTGGTCTTCGTTTTGAGGCAGGAACGGCGCGTATCCGCACCCGAGATTCGCGACCCTGAGTCTTGTGCTGCAGGCGTCCTAGGTTTGATCAACCCTTTATAAGGGTCTTGGCGAGAGGGGAACTCGCCCAAAGACAAAGCACCCAATGTATTACCATGGTATGAGCTTTCGCGAGAGAGTATCCTTCTCTTGTTCGGCTTCCCCTGGCTTCCCCAATATTGCCAGACCGCCTTGATAGACGCCTCGGCCGCCTCAGAACCTACAGCACGTCAGTCAATAACTACCTTCGGATTGTGATTGGAGACTTACCTGAGTTCACGATGATAGCGTGGGACATTTTGGATGATTCGTCACCTCCGATGTCTTGGTACCGCCATTTTGTCCCTCCCTCGTCCTTGACAAGATATCTGTTGGCATTTCGAACCAGCAGCTCGCTCAGGTCGAAGTTGACATTGGTCTGGTACGTAGTGTGAGAAACATATGCTAGTTTCCTGATTTGTGCAACAGTCGCATCTGCAACCCTGTTGTACTCGGCTGAGGCATTCTCGCCTCCGTTCCCAAAGCACGCCACCGAAGCACCACCACAGAAATCAAGAGACCGGAATCTTTCTCCGGTCTTGTTATGTTCGAGCTCCACGTATACTCCGTCACCACATCTAGCATTGTGATAGCTGGTGCTGAGATTCCCAAGGTCATGTGAGAGACGATCCATAGGCCTAGCGTCACCCATTTTTAGTAATTGCACAGATGTTCTTGTGCGTGTTCGTAACAAATTCTAGTAAAGACCTGACTCTGTACGACCAATGTACGTAATTCGGATATCAGTAAGTAATTACTAGTAGTCTAATATACCTACGTATTCACTACGTATGATTGCTGTCACAGGTAGGTACTCAACTGGCTTGCGAGGAATAATCCCTCGCCAAAGTGAAATCACAAGAAACTATCAATCCTGGTTCTCCCTTCACTCGATCGCGATTTTCAGAAATCATTTTATGAGTCATGTAGTTGAAATATCCTTTGATCGTCTCAGGACAACGATCTACACGGAGCTTGTTTGTTGATCCAATATCAGAGGCAGGTCTGTGCCAAAGACACGGGAGAAACACATTTCCGTCGGTGAAAATGCCTCAGTGTCTACGGTGACGTGGCTACTAAACCGGAATTAAGGTTCCACGATCTCGTGTTCCAAGTCATCCATACACGCAGTCGGCAATTGACGGTAACTTTTGCACAAGGGAAAACTGATCGTTTCTCTCTGGCAGCTAACATGAGGAATCACTGAAAATAAAGTTCAGATGTCGTACGATTTGATCCCACGTGCCCATTGTCCTTGCATTGTTATTGGCATTGTGCTTTTCCTTCAAAAACAAACTGGGTCTTGGAGCGTTTACCGCTGCGTGAAGGGATCGTACGCCTTCGGGACCCTCGGGGATGTGTACGGATTGAGGATGGAACGACACCATACTCACTTGAGTTAAGTTCAAATGTCGTACCAGGCTGAGGCCAAGCGCCCAGTCTGCTTACATTGTTGTCGGCATTGTTATTTTAAAACACTTGGTCTTTGAGTGTTTACAACCGTGTGGAACGAGCGTACACCTTCGGGATGTATGCGAATGAAGAACAGAAACCTTGAATGTTCTCCAACACTTCACATTGGCTCGATGGCAGCCACTGAAAATCTGTTTAATTCGCTTGAAAAGCTCGAAGGTATGAGGAAATGGGTGAGCGGTCTTTCTTGCTGACATGTAGAGACCCGTTACTTAGCGCGCTTCGCTTGCTATTATAGGCCAGATGAACTATTTCAAATATTGATACAGGATGATCAAAGCGGTGTGTATGACGCTAACTTCTTGTCCCGGCTCCATATAATGTTGGCATCCTGAATAGTATAGAGTGAGTACTGTATGGCTCATATACGAATACGGCTGATATATGAGGGATGTAAGAGTGCTTTGAGACATGCAGTGTAACTCTACGGATCTAACACCCGATCGAGTCATGCTCGATTGAAGTTCTGCTATTAAACTTTATAATGTGGTACACACCCAGGTACACAAAGTCTAACTGGCCGAAACCCTATACGATGCCTTAACTATACCGGATCGTGGCCTGATATTCTAAAGGCTACTATCCGATGCGCCGGAGAGCCAGTGAAGATGAGGCATCAAGTGTGTCTTGTGGATCTGGGAAGGAAGCATCCGATGCTGGGCAGGCAACGATGTAGATCTTGTCCCACATCGGAATCTGTTTCCACGCTCCCTACATCTCCGGCCAGCCAGGACGAGGACAAAAGCATCCGCGCATGGCCGTTCGTAACATCAAACCTCTTCGCCTTCTACGTCATTTCACATTACAACCACAAAGCGTGAGTTATGATCCACTTTCATCAGCACATTTTGCATCCACTCTGGTGGGTCTTAACATCTTTCTCGTTCAACAGTCCCTGCTTCGGGTTGATGTAGAGCCTCATAAACCTAAATTCGGAAATCCTTACCTTGTGTCCGTCCTACCAGCCCCCTCTCTTAGGTGGGAGCTAACATACTTATGCTATCCTCGGCGCATTAATTGTACAGGGAATTTCCCTGTCTTTTATTAAAGAGAGATCTTAGAGGCGTTCATGACGGAGACTCTGCCCTATCTAGATTGCTGTACAGAGAACACAAAGTACAGTTGTGGCAAGCAGAGTGAGCAGCAAAGAGAAGTAACTCCTAGTAGTGCTACATTATTAAAACCGATTAGGTTGATCGACAGCCAAGCATCTTTGCAATGAAGGTCAGGGGACTGCCCTGTAGGGCATTCGTGGGCAAACGTCAGCCCGGAAGATGGTGGTGTTTGTGATTATACTTTCCAAGGTTGCTTTAGGGTTTCGCTTTGATGATGTGATGCTGCGGCTCTTCCGCATTGCTTCGAATACCCAGAAACCTAAGCTACGGATCGATGTCCTGGCATTTACGCTGCGGAAACGGGCTCTTCTACGCGGAATGGCAACGATTAAAATGCCGTCTACTTCTTGATGCGGTAAATTTCAGTGGTGAGCCACAGTTTGGATAGGCGCGGCACATCCTGTACCAGAAGAAAGAACACCAAGTTAGAGTAGTCAAATTTGTTGTCTTACCATGGGTTCCATCGAGCCGTCACGGGCTAAGGAAGCTCAATTTCATACCTTGCACTTCTCTTCTCTTTTATCAGGGGATGAAGATGAGTTTGCACGTCTACTGAGTGCTTGTGAGAATGATGGCTTCTTCTACCTCGACCTCCGCGACTGGGAGTCGGGGCGGATCTTGCAACAACTTCACTCGACGGACCAAGTCTTGAAACCCTGGTTCGCCGGGCCACTTGAGAACAAGTTAAAGACGGAGACAGTGACGCAGAATCATGGGTCAGCTTCAAGTTCTACTTCGCTGCACAAGGAAATGTCGCTGAATTCTCCACAGGTACAAACCTCTTGGCCTATACCCGGGTGTCAAGGAGAAATCACGAGATTCTTATGAGGGTTTACGAGTAAGTGACTACCAGGATGAGGTATTTGAAAGTCTTGTCTTCCGTATGCGCTGACCTGCCCCAGCTCAGTCGTACTAACCTGCTGAATCAAACACACCTTCCGGACGTCGTCTCGACGAACCTCGACAAGTTCCAGGGGTACATGAACTCTGCCCACTACATCTTGCTCAAATTGCTAGAATGCCTTTCTACGGCAGCCGGGGTGCGAGCCGAGGATCGGTACGAACTGTACCATCCGCCAGAGCTAGCCTCGAAAACGGCAATGCTTCACCTCCACTATCCCGCCAGTGATGCATCCGAGGGAAAAGAGGAATCCGGAGGCCATAATTCACACACGGATGCTGGTTCTCTGACTCTGCTGTTTGTGGACTCGCCGGGCTTGCAAGTACTCTCGCCAAAGACAAACGAGTGGGAGTATGTCAGCACTAAGCCGGGACATGCAATCGTCAACGTTGGCGACACGCTGCGCTTTGTGTCGAAGAAGCGGTTTCGGTCGATTCTGCACCGGGTGGTCCTCCCTGATGACAGGGTGGCGAGCAGGTATGCGACGGCTTATTTTCTGCGCGCTGGCGACCAGGTGGTCTTCCAGGGCTTGAAGGGAGAGAAGCTCACAGCTCAGGAGTGGTTTGACAAGAAGTATGACAGCTTTGAGAAGACCTTGCAAGAGCAGGAGTCTAACCCAATAGCAACCGGTGGCATGGCTCAGGATCTCGGCGTTCGAGTGGTTTAGGAACCACTAGTAGTGTTCAGAGGACGACAAACAGGCTGCGAATGTTGCCATGATTCTTGGTGCCACTTGAAATTATGCTGCAGAAGTGAAGACCAGATGTGAAATATTAGCAGTGATCAAAATCTTCAAGTTCCACATCTGACCATAGGAATGCCGCAACGGCGTCACTCGCATCGTTAAAATAAGAGCACACCATGTCCCTTTCCGATCTTCTTGCAGGCCAGTCCTTTCTCAAATGATGTGCGACTAGTGTACCTGGGACGTATTTTCTTTTTCATGTAACTCTTTCTTCTCCAAGATGTACACACCTGGGCAGGTTTTGACCTTTACTCGTGGTCATGGGCAGCAACTACAAGTGTTTCCATCTGTCTCACAAACACGTTGGGCGGGTCATGGGGAACAATGGAAGCCCACAGAGAACAAGCATCATGCCTATTGATCATTTAATCCACTCAGAGACCCATTTTTGCATCCACTGCGGACTTATAGCCTGGACTCCCCTGAGAGTCGGGCTGTGAGCACAAGCCTGCTCAATGGACATGGGTGGTGTCTTCGCCCTAGTACCATGCTCATCCGTACGCCACAAATAGTCCCTGTAGAACTCAAGCAGCTTAATGGCTGGGTTCGTCAATGCGTCATCACCAGTATCTTTGGAAGCTTCGTCGTCGAGCCGGTTTAGCCAGACTTCTGGTGTTACAACTTCAGGCGCATGGGCTGGTCCGCGGATCGTCTTGACTGTGTCAATCACGGCCGGAAGTAAACGATCCCAGGTCGTCGTCTCAGGATTCCGCAAGTTATAGACTCTGGCGGTGCCGATATCTCCAATGCTGGACTCATTTTGACCACTGAATATTTCGACGAGGATAGTGGCCAACACATCCACCGGAAGCCAGTCAATCTCCGAAAACTGAGTCCCCAGGTCTTCAGGGAGGCAACCCATGGATACGGACCCGAGGATAAGGCTGGGGAGCCACTCGTTCCTGTTCCACTGACCGCATCCTGCTCCCTGTACGGCGCCGGCTACTTGGCCCACGCGGGCAACCGTAATCGGGATGCGCAGCTCGCCGGCGGCAACGTTGCAGAGCAGCTCGGATAGGAACTTGCTCCGGGCATACCCGTTCGTCTGGGGTGCATCGCCCATGCGCAGGACTCGTTCAGGTGCGGGCTGACCGCTGCTATCGTCCCCTGCCGTGCCAACAGCGCTAACCGAGGAGATGAAGACGAACGATGCGGGTCGGGTCGTATCCGCGGGGCTCGCCTCGGCGGCCAAGCCGAGCAGGTTGACCAGCCCATCTAGCTGCGGTTTGAAGGCGGGCAGCCGGAGATTGAAGTTTACGGGCCAAGCATTGTGTATGATGACGAGACCGGGGCGGGCGCGAAGCTGCTCGTATGTCTCGTCGTCCATCCCAAAGTGGTGTCGGCCGAGGTCTGCCTTCAGGAAGGTGACCCGTCCGTCCAAGTCGTCCACGTTCATCCCTCTTTCGGTCATCCGCAACTCCTGTGTGCCACGTCCGCCGTCTGCTGACCGGTTTAAGCAGAAAATGTGCTCGATTCCTGGATGATCCAGCAAGGCTCTGAGGAGGAATGTGCCCACAGTCCCGGTGGAGCCGGTCAGGATGACCGTCCTCGGGGTGTCTCGGTACTGGATGCCGAGGACCTTGGGCTTAGGCATCTGCTTGATGAGCCTCCTGTATTGGTTAAACACGCCCTGCATGAGCAACGCATCGACATTTTCTCCTGTCTCGTTGCCCTGGCTAGTGACGGCGGCGCTCAGCTGAGCAACGCTCGGGTTCGAATAGATTGTAGACAAGGCAAGGTCGGGGCGGTGGAAGCCACGCCGTAGACGTCTGAGGATTTGGAGAGCCATGAGTGAGTCCATCCCATAATCGAAGAAAGACGACTCGTCTGGGATCGGCCGACCGACGACAGAGCAGACACTGTCACGGATCAAACGGGAGACAGCCGCGGCATCAGTGGGGTTCCACCCCTCATCCGGGAGACCCTCACCGTCGACAGTGGCATCCGCAGCGGCATAAACGGCCTCAATCTCGGCGCTGTATTGTTCAATGCTTGCGGCTCGCTGAATTGTGCCCTTGCCAGAGCGGATCATGGGGCGATCGACCACAAGGATCAGTGGTTTTTCTATCCTTGCATGCGCTGGCACAACGCAGTTGGCTTGTTTAACGGTTGGCCAGACCTTCTCGATCAGCGCTGCCTGTTCGGAGGTGGTCAGTGGTTTCTTCCAGTCAGCTGGCTCGATGAGAAGGGCTGCCTGGAACCTCATAGTGCCGACAACCAAGGCTCCGCCCAATTCTCTGTGCTCAGCCACGACCTGTTGTTCCATGCCGATGGGGTTGGTCTTCTCGCCGTTCAGAAAGACGATGATGTCGTCCGCCCGACTCCGCCAGCACCAGGCGTTGGTAACAGTGGGGTGAGGCTCGAATAGGTCCTTGGTGCGATATTCTTCCAGCGCTTCTTGGCCTCTGATGCTGAACGTCGACTGAGTGGCGGATAATGCTTTATCTTGTCTGATTACGAGCTCATATGTGCCATCCGCTACCGGGTCAAAGATGGCGCCGACCGAAGGGTGGAATCGTATATATCGCCAATCACTCGGGCCCAATGGTCGCGGTGTCGTTCTTGATCTGTAGTTATCCCCTCCCGGGACAAGAGAAGTGGGAATCAACTGGTGCGGTATCCCAACCTCGGAAGCACCCCACCAGCAGTGAAGGGGTATCTGCTGCGCGACAATATCCCCAATGGCTTGCGGGAGGTCGCCGCCGATGTACAAGATTAGTTTTAGATGCTTTGCGCAAAAAGCGAGCTGTTCAGGGTTCTGGGCGAGGTCTGCTACCACCGACGGTACAAGAACGGCCACCTCAGCGGGCGTATGCTTGAGGGCTTCCACGAGCCCATGGCCGGTAACGATCCCAACAGCCGCGGGCGCGATCGGGATACAACCAGCGGGAATAGCCCACAGCATGTACATGAGGATGCCAGCTCCCTTCAAGTGGTCGACGTCAACGCGGGATCCTCGTGTTAGGGTGTTTTTTTCATTGGAGTCTCACATGAAAAGGCGGCACTGTGACCATCATCCGTTTTCCAGCCACAAGATGTTCGACGGACGAGGCATCTTGATATGTGGGAATCTCCCCATGCGGTGGAATATCCTGCCGGGCGCATGTGTAATGGCGCATTGCTGCGTCCTGTGTGAACACAATGGGTTTTGGAAGGCCAGTAGAGCCTGAGCTATGCCTGTAGTAGAAGAAGGTTTCGTCAGCCATAAGACTCGATGGAACGATCGAGCTGGTGCTGGCTGGCGCACCAAATGACGAGTGGGTTCCAACGCCCGGCATCAAAAGGCTTCTCGTATACAAAAGGAGGGTGCTCAGTCAAGAGCTCATCGATGGTTGGGACCGTCAGGCAGCGAGGCTTGACCACGTCGAGAATCGGTAGAACCGACGGCAGAGTTGGATCCGTCGTAACCAAAATTCGACATTTGAGAGTCTCGAACAGGAACTTTTGGGCGGCCGGGCTGTTACGAGGCGACGTGGGAAACAGCTTGAGAAAGTTCATTAGCAAAGATTACTATCTCCTGTGATAAGTACCCTCTGAGACCGTCCATATGGCCACTCACCGTGTATCCGGTTTTGACAGATGCCAAGATCATGGCCGTGAGCCGGACATCGTTGAGACCAATGTAAGTCAAGACGTCGCCCTCCTGGGCTGCGCCGAGCCCGAGCTGGCCCACAATCCACCATGCCAGGCCATTGACAATATTGGCAAGCTGACCATATGTGATGGCGCGGAATCCGTCATCATACGAGTCTGTGGCCACGGGCCAAAGACCGTATATCTCCTCGGGCTGCTCTTTGGCGAGGCTGTCGACGATATTGGGCCATAAAGCATCGTGTGGAACCCTGACCATGGGAGACATGGCGATTTAAGGTGTATTTCTGGAAGGGAGGAGGAGCTGATGCCCGTCGCAGATGTCTTTTGCAGGCGGGGGAATCGGACGTGCCGGCACGCTTACGGTCAGACAAGCCGGTTAGTGGCCAAGAAATAGCCGGAGGGGATCGCCGCCGATATTTCCTGGTGCAACTAACAGCACTACCCCGAATTTCAGGCGGGCGTTTCATTTACTGCGGGAGTACCTGGGTGACTTGAGAAGCATTCGGTGTGCCAGAGGCACCGGCGACAGCATAGGTCATGAGGGCTCGGTACACCTCTCCCGGCCCGCCCTCTTCAGAATCATCCAACACAAGCTCCTTCTCGATGAGAAACCCAAGTCGCCGGTACAAACCGACCCCGGGACGGAATGCCCTGACGTAGACGTCGAGGCCGATCTTCTCGGCTTCCTTCAGACCGCTCGCCACCAGCTGCGTGGCGATGCCTCTGCCCTGGTTGTCTGGATGCACTGCCAAGTAGTCCAGCTCTGTACGATGAAGCCAGCGTGTTAGTGCATCTTGCATTTATATGGCCTAGGCGACTCGCCGGACAACGGCCCCGGGGGTAGAGGAGGCCACTTACGGATGTATGTCTTCTTGGACAGGATCTCATTCTCGGCCTTCTGGACCGGACTTATCTCCCCATCACCGGCGGTCGTATCCCCAAAGTCCCAATCGGCCATCGAGGCGAGGCGGCGGAAGAAAGCTTCATCATCTCTGCTGACAGCCGGGGTGACGGCTTCGGGCCAGATCGACGCGTCAGAACCGGCCGGGAGGATCCATCGCACGTACCCCATGATGCGACCAGTGTCGGGGTCAACAGCTTTCAGATGACGCTTGGTCTCGCGACCGGTCAACAAGTTATCGGGGAAGCGCTTTGAAACCTGAATAATGTGGTATTCGAGGCTGCGGTCCGGCCAGTTCAAACGGAAATGCGGGTCAGCCCAGAAGGCAGGGAGGTTGTTGGCGGCGAGCGCATCGCCGTCGGCCACTGTGCAGCCTGAGATGATATACCCAGTCTCTCTGGTGCTGGTCAGTTGTGAGCTACTCGCCATTTCAGATTAGGTAATTGCAGGAGGTGCCAAGTCGTTCGTGAGGGTTGCAGGTATTCTTTCTATACGTCAAGAGAAACACCAAACGGCTCAGTGCTCTAGATCACTTATCTGCAGCCCGGAAGGATTTCGGCCACTTCAGGTTGTATTTATCCCGTTGCAACAACTCAGCCCCGCTACAACGAAAAGCTCGCTTTATCGAAATAGACATCTCACCCGGCTTGTAAGACGGTATAAACAGAACACATTCTCAAGCGGACAATGGAATTGGGCTATAAACCCGGTGCACAAAATCTCGGGGCAGATCCCAGGCATTGATAGATTTTAAAAGTAGCAAGACCGTCTTAGACTTATTCTGTTCCTATTCCACATCCCGGCATGTGAACCGGGCTTATCCTTTAGTAGTGCGAAGTGAAGGCCTGTGGGCAAGCTACCCATACTCGCCATTTTGGCACTCATGTCTAAAGTCTTCAGCTACAGGCTGATATCCTCAAGCTTATATATGAGTGTATCTTTGATGGAAGTAGGTTCTGCCGATGCCCAGAATCCCGTCCAAGGTTATCTCCCCGCAAGGCCCGCCTGAGATGGTTAAGGGCGGAGTATAGTGCTGCACCTAGCGTTGCACGCGGCACCGATCTGGTATCCCCGACGCCGCTCCGCAAGATGTTTGCGCACGACATGCGAGTCAGCCTCCTGAAATCATCAGGAGATGTAGCTGTGGGCTGTCCCAGGGACCAACTGCTTTCTTTTTTCCTTTTTCAACATCACCACGGCCTCGGATTTGGAAAAGGCAGCAACCATGTCTAAGTTCTGCTCCTTTGAAGATGTGCAAAAGTTCCACGAGCTTACATTCAAGTGGTCCGTTGCATATGACACAAAGGTATCACAACCGCAGAAGTAGGTTCACAGCCGATCGGGAATATTTGCTAACTCGATTAGAGTTTACCAACCCTAATTGCGATAACGGCCCCTCAGATAGTGGTTGACTTCCGAGATTTCCCTGCAATCAATGCCGTTCGCCAGTGTACTCCAAAGGAGTTTTTCAGCGATAATTTCAGTGATGAGACCCTAGGCGATAGGAGGCGTAAGAGCAAGCACCGGCCGAACGAACTCAAAATCCTGACGCTGTTTTCTAGTACAGACTCAGCATCTACTGGGTGCCTCGGTTTTCAAGCTTATCAGCCATGATGAGGCAACTGGGAACTGGCAGATCCGGGCCCGTCACGTCAGGACTTTTGCCAACGGGGAAACGGCTGATTGGGATGCCAGCTCATTGATGGAGTACCGGTATGTCAAGATCAATGGAGAATGGAAGATAAGCGGCTGGAGACCCCATACAGTTATGGCTGCGACCGGGCGGCTTGAGGACGTAGTAGGTCGATTCTAGATCAGGCATAGTTTTTACGTTCATATGTTTTGTTTTCGATCATGGTAATAGAAGGAGGATAACGACAATGTGTTGGTTATACGTGAACCACTTTTTGGGCATCATCCTAATGCACTGGTCTACCAACTAGGTAGGTACGAAGGGCTCGAAGTCCCTGTCTACACAATTAAATACCACCAGATAGTGCGGCAGTGTAGTTCCATTTCCTATTCCCATGAAACAGCCACGCCTGTGATAAAAGGTACGATATTATAACCAGAAGGTTTATGGCTTCACTGCACTTCGGCATACCAAGAAAGGACCCACCCTGCTCTGCGCCATCCTTCACAATACACGCCTGCGAGGTGCCGCTGGCCCTTCACAAAGATGCCGTCCAAGTAGATGCGAAGCAGGTACCCGAGTGAGTGGCTGCGCTGGAGGGGCTCCCCCTCCTCGAAAAGGAAAAAGCCATTTTCTCTATCTTCCTGAAGATATTTACTCTTGGTAATCACTACTTAAGCACTGGTCACCGTAGTAGTGCCCTCCTGGCCCTTCTCCTGCTCCTGCTGAACCGGTGCAGATGACGCCGGAGGATGAGCAGCGGGTGCGGGATACGCCATTGCGCCCTGCGTCTGGTAGCCCTGCTGGACCCCGCGGGCGGGGTTGACGAGCGGCTCGCGGTGCTCGGACTCCTTCTCCTGCTGGACGAGGTCGCACAGCACGCAGCAGCACGCGGTGGCCATGTCGGTGGCGCAGTTGCCACGGAGGTGGTACTTGTCGCGCAGGTCGGCGCGCTGCATGGACATGGGGATCCAGTGCAGGCCGACGCAGCCTGACGCGCAGAAGAGGAGGCACTGTGTTGTTGTTGGGATTGGCATCAGTCTCACGAGCCAGACTACCATGCGAACGTATGCAAGTCTCCCCTCGGTAGGCTTACGGTGGTGTTGATGGGCTCGTAGCCCTCCATCTCGCCGTTCTTGCGCAACCTGTGGTGCGTCTTGCCAAAGGTTACGCATGGCAGGCAGTACGTGATTAGGCAGAGGTCGATTGGGCTGCAGCAGCCGAACAGTGAGTTGTGCCATGGCTGGGCTGTCGCGGGCGAGGAACTCTTCACGACCTCTGAAGGCTTGGCGAGGACCCCGTTCAGGCGCTGCTTCCAGTCCTCGACGTCGTGGTTGTTGATGGCGCCCGTGGTAGCCGGCCTCGGTGCGCTCTGAGAATAAGCTGGGGCTGCCATTTTTGATATGCGCTTCTGGGATCCACGAGGGTCGTATACGCAATACTCTAAGAAGCTAATCAGGATAATAGTTGCGTATATAAAGAAGAGGGTCGAGCCTGAACCTCGCACTTAGGGACTCGAAGCAGGGAGGCGGGCCTAAAAGAGGTTATGTCAAATTGAAGAATGCCGAGGAGATGAGATGCAAGCAGACGGGACGTTCCTCGAGCGACATGTCTCTGATTTAAACAATTCCGTCGCTAAGACGATGATGGGCCAGGGACTTCATGCCACTTGCAGTTGCCCCAAAACGGGCTTCAACCTCTTTCACATGCATGTACTATGCGGCTTCGTTCCTCCTCGACGCTTCTCGACGATCTCGGCTGAGGCTGCACGTGCGGTGCACAGATCCACACGACAATGGAGGCGCCCTTTATCGTTCAGCCGCAGAGCGCTACAGGCTGCTTGGGATCAGCAATCTCTGATGTCGGGCCCAAGCGTTGGTCTTTGACAGCGCCACATTCTACATTCGCTGCAGAATAGGAAATTTGGTTGCATTCTTGGTCGCAAGCCTGCTTGACCGGACGACGGAACCAGCAGCCAAGTTTGCTTTCTAACTTTAATGAATGCTATATCGTACTTGAGTAGGTGCGCTGAAGCCGCATTAGAGGGCAGGCATTGGCACATACATTATGGTTAAGGGCATCGCTCAAAGTTAATTTCTTAGTAATGTTACTAGGAGTACTCACTGGGAGTCTTCGACATCCTCCAACAGCGTTGGAGTGTCTCTGAGGACACCTTGCGGTTTCCTTACTACCACCGAAACGCAATGCAGGAATTATATGGGCCTATCGTATACGCACAAGGACCAGAGCACCCGTTCAACAACGGCACTACCACGGGCGGCAAGACGAATCGGTTCTGGCCCATGGGAGCTGGGCTGCATGGGGCTATGAACACGCAGGGACCGTCGGAGAAAAAGTTCCAGGGGGCAATGAAGATTGACACAACGACAAGGTACAGGCCGATGGCGTCGCATTCCTTTTGTTGGAGATGGAAAGGCCTCTGTCTTTGAGTGAATGGGCCTATAAGTGTGCAAACCGAAATATGCAAGCCCAAGAACGTCGGCTGGCAAAGATGTAAGGCCCTTGTCCATGGCGGTGTCTGTACTGGGGGGGGGGGGCACACATGCTACGACGTTCATAGTCGGTGCCAACTACAGATTGGTATCCTGACAAGTATTCGTTGTTCCAGCGTGAAGGGTTTGCCACGGCTGTGTTTAGCATAACTTCTAGGTTGGCATGCAGTTTTTAGCCAATAGGTCTTAGTTACTTGGAATAGGTTTGGTGCACATGTGAGGACCACAGCTCCTCGGGTCTATTAGCAGCACCTGGCATTTACGAGCCAGAGAAGAAGGTTTTGCCAATGATACTGTAATTCATAGAAGTTATTAAACAGGCATCCATGCCTAAGCTATGGCCGACGCGGCGATACCGGAAAGACGATGTTGGCAGCCGGGAGAATACCTAGGGTGTAGGTCACAGAAGCATTGCTTGTACATCCGATCCGAAGCCGAGCGCCGACTCGCTCCTGCGCAAGTGAGCGTAATGTTGGCCCGAATGCTGTCATTTGCAGCAGGGAGGAACACCCATTGGGCGTCAGCTTCACTCACCTCGCCGGAGTATAAGGACCGTTACTCATCAATGATAGCATCTGCAAAAACCTCTAGTAACCATTGCATTCATTTCAACCTGACATCGCCCGTCATTCTCGCCCGTGAGTGAGTCACACTCCCTCTAGCCCTACTAGTAACTACAGCCAATACCTCCGGATTACCTCTCTTTTCCGCCGATCTCTCTGCCACATACATACCTAGGTACACGCGCGCGCGCAAGTCCTCCACGCCAATGCAATCATGGCCCAATCGCAAGCCTTCCACTTCCCAATCACCACGCCCATCGCAAACGACCGCGTGAAGCTCGTCCCATTCGACATTGATCTCCACGGCGCCGCCTTCATCGCCCAGTCCGCCTCCCACCCAGAGCTCTATGCCAACATGTCCTTCATCCCCTTCACGACCGTCGCCGAGCTGAAGGCAGCCTTCGCCAGGCCCGACACCATCTTGTCCTCCTCCAACCCGGAATCCTACATCTTCGCCATCATCGACAAGACCAGGGACCGGTCGCCCGAGGACCCGGAGGGCGAGCTGGCAGGCATGGTCGGCTACATCCACACGCTCCCGGCCTTCTTCAGCAGCGAGGTAGGCGCCATCGTCGTTCTGCCCAAGTACCAGCGCTCCCACGTGACGAGCAACGCCGTCGGGCTGTTGCTGCAGCACGGCTTCGCACCCGCCGACGAGGGCGGCCTGGGCCTGGTGAGGATTCAGTGGTATTGCAGCGCGGCCAACACTGCCAGTGCCAAGGTCGCCGACCGCATGGGCTTCGAGAAGGTCGGCTTGATTCCGTACCACATGAAGTTTCCGCTGGGCAAGAAGTACGGCAAGTTAGGCAACGGCAAGCCGGTCCCGCCTGGAAGCCACCCGGATGATGTGTGGAGGGATTCGCTCTACTACAGCTTGAGTTGGGACGTGTGGGAGGCTGAGGCTAGGGACAAGGTCGAGAAGGCCATCAGTCGGTGATGGTTTGGGTGAATTAAGGGCGCATAGTTGATCTGTGTATGTGGTTTCTAAGCAGTCCAATTCTCATAACGTGCGGGTCGGATGAGGAACATGGAAAAGAGGAGAGAAATCTCATATTCAAAGTTTCGCTCACCGTATGAAGGCTCCACGTATGTCCTCGGACGTATGCAGAATAGAAGTGGAAACAGTCCAAGTTCGCTGCAGCCTGGGAGATATCAACTACATATCAATAATAATTCAACATCAGCACCCCCAGTACATATATTGATTTGGCATCATAACTCCATTATGCATATGATTCAGTTTTCTCCCATGAAAGGAATCTAAGGCCCCATTCCCATTATTCGCAACCGGTAGCACTTGAGTGGAAGGTTGCTGACTCTGTCGCCAAGCGAATTCCGAGGCCATCCCAGGTGCCTTCGGTGATCACAGCAGTCCATTATCTCCAGGATATGGGACGTGAGTAGACGTCAAATAGTCCTTCAAGTTCGGCTTTAGTCACAATACATCTTTAATTGGACCATAGATATGTTTCATTGTCTTCTCAGCCTTTACACTACTTGACTTATAATTTAAGGATTAAAATAAGACTATAGAATAATGTTTCTAAACTATCTATTCGGACTACCTAACCCCTTGCTTTATAGCCTTTAATTTGTTCTCTATGGTTGAACAAAAGGCAATATCCTCCCTTTTTACCGTTATTACCTCTTCTACGCCCACATTTGACTGGAGTCTAGCTACCAGCTCGACATAGGCGTTCCTTATGATATGAGTCTCTATCGGAGCCCCGTATTTGATCATGAGTGCTACGACTTGCTCCCGCTTTTCCCTCTCCGGCAACTTCGCACGCCACTCAAACATATAAACCACCAGGGCGAGCTTCCAGACAGATAGCTTCTCCCCGCTGTCTACGTATTGGAAGTCTGCTCCCTTGCCGAGTAGTATCTCAACTATGGCCGGGATGGGCCGTTCCGAGAGTACTGCGACGGCCAGCTGCCAGTCAATCTCTGACCACCCGTCTGGGTCAAGATCGCGCCTTGAAAGCCACGTATGCGTTTTCCTTGTGCTGGGGATCTTACGCCAAAGTTTAAGTTTGCGCACCGGAAATTGTCGATGCGCTTCAAGTTTGACGCGCATGTATTCCACAACCCCCCACTCAATGGCGTGTCGTATCAAAGGCGGCCCCATGCTACCTCTCAACGCCAAAGTGCCCCAACCACGACCTTCATATGCGATCCCGGCAGGCTCGAAATTATAAGACTTGGTATCAACCGGGAAGAAGTTTTCCAGCGCTTCTAACAAGCGGAGCATCGATTGGGAACCGCGTTCCTGGACTTGGGCGGCATGGCGAAGGCAGTTGATGGAGGGCGACGTCAAGTTTTCGGATGGTGGTCTATGCTGATGATCTAAGCTCCCCTGCCGATATGCTGAAGGACTCGATTTGTAAAACGCTAGTTCAGCTGAACAGAGGCGTAAGTGCGGGTCGTCGTATAGGTCAAATCCTCGGCCTCCGCTGCGATTCAATCTTTCACGGACTTCGTCTCGCGCAATATACTCCCCAAATGTTCTGTGAAGGTAATTCACGCGAGACGCCGAGGCATGAAGAAACGCGTTCCTGCCGAGTATTGAGCCCTGCTCTGACTCTGTGCTAATTTCCAACAGTCCCATGCAGTGACTATTGAGTCGTCTCTTCAGGTAGTCCCTCCTGCCCTCAAATGTTTTCCATTCTAATGGTGATACAGGACAGTTGATACCGAACATTTCGTCCTCTTCGTCGGCGTAGGAAAATACCATTATATTTGGCAGTCCAATTTCTCGACGAGCCTCCATCAGTCTGAAATATCGAATGGCGTGATCGAGGTACTCCGTATCCAGCTCATCGAGGATTCGTTCGAATAAGGCTTCCAAGTCCTGTGGGAGTTGATCGAGCCGTACTTGCAAGTCCGATATGCGGTCCCCGGCAGTAATACCCTTTCGCAAAGATTTCACAACAAGAGTGAGCCATAGAAACACCCCATTGGCTCTGAGAGCAACGTCCTCGTTTAATTTGTCGCAAAAGTCTGGGTCCCGCTCCCGAAGCTGCGCGAATGCTGGGCCAACGTAGAGCTCTGATCGAACATATTCCATCATGTCGGGAAGAGTGAGATCTTGCAACCGCAGGCTGGGAGTATCGTGAAATGCGTCTTCAAAAACCTGCCACTGGCGACTAGAAACACACAGTTTGATTGGATAGGCCTTGAGGGAATCACGAAGGTATAAGACTAAGCTCTCGTGCTGGCCCTCAAACTCATCCAGTCCATCGATGAATAAGCAGATCTTCGTCGAGGGGCAAATGCAGCCAAAGGCACTTGACAGAAGTTTCTTAAGCGAGTCCTCGGTGTAGAGTTGAAGATCTTCGTCAAAGAGGTAAAGCGCTTCCCAGGTCAGGGGCATCATTGTAGCTATGACCTCTGGGTCGACTTGATGGAGAAGGGAATGGAGTAATGAGCGCAACATGCCCTCTTTTGATCTTTGCATTGGGGAACCAATAGCCCAGAAATAGTACGAGGCAATGATGAGCGGCTGGCTTCCTGCCCACCTTTTAAGAAAAGATAGACATCGAGGGCTATTGGCTGGGTGTTCCCGGTAGATGTTGACCACGTCGGCTGGTGGCTGTGAGATGAATTTCATCAGAGTTGATTTCCCAGATCCAGGTTTGCCGGTGATCCAGTACAGTTGCTTGTCCGGGACTTCGAGCCATTCGCAAAAGCTCGCCCATGGGCGGTCTGCCTGCTTTTCTCGCTCAAAGATCCACTGAAATGTCGTTTCAGACGCCGTGACCACAGAATTTTCCCGAAATGCCATGTCCGAGTAGGATAGGTTTTCAAGCAGCCTCTGCTTCATTGTTTGTCTCCTCCCAGGCGAGACCTGGACGGTCCTGGGCTCCGGGCTACCATTGCCCTCGAAGGCTTGCCCGGGTTCAGAGATCAATCCAAGGATATCGAGCTTCAGCGATTCGATGATGTCGACATTCAGACGTTCGCCTAGCCTCTCATTAAGCTTCCGAGCTATGAAGCCCACATACGCAGTGCCCAGCCCGATCCCCAAGACTTGATCGACCTTGTGATTGTGCTCTCCCATCTCTTCAAGTATCCTGCCAAGCACAAGTTCCTGCCTTTCGCTTGATGCTTCTGCAAAGTTCCTGTGTATCAGTCAGCACCTTATTCACGCATCATTAAAGGGGCTTCAGCTCAGCGCGAATGAAATCTTCAAGGGATGAAGTGATGCCACTGTCAAAGGGCAACACCAACTTGAAGTTCCCGCTGGCACACGCCTGGGTGTAGTATCAGATGTGACGTGGCAGGGTTTTCTATCGATATTTAATGAATGAAAAACACAAACCTCAAAGAATGGACCAAGCGGAGATTCAACTGACTCCTCATACTGTCTAGTCTTGTTTGTAGCTTCGTGAGTTTACCTCGACCCCATGTCATCTGGAAAGCCTTTTTGACCGTCTTTTGTGTTCGAGTCATCCAAGACGTTCGGTCAGCAGTATCGCTCACGAATTCCATAATCTCCTTCGTGACTTGACGACACTCTTCCGCCAGCCTTGCTAGCTCAAGGTCTCCAGTCCCTGGGGACGTAGACGTTGAGGATTCTGCAGAGGCATCCTGAGGGAGGGAATCAAGTACTTTATCAACGTCCTTCGCCAGGCCCTGCAGGTGGTTAAAGTCCTTGACGACGTCGGAATCTGTCTGCTCCGAGTGTATCTTCCATGCAGTTGTGACGAACACGACGCCATACTCCACCATCTGCAGGATGTTGGCTGCAAGACTCAGCCCAGCAACCGCTTCTGCCATGCCGGACAATGTTCTCTGGATGGCGGCGAGGACACGGCCTTGGTCAGCTCCCTGAGTGACTCGAGTAGGGCCAGCAATGCGAATCTGGTGGAGGAGAATCCGAGCGGGGTATTCTCAATGTCATGCGCAGGCTGTGCAGGCTGACACCCCAGCTGAATTGTGTTCCAAGTGTCACAAGAATCCTTCAACCAATAATGTGTAATACGAGCAATCTGTGCGGTATCGCACATCCCTGATGGTTTGCAGGAATGCTTAGCCGCATTTGGACAAAACAACACCCTAGTACATGCAGCGGTGCTCTTTGGGGACAGTGTGACGGAAAATCCCATGGGCAAGGTATTATTCAGAACCGTGGATGGAAAGACCCAGGCATAAGGTATTTTGATGAACCTATGTTAGCATCCGCCCACCATCAGGGGTTGACGGACAGACTGAATAGCCACTGATAATTTTTTCACCGTGATGCATCCGGAATGCGTACTATCCGCTCAGACAAAACCTTCAATTCGTGGGGCTCTATAGCGTATTGTTCGCGGGGTAAGGTTCGGTTTGAAATTCGTGTAGTGACGGTGTAAGATAGCTTTGATAATGCACCCAAACTGGTTTCGCTTCTATTCCGCATACATCCAAAGACATACATAACACCTTTATACAGTACTAAACACTTAAGATCCAGCGTTTAGAAAGAGACTAGATATTCACACTCATAAAAACGGAGAGTACACCTATATTAGGTAACTTAGAGATTAAAGTACTTAGGTTAGTACTAAACTAGTTATCTTATAGTCTTATCCTATAGTATATTATTTTAAATAAGGTTATTCTAGAGGAGGTTATTTTATTGGAGGTTATTCTATAGAAGGTTATTCTATGAGAGGTTATCCTAGGAGGTTAGCCTAGGAGGTTATCCTGTAAGAGGTTGTCCTGTAGGAGGTTGTCCTGTAGGAGGTTGTCCTGTAGGAGGTTCTCCTAGAGGTTGTCCTTGGGTGTACCCTCTGTTTTTGCGGGTGCGAATATCCGATCTCTTTAGAGAACATACAATATCAAAAACAGTAGTAAAAGTATAATAGGTGCATGTGGCCTCAGTCTTGCGACGCGCAATGTTCCCGAAGACATTACATTTATCTCTAGGGGAAAGTGGTTTGTGGTTGAAGTCCTGAAAACGGTATCTAGGTATGAATCGTGTGGTCAATCAGCCTCAACTCAATTGTCAAAAGTCAGTGTTTGATGGCCGTGAAAGCCATGACCAGGTAGGAGCAACACGTTCAAGTGGTTCCGGTAGAGGATTCTGAGTATGCCACGTCATGGCCCCTGGCACGTCTTCTTTTCATGTCTCAGCCAAGCACGTCAGGATGTGGGATTCCCCATAGCATCTCGCAATGCCTGTGAGCGCTGGCAGCCTGTCTTTCTTCAAAGTCAATTCGGTTTCCGAGTCTTCTGAATGATAGACTCCCAAGACTCGTTTTGAAATGCCATATGATCGTTTGCGCCGTTCTTTGAACTCCCATCCTCTTGATGTGCACTCACACCATGTCCTCTCTCGACATTCCCGCAATATGTCGTCTTGCATGAAGTGAACAAACCTGTTTGTTAAAGGTCGCTCTTAGAAGACCCATCCCCTTCTCAGTAATGAACCGACAAGAGCCTCTGGATTTCCAGGCTCTCCAGGATAGTGTGGATGCCTGAGTTGTTTTCGCATAAATACCGGTCCCCCTTTGACCTCTGTGACCTGGAACCCAGCATAAGATTGCGCAATGGTCAAAGACATGGGGTTTATGTCCCAGAAAAGGTTCCAGAAAAGGTTAGAAATTCTTCTCAGGTACCCAATCCCTTATTTAGATCTAAACTTTGTGTCTTAAGGGAGTTCGACTCAGTCTGCGGTCCCCATCAATGACTAAGACACGCATATCTCTCGCGCTGCGGATAATTTTCCACAAGTCGGACGCGCAGGGGCCGGACACCCTCAATCTGTGGCGCTCGGTGCGGGATTGGCTTGTACTTTCCAGGCTGACATGGGGTGCTTTCTTCACAACGCGATATCCAGTGTTTCACAGCATGGAACGCTTCTTCTGTACTAGACTTGTCCCCAGATGGGGCACGCAGTCGCCAGATCATGGAATGCATTGGAAAAGAAGCAGGCCTGTCAAAGCTATTCTGCCCCTCATCGTTGGATACAAGATCTCTAGTGAAGAACTCATCAATTAATTATTCTCTTCGTCCCCAACGTGTAACTCAAGTGTTCTCGGACAAAAGCCCCATTTGAACTAAGGTCACCTGACGCAATTGTTTGGCCACTCAGGAAATCGAAAGTGCCGGCGCAAGCCTGAAAATCACCCCTCGCTGCTTTAGCTTCCGGGCCGACTTGTTTGCAATTGTGAAATTTTCCAAATCTTCCTAAATGATAGATATTGCAAAAGGCACGCTTGGGAGGATTCTGGCCGATAATCTCTGAGCTCAGGCTGGGGGACTCGGCACCCCGGACTTGTATCAAGTCGTCCATGACTCTGGTGATTGCTTCTGTAGTCAGAAGAAACTCCTCTAATCCAAAGTGATTGATACGGAGTATACAGTGGCAAGGCATTCAGAATGTTGGGGGGTCAAGTCGTGCAAATGTTACCTAGGGTAGGTACAGATTACCCCAGGGTAGGTACCAACAACCCCTGTTACGTTAGCGCAAAAACGGACTGTCTGACTGGGGGCCGGGGTGCAGACCGATTTAAGCTCCGTTTTATCTTATCGCCGTATCGACGCAAAGCCTAAAAAAAAGTTGACCACTTCTGCACCCAAAATCCCATTTCCTGCGAAGCATGTGAAAAGGCATGCGACATCGCACCCTCGCAACATTCCCAACATGGCAGACAACGAGAAGCCGGGAAATGCCCCCACGGCATCTTCCAACCCTCCTCCAGCAGCAACGGAGGCTACATCAAAGCCCGCTGGCCAGACCGCGTCGGATGCGACAGCCAATGGTGACGACGCCGATCGCAGCAAGGATTGGGACAACAGGCGCAAGCAGAAGGACAGGAGAGGGGGCCGTGGCGGTCGGGGAGGACGAGGCGGCCGAGGGGGTCGCGGTGGTCCCCATGGTCATGGTCGCGATCGCGATGGCTCAAGGTCAGTCAGCTTCTTGTCCCCCGTCCCCTGTCCTCTCCTCCCCGTCCCTGACTTCACCACGACACTTCTGCTGCGCTCTGCCGGCCGTGGACTCCCAAGCGACTGACCTAATCCCCAGAGGCGAACATGCCCTCAAGTCAGACCGACCCGACAAGACCCAGCGCCAGCGCCGGTTCGCCTCGACACTCACGACCGGCGAGGATGGCGAGCCCAAGCAGACCAACATGAGCATCCCCTTCTCCGCCGAGGAGATCGCCGCCGAAGACCGACTTCCCAAGCGCAAGGTCGCCGTGCTGATCGGCTACGCCGGCACCGGGTACAAGGGCATGCAGATGAACCACCACGAGAAGACCATCGAGGGCGACCTCTTCGCCGCCTTTGTCGCCGCCGGCGCCATCGCCAAGAGGAACGCCGACGACCCCAAGAAGTCGAGCTTCATCCGCTGCGCAAGGACTGACAAGGGCGTCCACGCCGCCGGCAATGTCATCTCGCTGAAGCTGACCATCGAGGACCCCGACATCGTCACCAAGATCAACGAGAAGCTGCCTGAGCAGATCCGCATCTGGGGCATCCAGAGGACCAACAACGCCTTCAACTGCTACCAGGCCTGCGACTCGAGGTGGTACGAGTACCTCCTGCCCAGCTACTCCCTCCTGCCGCCTCACCCCGAGAGCTATCTGGGCAAGAAGATCATCAGCGCGGCCAGCGAGAAGGGCGTCGCCGAGGAACACTTCAAGCCCTGGGACGACATCAAGGACTTCTGGGCGGACGTGGAGAAGAACGACATCCAGCCTATCCTCGCCAAGCTGGACGACAAGACGCGGGAGGAGGTCATACGGACCATGCACAATTCTACGGAAGAGGAGGCACAGCCTGAAGAGGAGGACAAGGAACCGTCGTCCACGAAGCGGAAGGCCGATGACGAGGCCGACCCTGACGTTCCTTCAAAGAAGAACAAGACTGAGCAGGACAGCACTGTTGAAAGCAACGGGCAAATCGACACAAAGGCTGAAGGGCAAGGAGCAGAGGCCAAGCAAGAAGAGGAACCCGCAGCAAACCCGGACCAGATGGACGTCGATGAGAAGCCATCCGATGCCCCGCCAAAGGATGCCGGCGACGCACCCACAGCGAAGCCCAAGTACCAGCCCACACCAGTCGAGCTCGCACTGCGGGAGATCAAGACGGCGTACGTAGCGGCCAAGCGCAGGTACCGGGTGACGCCGGCGCGCATCCAGCAGCTGCAGGACGCGCTGGACCAGTACCGGGGCACCAACAACTTCCACAACTACACCATCAAGAAGCCCTTCAAGGACCCCTCGGCCAAGCGCCACATCCGCTCCTTCGAGGTCAACCCGTCCCCCATCCAGATCGGCGACACCGAGTGGCTGTCGCTCAAGGTCCATGGCCAGAGCTTCATGATGCACCAGATCCGCAAGATGGTCGCCATGGCCGTGCTGTGCGTGCGCTGCGCCACGCCCATCTCCACCATCAGGGAGAGCTACGGCCCGACGCGCATCTCCATCCCCAAGGCCCCCGGCCTGGGCCTGCTGCTCGAGCGGCCCGTGTTTGAGAGCTACAGCAAGAAGGCCGAGTCGGCCTTTGACAGGGAGCCCCTCAACTTCACGAGGTTCGAGAAGGAGATCGGCGAGTTCAAGCAGAAGCAGATCTATAACCGCATATATGACACAGAGGAGAAAGAGAACTCGTGAGTTTGCTTACACCGCCCCACCAGAGCAGTTCTGGCGATCTGCGACTTGTGATTGATCACTGACAACCCCCGATCCACAGATTCCACATCTTCTTCCACCAGCTGGACAACTTCGAGACGGACTCGTTCCTCTGGGTCACCGCACACGGCTTCGAGGCCGCCTTCCAGCCCAAGGAGCGGCGCGACCCCAAGCTCGAGAAGGCCATGCCCAAGGAGTTGCAGGAGGAGGAGGAGGGCGACGAGGACCCCGAGAACGGCGAGGGCTAGATGTCCTCCGATCACTCTAGTATCAGTCGCGGTTCCCACGTCCGCCAGGGAACTCGGGGTCAACGTGGCAGCAGCTGCCCTATCCCTCGGGCGGGAGCTCGAGGGCGTCGTGGGTTCCCAATCAGCCTGCGAGTGTGGCCCAATGGGCTTATTTGCTCTTGGCGCGAGGTCACGCCCGGCAAAATACCGTCCCAAGGTCCAGGTCGATCTGGATCTATAGACTCGGAGACTCCAAGCAGCACCACGCTGTACATCCACCGGCTTCCGGTTGGTATCAATACATACTAACAAGTACGAGAGATCTGTCATCTAGCAGTGGCAGGAAGAGGCTGCACATCAGAGTTGGATATTCGTGCAGATAGTATAGCACCAATCAGTAAAATGTCTCCCGCCTCGGTTGGCATCCAGGCCGACCTTGATACAGGGCATCTCAAGATCCATGTCTATCAACGCGGATGCCCTTTTGGCACTGCCTTCTTGTGTGGAACCCCGGTCCCGTCTCGATTGCACGTGAAGCAGCAAGTACGAATGGTTAAGGGGCGTTGAGCGCATCCACATGAAGTCCGTGGGTGTCGTCGGCCGTGGACTCGTCCATGTTGCTAGTAGTTGAAAGAGATTTCATGGTTCGAACGACACTGTACAGGAACTATTTCACATTACAACCCGACCAATGTACTGGCCGCTGGACCAAACAACAACGAGGTGCCCTGGTGCCTCCTGCATGCACACTTGCAGCCGAATCCTCACATCCAAGGATGACGAGGGCACCGGGGAGACACCCAAACTTCTCGCCTGCCCCGCCTCCCACCATACAAGGAGCTGCTGTCACTGCCCGAACCAGAGCTGCTGTCACTGCCAGAGTCCCAGCTGCTCGCCTCCGAACCGCTGTAATAATCCACCTCAGGCCAGGGCGGCCCAGGCACCGGCACCGGCATCATAGGAAACGGAACCACGGGGGGCAGAGGCAGCTCGGGCGCCGGACTCCCGCGGCGATAACCCCCTCGCCTGCTCCTGTCCCGGTACTCACACCAACTTGCATGCCTTGTCTCGCCCGCCCGCCTCTCTGGTGATGACACGCATCCTCCGTCCCTGCACCATGAGCACCACCGTGCCGGATTCGGGCAGGCACCGTGGTCGTGCCGCCGGTGGTACGTGCTCCTGCACTGGCATGCTGCCGCCTGTTCTTCGGGCCCCTGCATATTAGTGTAAGCGGGCGGTGGTGTTTCTTCTGATCGGTCTTCAGCCATATCTTTGTGGTGGTGAACCTATCCAGACTTGGAGTTTGGTCTTTGCTGGCTGCAATGTAATCAATTGGCCTCAGAGTTGAATGAACTCGAAAAGCAGTGGGTCATACATTTTATATTCCGTGTGGTAGACTGTTGACTGGCAGATGTTCCCCATGTGCTTGCCTCTCCGAATATTGTCAATGACACCAGCCGACGTGGGTGCGACTGATTCATGACTGCAGTCTAGTCACAGCACCTTTCCAACCATCAGAACCTTCAATGTTGGAGAGAGTCTGATGCACTCAACGTTACTCTGACAAAAAGTTGTTGACTCGGCTGGACGGACCATGTTTCAACCGTCCAGAATCCCGTCATCCTCATACACAACCGATGCATAAAAAAAGCACCGTACTTTTCAAAGTAACTAACCAATCTCGGGTGTGATCAAAACACCTCTCACAGACTACCCCGGCATTTGTCCCGGCAACCTCGATTCGACTGCCAATGCAACCTGGCATACGTATGCACATCAGCTGATCAGCTCTGCTCGGCCCAGGTGCAGAAACAGACACCGAAAAATTGCTGACAATTCATCAGTGTTGGGACCCGCTATGCAAACTGCCCAGGGTGCGTGCGTGCAGTGCATCAATAAGACGCGCCGCGGATAACTAATATGTAATGCACACGGCGACGGCGGTTCCGAGCGTTCCAAGGTCCCTTGAGGGGTCAAACCAGCCAGCCAACCAACCAACCAACCACCTGCACTCAACTAACTGCTGCCAGTGCCAGTGTGCCCTCTCAACCCTCCCTTCCAACCCTCTAGGTTTGAACCAGGCAGGATGGGCGCGGGTTCCTCGCACCCAAAAGCGAACGGCGCCGTCTCATTCCCATTCCCTCACTCGTCGCGGCGGTCTGCAAGTGGTAACACTAGTAAATCCACGATGGCGTCGGAAAATGGGTCTATTACCAGATCAGGGGACGACTACACCCTCGCGAGGGACTTCCTCGACAACAACCGGTACGTGGACTCCAAAGCCTGCAGCTCATCATCCACCGCCTGCATCTCCCCGGCGCATCCGGCCCAGGGTCTGACCAGCTCACCACCGCCCCCCCAGGATAAACCTCATGCACAGCCTGTGGATTAAGCTCTTCGGCTACGTGGTCCACCCCAGCATCCCGAGGGACAGCCCGGACCTGCGGGTGGCAGACGTCGGCACCGGCACGGGGTAAGATATCTTGGTATTTATTATTAGTCTTCAGATAATGACTGTCTATTCCCGTCCTGACATCCCCGATGTTTCTGGTCCAGGCGATTATTGACACGCCCGCACGCAGGATATGGCTCTTTGACGTCCGAGAGCTGGCCGCCCCGTCAGCGCGCCTGGAAGGCTTCGACATATCCTTCGATGCCGCGCCGCCAGCCGAGACGCTGCCCTCAAACGTCAAGCTGAGGCACTGGGACGTGAAGGAGGACGTCCCCGAGGACCTCGTCGGCGCGTTCGATATCGTCCACGTGCGCTTCCTGTCCTGTGTACTGTTGAACGACCAGGTCCCGGCGGCGGTGCGGCGACTCTTCAAGATGCTAAGTTGGTCTTTCCTGGCACGTTTTCTGTTCTCGCCAAAGCAGCCGGCACCTTTCTTTTCTTCTTCCTTTTTTTTTTGCCCCTTTTTGTTCAGGCTTGCATGTCTCTCGACAGCATTGATGGCACGACTGACGAGATGAGATGGATCCCAGAGCCGGGTGGCTACATCCAATGGGGCGAGCCAGACTTCGAGTCCATACGGACAGACAAGACGAGGCCCGAGAACGAGACAAGAGGACTGTCCGAGCTGCTGCAGCTGTTCGCGGCCCAGGACCCGCGGACGAGGCCCGCGTGGCTGGCCGGCCTCCCGGCGGCCCTCTCGGCGGCGGGCTTCGACGAGGTGCAGGTGGACAAGAGGGACGCGCCGCCGCACCTGGCGTTCATGCTCCACGAGTGCGGGCTGATGCTGTACGAGGTCCACTGCCGCAAGACCAAGAACGGGATGACGCGCAAGGAGCTCAACCGCGTCCTGCCCACGGCCGTGGAGGAGACCAAGGCGGGCGCTTATACCACCGCCCTGCGGTGGACCGTGGTGGCGAGGAAGCCTGCTGTGTAAATAATTAAAAATTTTGGGGGTTTGGGCAGCGCAGGGCGGATGGAAGTATCTACAGGGCGACCGTGCAAACATTTATTAGAGGCGTAGGGGAATGCTTGCATTTTCAGGAAGGGGCTATAAATGCAAATTGAGTCCCGCTTGATTCTATCATCCTTCACTGGTAGTTCTAGAATCCACAAATGAGATCTGAGCAACTCACAAGGACTCGGGGCTCATGGTTTGTGTTCTGAAGTGCGATGGGTATCTCGATGAGTAGGTCAACTAGTACCCAGGTGTCTTCAACCATTAGAGAAGCCGGATTGTTGTTCCTAGTCGATATTTCTAAAGAGATCGGAGATTCGAACCCGCAAAAACAGAGGGCACGCCTGTTGACCCAAGCCCTATGGATAAGCTTCTACAGGACAACCTCCTATAAGATAACTAGTTTAGTATGAACCTTAGTACTAAGATCTTCGAGCTGTCTCATGTTCTCTAGCTCTTATTAGTTATATAGGTATACCCTTCTTGTGGGTACGAATGTCTGATCTCTGTTTAAAATGACCTTGTTGTTTGGGACATGCGTGTAAAATGAATTGTCAGATCCAGCCATCACTGCTCGTACTTTTAACCGTCTAAAGAGTACGATGGCAAAGTCGGTCATTCAGTGCATCCCATGGTCTCAGAATTATCCAAGTTGGGGCCAAGAATAGAAACCTGTTGGGGGTCTAGCGCCAGAGGTCTCACAGCCCGTAACCAACATTGGCCGTTTGAGAGTTCGTGTTGGTTCATGGGGAGGTTCCTGAGTATGCCGCCGGCGGCCGGGCCAATGGGCCCGGCCGGTGGTGAAGCAGGCGCTCGGCCAAGACCACATCTTTGTGACTGCGAATTCGACTCGAGGAAATAGACACAAAGTGAAACAATATCCACTTATTTGACAGAAGTTCTAGGGCAGATCGCTCGATAGATGAGGATTAGACTTCAGGCTCTTTTTGGGGCGGCCTGAGATATGAGCCCTGGGTCAAGTGATGCGTCGCTCCAAGGCTGTTGGTCATCCAACACAATTCCGCGGATCTGCCGGACGGGCTTTGACAATATGTTTCTTCTATAAGAGGGCGTCGTCTAATGACCCCAATGCACTGGTTCCGGGACAGAAGCACCTGACGTATTATTGTTCCAACTCTTTGCTTGGCGGCCACGGCTCACAACCACTGCCAATCATGCCCGCGATCACGCCCGCTCCATTCCAGACCAAGGAAAGGACAAAACAAACACACGAAGTGAACCCCTCGCTGCAGCCAAACACATTGGAACGACAGCATGAGACGCGCCCGTCGTGTGCTATACGAAGTCAGCCAGCAACCGGGAGCAGGGATCCCGAGAAACCTTCTGAATCAGTGACGCAAAGCAGCAGGGTTCAGCGCCGCCCAGCCGGCGCCAACACGAGCTCTTGTGCTGCAATACAGCGGCAACGTCAAGGCCGGACGAACCCTGTTCCCGTATCCCTTATTAATACCGGGGCTCCGATCACTTCATCGGGGGTATCGAAGCCGGCCCCAACGTCTTCCGGCCCCCAGCGCGAATCTGACCCGGATAAGAAGATGGCTGCCCGTGGAACTCCAAGCGCGAGGCCGAGAGAGCAACTAATACAACCGGTCAAGAAAGGCCCCCCCGGGGCGGACTCAAATGCCAAAGGTGATGCGAAGACGCTTCCGCATGCTCATCAGGCCAGGAAGCAGGCCGCTCGCCCCGATACCACTTCTACCACGGCACCGCCCACCAATTCACGCCCGGCTGCTGCCCCGTCAGCAAGACAAAACCATGCTATCCTCACGCACAAGGCCACTTCTGACACCAACATCCTGTATAAAGCGCTGCAGAATGAGCCCGTGGGAGACCCCCGGGACCAGCCGCGGTGGTTCGATGGCTATGATTCTCTCGACAGAAAGCTGCTGGTCGAGTGCGGTAGGAACAAGCCCTACGAGAGGACCCAGCTAGCCCATCTTGAGGTCTTGACCGGGAGGAGGAACGGCGCTCCGCACAATGTCGGCCTCCAAGACGCCATTCGGGATACGATATCATACCTGCTTGATGTGGAAGCCGAAAGGAACCCTGTCACTGCCATCACCAGTATGCCACAGGGGGTCTCGAGGCCTCTATGGGACGGGAAGCTCTATCTCGGCGGCATCAAGGACTCGGGAAACGTGAATGGGGTCTTGGACGAGCTCAACATCAGCGCCGTGGTCTCCATACATCCCACGGACTGGCTCACAAATGAGTGCTGGAGGGGCGGCCTATTATACGAAAAGTGGGACGGCGATCTCAACTCGCCGCAGTTCAGGCGGGACAACCCCAAGAGGCTGCAGTACCAAATCGAGCTGCACGACGACTCCAGCTCCGACATCCTCGCCCATCTCAGGAAGGCGATCCCGTTCATGAACAAGTTCCTCATAGACGGGGACAGGCCTAGGAACGTATTGGTGCATTGCAAGATGGGCCAGTCTCGCTCCGCCTCCGTGGTGCTCGCATACATGTGTGACAGGTACTTCAGGACTCACCTTGCGAACATGGATTCAAACAAGCGGCCATCAAGGAAAGAAGTCTCGGAAAAGCTGCAGGGCATCCAGGGACAGTTCCTCGGGGAGTTCGCTCTGCCAGCGGACAACAAGCCCCTGGGGGTCGCACCAAGGTCAACCGCGAGCAAGCGCAGAGGGGTCAGCACGAAGAAGTTCGACCGTCAGCTACTCCAGTACGCCCAGTACCTAGCGGAGGGCGAGAAGGGCCTGCCTCCCAAGCCGCCGAAGCCTGCAGAGGCGGCCGGCGGTGGGGGGATCATCAAAGGCGCGGCCATGGTGCTCTGCTTTATGTGTCGTATTGTGCCCAGCCGTGAGATCCTGGGATACTGGTCCTCGCTGAGGAACACCAATACGCATTACTGGAGGGCAGCATCGCAGGATAGAGCCCTGAAGGAGGGCATCCACGTCGAGGATCACCTGGCCACGTTCAACCAGTTCTTTGAACAGTATTGGAAACCCAGTCAGCAAGGCCCACCCCCTACATGATCGACTAGGCGGTCAAAGACGATTTCCACGCCTTCTTAGCTCCTGGGCTGTCCTGGCGACCGTTCCGTCTGCAAACACGGACATGCCTTCCTTGATCTTGTTCTGTGCTGGTCGCTTCCACTCGACTACCGGGATATTATTGGCCCTGGCCTTCCACCCTTCGATCCATCCCAAAGGAGGCCTTGGAAGATCTGGCCAGCTAATGTGGCTGGACCTATCAGCTGTCTCTTCATATCTATCTTCTGTTCTTCTTTGTACCCATTCGTTAAGTACGCCTCTGTAGGTTGCTAAAGGCCTATCCAGCCGTACACTCGGGTGCTTCACCCAGTCAACGTCCTGTACACTGGAAATGTCCTGCAACCGAGGCTCGACTTGGCGAAAGTGGTAATCGCGGGTGATGATCTCGTATAAAGTGAATATAACGCCTTTAACATCGTTGCGGTGCTCATCAAAGTTTGTGTTTTTAAGCCGCACGTCAAATGGAGCATTCGTACGGGCTGAGACATTGAAGTCGAAGAGCATGAGACTATCTGTGGCTTCATGCACAAGAAGATTCCGCGGGGCAACGTCCTGGTGCCGAATACCGAACTTGATATTGAGGTCATCGATAACATTCAGAAGTTGCTTAAGCCATTTCAGCTTGAAGGTAAAGCGGCCTCGCGCATCCAGGGAACCACCAGTAATATATCTTGTGGTATAGCCGACCACCGTTTCTCCTTCTTGCCCTTGGAGCTTCTCAACCACTACCCGGTGAAGTGGTACAATATTTGGATGTGGTGGAAGACGTGCTAATATGTTTAATTCGTTCCATACGAATATCAGTCGTGGTTCCCAGAAACAGTACTTAAATACCACTTTCTGACCCCGATATGATACCAAGTCTACTTCAGGCGCCAGACGATCCAGCTCCCGCAATCCTGCACGAAGGATTGTTCGCATCCTCGGTCCTTGGATCCGCTTGTTTTGTTTTCTTGGCCTTCGAGTGACCCCGTTATTTTTGCTTATAAGCTTTTTGCTTGAATCCTGCAGATCCTGGAGTAGCGGGTAGAACAGGTACCATGTCTTGTCCTCGTTGGGTTTGGAGGTGACTTCTACAAGCTCGCCATCGTGGGATACCTGAATGGCGTGCACATCAGGCCCAAGGCTATCGGTGTGTCGTCTCAAATATTCTGCAATCTGTGTTAGTCCGTTCCGACCGGGTGAAGGTGAATCCGATGCACCTGATGTTGGCAAAGACTGTGCTTCACGCAATTCAGTTGCTCCGGCCTGTTAAGGAATTAAACATACCAATTGCCAAATCTTCAGAATCATCGTCGCCGTCAAAGGTAACCGCGTATGTTTGTCTTCGATCCCAGTCCAAAATATCCCAAGTGGCAGACATTCCTGGTATTGTTATCCCACCAATCTGCCAAAATCGCCGTTCTTGGTCAGCCATGGTCAGCTTATTTGGATGAAACAAACTAGATGTCTAAGCCGAATTAAAGAACCACAATGGTATAATGACTGCTTCAAATTATCAAGGCAGTAAAGAAGAATGCTAGTGATTTTTGAGGTAGCAGAGTCTCTTGTGTGGAGTGGTTGAACAAGTGAGGAATTTAATGAAACAGCGCAGCTTTGTTCCGTGTCCTTGCTGCCTCCCGGATCCGGAGGTCTACCAAAAGTTTAGGTACATGTCCAAGGATGCCTGCCGGTTATTATTTGCTTTATTCTCTATACCACTACCACCCTTCCACCCCATCTATGCAGGGATTCAGAAAAGCAGAGCATCTCTGCCAATTCCATTGGATACAAGATAGCTCTATGCAAATAGGCTCCACGTTCATCTGATCTAGATAAGAACGTTTTGAGGCCAAACAAAAAAAATACTGACTAAGATCCTTTGCGCTAATCAGTGACCCATACAAAGGAATCGGACTTTGCAAATGATTATTTTAATCAAAGAACTCACCATGGCAAGGTTATACATAGAACCAGAATGACCAATCATGTTCAGGTCTAATCACAGCAGCCTAAATGTAAAGATCCTATATCATGAGAATGTCGCTAATATTCAAGTTATTTTCTTTCTACTCCGGATCCATCTTATCCAAAGGAGCAATTACAAACACTCTATCCCATACTGTCCCATTTACAGGCATGCATGCAACTACTCAAGGTCTCAACGATTACATTCCACGTCCTGAATTTATCATGCCGAACATCGACAGGAGCGAAATTTCCGGGACCATGGAGATCTGGTCCAAAAAGAGCGCATCAAACCCCGGAAACTGCGTGTGTGGCAGATATTTCTTCTACTCCAGCCTCGCAGACTGCGGTCATTGTGTTCAAACATACGCCCTGAAGTGTGGAAATGCGGTGCTCCCGAGCACTAATACTGGATTCTGTGGAAGGACGGTACCCGTTAATCATGTTGTCACCCACCGCATCAATGAAATGTGCGGTCAATGCCAGGCTAGAAATGTAGGTTAAGGTTGGCCGGGCCACGTCGATGGCCGAGGCACTGGTGAATTGCTACGCAATCTGGAACGGGCACCGAGCCCACTCCGGCACGGCCCAACCACCCTTGCTCACATGTGCATAGATGCGCAAGCCTCCAATAGTCCAGACTTGGACAGAGGCGCCGCGTTGGTGAGACAGCCGATCTGCCATCGGTTTGGTAGGCAACACGTAATAATGCAATGGACCAAAGGAAGCTAGATTCAAAATGACAACTACTACATGGCACTTGCTCCTCTACAGCGGGCTGGATGCCTGGACATACTCGCAGTACTAGTTCCTGCCAGCTTCATCTTAGCGTGCATGTAACGAGACGGTCGGAGGCTCGGAAATAAGGATAATAGTAGGGTATCAATCACGGGGCGCAAGCCTGCGGATACTGAAGAGCTGAACCAGGAAAACCATAGAGAAACAACAAAACTCTGCCGGATGATACTGATCGATTTGAAAATAAACATAACTGAGAAGCAGATCGTGGCTTCTCCGGGCCTACTGACTGTGAAGCCCTGACTCGACTCCGTCGTAAAAGTTATCTTCGAGGTGCAGTCTCCTACAAGTGCAGTGTACTACTAGTCAGTAGTTAAATTCCAAGGTAGAAATGACAGGGACTCGTGCAATATTGACGAAGAAGCATCATCACACAGCGTATATCTTGTTCAACGGAGAGGTTGCGGGATATCAATACTGGCTCTGCAAAAGTGGGTTGATAGGATATACTCCATGCCAGTGAGCCTATCCCCCCCCCCAATGGAAAGCCAAGAGGCCATCATAGATAAACCTTGGAAGAGTGTCGTCCAGACTACATGCTCATTACACCCTGCTTGGATAATTGACACAGTGAGTGCCCCAGAGAAGTCTTGTTGTTCCTCCCACGTCAGCCCACTCTATCCTCATCGTATTAGATGAATGCTACAATAGACATGGATTGTCCGAAAAGTCTAACCATGTCAAGTTTTGGTTCATTGACGGCCGGCTGGTACCTAAAACCCTTGCGCCTTGATATGACGGACACCATGGCGAGACCCATGAAACCCCGGATACTGCTGATCTGGTGTTGACGCGTACATGTAAGGTTATCGTTGAGAACGTTAATTATATTACCACTAAAACGAAGAGACAGTAGTTGTATCTCACGCACCGTTGGCACTAGCTTGCAGCACCATTGTCATTCACACCATCAAAGATTGGTATTTATTCAATCAATTCTCTGCTCCGTTACAAAAAAACACAGAAAGAAGGCAGGCCATACTGCATCTCCAAAGGAGGTTGAAATCTGCGAGTATTTGCATTTTACTGTCTGCTTATTCTAAAACAGCGATTTTAGCCTGGGAAAGATGCAGCACAACTGTCCGTTGCGTGGAACGGGCGAAGTCTATGACAGGACTAATGTATACCTAGGCATATATCGTAATCCTGTGTTCAATATCAATAGATCGCGGCTGCGCCGCTTGATCACCAGAAGCCCAGATACATACCCCGCCGTGGCTTCCGATATTGCTGCAACCAAAGTACTACCCGCCCTTTGTCTTATGAGACACGCTGGCCACGGCAGGCCGGTCAGTGTGGCTCAGTGCTTGCCATCGGCTTTGATGTCCACGTGGGTGCGGCCAGGGCGGCAGTGTAGTTGCCCAACAAGTTCCGCAGAGTAGCAAGAAGGTCTTTCAACCTAACAAGTTGCAGCGAGCCAGCAAAATATGGTCCTTCACGGCCCCTCTAGCCTCCCTTGCAAACTTCGAGCCCGTGTTCTGTCGCATTGATCTTCTCATCAGCGAACCCATGCAATAATGCAGCCTCTTTACAAGACCCTCGCCATGACAGCGCTAATAAGCCTCAGGGTGCTGGCGTCGAAAGTATGTCTGTCCCCTATACGAAAGATATCTTCACGATTGCAGGCGGGCTGACCATCCTCCAGGGCGAAGTTCAACCAAGGCAGATCCAAAGCTCCTGCAGCACCAGGCTGGTCACTTCCACAAGCACATACCTCGTCTATCAACCAGAAGTATTCAGCAATCCCCCAGAAATAGGCGGCCCTGCCTGGTCAACACGCACCACCGGGACAGGCCTTTACGCAACAAGGACGGGCACAGCAACTATTCAGGTATGTTCTGTTCCATGGGCCCGGCTTATCCTCAAAGCCTGAACTAATCACCATGCAACTATCAGGTCTCCTTTTGCGAACAGATAACAACAACTCAAGCCGTCCCTACCACAGACCCAAGTATTGCCTCGGTAGCACCTACAACAGTCTCGACGCTTTCACCACCGGCCTCGACGCCTCCATCAACAGCAACGTTAGACGGGACGACGGAACCACAGACCGTGACATCGACAATTCCGCCAGTCACAGTGACACTAAGGGTGCCGGAACGTAGTACAGGGACAGAAACAAGCGCCCAAACGTCCCCGACACCCTCATCAACACAAGAGACGGCCACGGTTCCCACTCCAGCAGAGCCAGACCCAACACCCACAGAACCAGCCGCCCAACACACAATAAGCACATGCGCCATCACATCAGCCCCATCGGCCACCGCCCCGCCCCCGTCCGGCCCGGGCTCAGACCTCACATGGGGCTGCCCCCCGGGGACCAACTGCTCCCCGCCGAGGCCACAGCCCTGCGACGCATGGTCCGACTCGCCCGCGGACGAGTTCACGTGCCAGGCAGCGCACTGCGCGCCCGCCAGGGCCCTGGTCCTCAGCGGAGCCGGGAACGGGAGGTTCCCGCTCAACGAGGGCTACTTCGACCTCGACCCGGCGCGGTTCGGGCTGGGCTTCGACATCTTCGCCAGGCCGGGCGGCGCCCTGGGGCGCCGGCTCCAACAGCAGCAGCAGCAGCACAGCGCCGCCAACCTCAGCGTCTTGGACGACAATAACAACAACAAGTCCCACCCGCAGAAGCCCCGCGACTTATCGAACGACCTGATCCCGGCGGCCTGCTTCAGCCCGTGCAACAGCGCCTACCTCGAGGCGCAGTCGATGGGCAAGACACCCCGCCTGTGCCGCCCCGGGTCGGCCTTCATGGCCTACCACCGCGGCTGCGAGGACTGCGCCGGCCGCAACGCGGGGCAGACGGCGGGGCTCACCACGGGGGGCCCGGGCGACCCTGACTACCTGGCGGGCAAGTTTGCCCAGTTCCTGCGGTACTGCAGTGTGGTTTCCGGTGGTGGTGGCCCGCCGTCGTCGTCGGCTGGGGCTGGTGGGGCGGAGGAGGAGAAGACATCATCATCATCATCATCATCCAGGCCAACAGCCTCCGCCGCCGAGGACGGTGGTGCTGCAGGTGCTTCACCCCGTCCGGACTCTGGCGCAGCGTTCGCGGAGGCACAGCAAGGGGGGAAACCGGCGGGTGCCTCGCCGCCGCCTGCCCTACCGTCACCACCACCATCATCATTATCATCACCCGCAGTGGAGGAGGAGGGGACCAGCCCGGGCACGTCCGAGGCCGCCGCGGCAGACCTGAAGGCGCCGGCGCAGCCCGAGACCCCACCGGGTGCCGCGCAGGCGGCTGGGTCCCATGCAGTAGCAACAGCGGGTGTCTCGTCATCAGGAAACGCCGCCGCCACGGTCCACGGTGCACCCTCGCCGTCGCCGTCGACAGGGGCCGGCATATCCTCCTCCTCCTCCCTCGGCACCACCACCAAGCCGACCGGGACAGGGCCAGCAGCAGTAGCCACCGCGGGCTCTCCCAGAAGCGTACCTGGTCCCCTCGCGGGATACGGCACAGTTCCATTTGCCGCATTTGTTTCCTTTTTAATTGTATAAGTGGGTTTTCGTTTCCGATGCCCATACATATAAAACATATATGGCACCTTTATAGAGTGGTAAAAGCTTAAGACCCAGCTTTGTTTTTAAACAAAAAAAGACACAATGCTAATAATTGTGCAGAGAGAATACAATATGCATGTTAATTGTATGATATTTACCATGTCCAAGGTGGGTCGCAGCAACCCAGAATAATGGCATGTCAAGTCTGTCTCCTTGCATGTGGTCCGGGGGGCATTCAACCCCAATCTATGTACAAGAGGGGACCGGACCTCAGGATATATGAATACATACACACACATACACACACATCATTACATCATTACAATCATATTTAAATATACTCAGTTCCACAGCAACCACCACATTCTACCGCAGTGGGCTGGCTGACTCGGCTAGGCTCATTAATAAATGGGAGACTACAGGAAGAGAGAGAGAGGGAAGTCCTCATAATCAAGGCCCATCCATCAATCCATCTCACCATGATCCCAAGAGCCCCTTCTGGGTGGATTGGATATCTCCTTCTTCTAAAAAGAAAACGCCCCGCCCCGACCAGCCTAGATCTTCTCACTAGGAACCTCATTAACCCCCTCGGCCTCGAGGCTCTTGTCGGCACCGGTGTGGCCCGCGTTGGGCTGCTGGCTGCCCTTGTACTCGGACTTCTTGAGGTTGTTCCACTTGTCCTCCTCCTTGTCGAGGTCCTTGAAGCACAGCCAGAACCCGACGCCGCCCGCCGCGGCGATGATGGCCACGGACCCGTAGTTCCACACCCAGTTGGGGTCGCCGGCCAGCGGGGTCCACGCCTGGCCCAGCGCCGACGACACGGCCGACATGAACAGGTTGACGCTCATCACCACCGACTTCATGTTGTCTGGCGCCTTGGAGAATGCGTACTCGTACGACGTGGTGTTGGTGAAGATCTCGGACAGGCCGACCAGCACGTAGGGCAGGCACTGGGCCCACACGTTGATGGGCGCCACGCAGCCCTCGTCGGTGGTGCGGTCGCCGCAGGGGGACATCTTGTAGATGTAGTACTGCATGACGGCGGCGGCGACCATGGACATGGCGGAGAAGCCGAAGCCGAAGGCCATGCGCTTCAGCGGGGTGAAGTTGATACCGATCCTGCGCAGGCCCGGGTAGACGAATCGGTCCAGGATGGGGATCATGATGACGATGGAGATGGGGTTGAGGTTCTGGATCAGGTCATTCGGCGCGCCGTGCAGCTCCATGGTCGAGGCTTGCCTGGCGGGTTGTTAGCTCGTGATCGCATCATGAGTGGCGGTAAGACGCCGGAAATGAGATAAATACTTACGTGGTGAGGTTGTTGGTCATCTGGTTGTAAGCCAGGAAGAAGATTGGCAGGAAGAGGAAGACCTTGCAGGCCTTGAGACCACGTCGGACCTCGTCGACCCACTCGTCATCGTAGGTCATCCAGCCCGGCCGGCTCTCGACGGGAATGTTGGACGGGCGAACAGCATCCCAGGTGAAGCTGCGCTTGAAGCTGGGCGGGTTGAAGATCTTGCCCCAGTTCCCCCTCATGGCCAGGCCAAACATCTTGAAGAATTTGCCCAGGACGGAGCCGGTAGGAGGGCTCAGGGTGTACTTCTTCTTCATGAGGAAGAGGATGATTGGGCAGATGGCGAAGATGACGGTTGGGAGCAGGAAGGCCAGCCAGAAGCCGACGTACAGCTCAACATAGACCATGGAGATCTGGCCGGACAGGGAGCCGAGGTTGATGGCCATGTAGTAGTAGAGGAAGATACGGGTGTTTGTGACGGCGGGGTCGACGATGACCTTCTCGCCCTTCTTGGTGGTCTCGACGTACATGCGGCGGTCGTGATTCTGCTCGGCCAGAAGCGGTGCCACGTTGGCCTTGAACAGACCGGTGCCGATACACAGAACGAGCATGCCGATGACGAAGGCGCCGAGAGAGTTGTTGGGGTGGGTGATGACGCTGGGGGCTGAAGCAGCCACCAGGATAACGTGGGCAATCATGGAGACACAGATGGCGATGTGAATGACCTTGTAGCGGCCGAGTTTGGCGTCAGCGAGCCAGCCACTGAGACACAGGTTAGCATGTATTCATTCGCTCGTTTGCTGCCCTGCGACTGTGCCGTTTGAATCGACCAAGTAGCACGCCTTGTAGGCGAAGAACTCACCCGAACAGAGGAACCAGGTAGGCAAAGAACTGGTTTGTGAGTGAAATGCCCTGGCCGGCGCGAGAGCCGAGACCCAAGGCGCCGGACTGGCCTCCACGACCGTACCCAGCACCGGTATTGGAGCCATCTGGGAGAGCGTGGACTACAAAGTTGGTGTAGAGTATGCTGGAGCCGTAGTAGGAGAAACGCTCTCCCAGCTCACAGACGGCAACCGAGTAGGCAGCCCAGTTGATCTTGCCGGAGACCCTGCGGAGTGTGCGCAGCTCCTCTTCTGTGGGAAAGGGGTAGTCTTCGTCGAGCAGGCCGTCGCCGCCGTGGGAGCTGTCAGGGATGTTTGTGACATCGATGCTGCCCTTGCCGGCCCTCAGCTCGTCGACCGTGCCCAGAGGTGGGCCAGGCTCAGTGCCATGGATGGCAACTTCAGCCTGAGCGATCTCGGCTCTGTCCAAGTTCACGGTCTGCGACATGGCTGAACCTGATGAATGGAAGTTTGGGGAGAGGGTGGAAGAGGGGGCAGGGAGGGGGGAGGCGTGCAAAGGCAAACGACCTGGGACATGCCAGCAACTTTATTCTCTCTCGCTCGCTGGAACAAGCTGCAGGGCCTCGGGTTGATCTCGCCCCTGCTCAGATGTGTGCCCTTCATTCACCCATGTCACCCATGTAAGTCTATCTAGGCCAGACCAGGTAGCTGGATACAGCCAGAAATGACCTAGCCGCGGTGATGGAACCTAGCGCAACGAGGACGATTCAAATGTTACTGTTAGTCCCGCCGCACGCCTCCGCATGTGGTCTCCACCCCAACAACCACCCTGGAATGGCCCATCACCCATGTGCAGGGGCCCCTGACACAGGTGAATGGGAAGATGGGGAGGCTCAAGGGTCGGGCGACGGCAGCCGAGGTGCCCTGATTCGTTGGCGGGTGTTTTGGGGGCAGCGAGCGTGGCGGTCCATAGGGTGACCGGCAGGCCGACAGGTTCCAGCCTACACTACTGCAACGTTAAATCGACGAGCGCACGGGGCCGGACCTGAGATTGACAGAGGCAAAAAGGTAAAAGGGCCTATCCAACCACTACCCAGTCTGCCCTAGGGTAATCTCTAGTGGCCACCGCGATTGTTGAATGCTGACGTCTTGTATTTGTTTTGGTTTTTACGACAGCACATGACAGGATATTATCGATATCTCGTTTGCACCACGGTTGTCTGTGAGCACTTCGGTTGTACCTCGGCCCATGTGCTGTTTGAACCAATCCGGATCGCAAACGATGCCAGAGGGCTGGAAGATTAGAAGAACAGCAAAAACTGGACGGAACCCACGCGACCATGCCGGTGGCCACGGTGATGGTAAGGACCGATTGGGGCGGGGGAAACCTGGCAGACCGTGGGTGGGAAACGGCACAGTAAGATCTTGGCGGGACTTCGTGCTCGAGAGTCGAGACATGGCTGCTGGCTGCTGGCTGCTCTCCAACTCGGTCAAATACGGACTGGCGGCTTGGCGGTTCTGCTGCAATTGGCAGGTCGCCACCCCACTGATAAGGTTGCGTGCTCAGCGGTCGCGTGAAGAGTTTTTGTCGAGGGTCATACAACGGCGCATCTTTATCAGTATGCCTGTATTCGTGACAAAATGGCCGATGGGCCGGGTGGGCACATCCTCCCTCAGCCCTCGCGGCTTACTGCCGACGCCTCGAGGGTTTTGTTGATGTTGGATGGGATATCAGCAGATGCGTGTACTTGGCGGGCGGCAGCAGGCGATATGAGGTGAGGCCCGGCGAGCCAACGTGTGTAATTGGGGTTCGTCAACATGGCATCGGTTGCCTTGTCCCCCTCGTGCCGGGCATGTTGTACATGACTGCCTGACTGCCTAGCGATCCTCAGTGTGCTCCGTACCATGGACCATCTGTGTGGGACAGACCTCGGCAAGGCAAGGCTAGAGCCACGCTGCCACGCTGCCACGATGGCCCTCGAAGCTGAACCGTCCCGTCCTCTCTGAGCGGTACTGCACATGCGCGGCAAGGCGGCCAGCAGCATGGCCGGAGACTATTATGGTGGACTGCGGAGACCCTCGCCACCCTCGACACACAGGACTGTGGTAAACCTGGGCTGGCGTAGCACATTGGTTGGCGTCCGTTATCACGGCGGAGCCCTGCCCCGGGAGGGATGGCGTTCTAGAAGGACTAGAAGGATTCTAGTGCCCAAGGCGTGCATTGCATTGCCCGCTGGCTCGACGGGCTGGCTTCGAGAGAGGATTCGAACTCGTAAAAAAGTTCCCAGGACGCCAGGCACCTTCTGGATCGGGGCAAGCCGAGGGATGGCCTAGCTGACAAGTGTGCCGCACGAATGGGGGAGGGGGGGTTGATTGTCGATGCAATTCGGATCAGGGCCGATGATTGGGTGCTCGGCTGTCGTCCCCCAGGTCGTCCCCCAGGTCGTCATGTCTGCATGTTGCATCGAACAGGTCCAGCTGGGCTGCTGGGCCATGTGCATGCATGCATGCCCGTCCAGATGTTCCCGTCGGATTGCACGTCGGGTTGTGAGCGATGGATGATGCGCTGGACTGTTGGCTGGTTGGTTGGTTGGTTGGTTGGCTGGCTGGCTGGCTGGCCTAGTCTGGTCTGCATGGTTTGGGTAATTAATTGATTGATTGATGTTTGACTGAGGACGACTGACGATCGCGGCTGTCGACAAACCAGAGAGAGGGTCAGGGTACCCAGTCTTCAAAGTTCCTTCCTATCAGTTCCCCGTTTTCCTCCCGTCGATACCCCCGTCTTGCCGCGCCTGGACGGAGTACTCCGTACTCCGTGCCTCTAAGCTTGAAGTTCCGCCCGTTGGAGAAGCCACAGCATGTCGCTCTAGCCCTTCTTCCCCTCCCTCACCGACGTGCCCAGCCTGCGACTGCCTGCCAGCCTGCCTGCCTCGCCCAGAATGTGCACGCACGAATGTTATTGCCCCATCTGGGAAAAGCACCAGCCAGTGCCAGGCAGGCCCAGCGTGCTGCTGCTGCTGTTTGCGAGAGCGACAACTACCTTACCTTGGTAACATCGACAGACTCCTTCCTTTCCTCTCGCTATCGCATCGATCAGGATACAAAAGACATGACCGGCGGCTGCCTGGATGCAACTTGCCATCTCAGGGCATCCCAGTCCGCACCACCATGTTACCGTGAGCTTGGGCCCGGGCAGACTGGCAGACCCCAGAGAGATCGCCGCTGGCCAGTGCTGGGGCCAAGACCACACGGCCGGGCCCTGATGCTGCTGATGGCCACTGCCCCGACGGCCTTTGACAGCCAAGGAACCGCATGCGGAAGCTGTTTGGTAATACGCTGTCATTCCGTCCTCGTAACCGTGACACGACCAAATGCACCCTCCCAGGGCTAATGATAATAAGCACGCCAACCTTACTCGGGCGTCTGTCTGCCTCTCTCTTGTTTCGCAGTTCCAAGGTCGATCTGCTGAAGATTACAGACATCACAACCACCGTCGCCGACGTTGCTGCTCGGCCGTTGGGCCAAGACATCAAGACTTTTTAGTCACTCGACTGCCCCGTCGTTGCCCAGTCGCCCCGATTGCTTGCCCAAAGCTTGTCCCCACACAAGCCAGCACCGCCTGCTTGGCTGCCGTGCTTGTCCTGCTGGGCAAGGCGGCAGGGGTTACATTGCACAGCGCGGGGCCGCCACATGAAGCCGTTGTCGCTTACTGTTTAACCAACAATGGTGTCTGTATCTGTATTTCAGCCAATGGCCCAAGTTAGTTGTCTTTCTCCAGTACTTGGTGGCTCAGCCCGAGCTGGCCGGTACTGCTGCTATAATTGCAAGTGCATTGTAATATTGGGCAGTCAGGCGAAGTCCTGGGCACTGGGCTAGGCATGTTATGTCTGTGACGTTGCGAGCCGTATCAACTTTCGGGAGCGAAGATATGAAATGCTCCCAAGGTTGTTTCAATCAACTGCCTGGGTCAGTGCTTGCTTACGGCCCGCTGAAGTTAGAATGAAACATCTTATTCAAGCGTTGCCAGGAGTAAGTCACGGCATTTTTGTTCTCGAAACCGAAGAAGGGTTCACGTCAAAGAAATAGACACATGGACTATTTATTCCAAGGTTGCACACCAGAGTGTCTCAGAGCTGATCCACCGGAATGTAATAGTTATGACAGCTAAGCCGGCCGTATAGCTTAACTTCTGTTGTTGGCTGTGAGGAAGTCCCATCTAGAGCCCCGGGTGACGATCGGTAGTTTCCAAGCAAGATCGAAGCTCGAGGTCTGGAACACTTTTACTGTGAAGAACACTTATCAATCATACGAGTGGTTGAGAATTCAAACCTCGACCCCGAGCAACGCTTGCACCAACGTCGCCAGCGAGCACATAAGAGTCAAAAGACACCCACGTTGATACAAAACGTCGACGACCTCTTTTCGGTGACTCCCCCGTGCTGTGGTCAGCGGCACCTCTATTAGCTGGATTTTCACACCCATACATTGCTTTGGGTTGGTGTTTGATATTCTATCACTGCCCGCGCGGGTGGTTAACTAACCGGTCCTCATATCACTGCGGTCTTTTCGTGATACATCTATATGTACAGAGAGAGCAGCACGCACGCTCTGGTTGTGCTTCTCTAACACGCTGCAAGGATGAACAGGGGCGGGACTATCTTTCCTCATCGCCAAACGTATGTCCACACGGGACGCATGAGACGGCCGCATTCTGTAGGTGACCTTGTTGGTGTCAATTCTCAGCATGTAAGTTGGGTAAATAGGTGCTCTTGGGCTTTCTTGATGATAGCCGGCGGCAACACAATGAAGTACCGAGATCGACTTTTCGGTCATCTTGTTTCGGCACATTTAACTTACAAACAATAAAAGTCTACACTAATGTGAGTCTATGAGCCCGGAGTGCTCATGACGCTTGCCCTCGGTGGCGCATTCCATCGCAATCGGTCCGCTGAGTGCCTCGTTGTCGAGGCTACCAATGTATTCGATTTATCAGGCTTCCCTTCCAATCACCATAAAAGTAAGAATGAGCCGCTGGATATTGAACGCCTTTCCTGTCCCGTCACTTAGTGACGGTACGGGTCTTATGTACTGCTAGAGATAACCAATAGGCAGATTGGTTATTATGGTCTTTTGGCCGGACGGTCAAGGCGTGTGGCTAGGAGTCGCGCCTTCCGTTGCACACTTCTGCGTCCTCAAAAGTCACCGAGGCGGTGGTAGGGGACAGCCGGTAGGACCGTAAGTGGGTGTGGACTGCAGAGCACAGCCATTCAGAGCCTCGTTCTCCGAGGACAGTCTACTCTCCCCCCTGCGGAGGTTCCTCATCTCCCTGGAGGCTACCGAAACACCGTTGCAGGAGACTCAAACAGGCCCCTGGCAGTCGCCGAGTGGCGCGTCTCGGCCTCATCCTCCGAGGGGGGTGCCCGCAACCTCGAAGGCGGATCAGAGTCACTGTCCTCGTCCATCGTGACAGACGGCGTGTCACTGTCGTCGGCCTGCTGGCGGGCGGCAGTAGAGGTATCCGGGGTTCCCGGCGTGGGGTCGCCAGGAAACGTCGGCGACTTCAAGGCCTCGCCAAAATCCTGCCCTAGGGTCCTGCCTTCGGCGCTGAGGGCTGTGAGACCCCGCGCGAAACTCCTGGTCGGCGCGTCAGCCGGCGACGGCGGCTCCTGCTCCTCCATGGCCATGCGCGCGTACATCCTGGCCGCCAGCTCGTCGGGTGAGGGCAGGGAAGGCCTGCGCGCATTTCTCCCCGTCACGTCCATGTCCCTGTGCTCCTCATCTTCAACGGGGAGCCCCTCCCTGGTCAGCTTGGCACCCTCTCCTCCTGCAGCCGTGGGCCCCCCCTCGGCAGCAGTCGCTTCGTCCTCTGGGCCTGCCGATCTCATCTCCGCAGTAGCAGATTCCGCCTCGGAAGCCGCAGGTTCAAATTCCGCAGGCGCAGAGTCGAACCCCGCAAGCACAGATTCCGCCCCGTCCAGCTGCCGCGGGCCCTCCAGCACGTAGCCATCATCCGACGGACAAGCATCCTAAGCCGTCTCGCCCGCCTGAGGCGCCGTGCCGTTCGTAGGGGCCGGCGTGGAGCCCGCGCCGGGGGCAGCAGAGCCAGGCACGCCGGGCAGCGGCGGCCGGGCCAGCTCGCCGGCCTCGAACTGGCCGTAGCCACCGCCCTCGCTGACGAGCCACTTACGCCTGTTGGCGCGGAGCTGGTTGAGCATGGCGAGGACCTGCTGGGTCTCGGAGCGGATGGTCTCCTCGGTGCGGTCGCCCTCGCCGGGCTTGCGCAAGGGCCCGACTATCCAGAGCTCGCGGATGCGGCGGGTCAGGGAGAGCAGGTTCTCGACCGATTTTATCTGTGGGACGAAGTCAGTGGAAACCCTCCCGGAGCACAGGTTTCGGTGGTGGGGCGGGGAAAGACAAAAAAAGAGACATACCAGAGTCTGGGTCTCCAGGTCCATGGCCATGCTGTTGTACGAGGCCTGGCCGGTGGAGGTCTTGTTGGTTATGGGCTCTGTGGCGAAGTTGACGAGATCACGATAGCTTGTGAGGATCTCGGCGACGATCTTTCCCTCTTGGTCTGGGAGATGGTCAGTGACTGACTGCCTGGCAAACGGTCGTGAACGGTGGAGCAAGGAGGACGGCGGGCGACCAAGGAGCTTGCTTACCAAGGAGGCTAGCCGCCGCGGCGGGCTGATTGCGCTCCATTCTCGAGGATGGCACACGTAAGTGCACAGAAGAAAGAAAAGATAGCTAGTCGATGATTATGATGAATTGGCAGCGGGAGTAAGTGTGCTGCCCTGTGTTGGTGGGTGGACGAGGTTGAGATTGAGATCAAAAGTTGATGTGCTTGGTTCAAGGTGAGGTCGCAGCTTGCCGTACCAGGTACCCGAGTACAGTAGCTCGAAGCTTGGTGGGCACTGGGCAGGGAGCTTGGGCCACTGCGACTTGGCTGGCGCACACTGTGCCGACACACGGCCAACCAAGCTTGTCACTACCACCTCAGGCCCTCCTCTCTTCGACTTCATCTGCCATCATTTCATACTTCATGATCATGACAAGACCGATACTCTAGGAGCCACCGAGAACCCATCAAACAGTCATGCATCCCATTTTAAGATCTTCTATGACGCCTATGCTTGGAAGTCAATATGCCACGATTCATGCGCAAAGTGCAAACAACCAGTTCGACTCCGCGCCAATGCAATCGACCTCGTCCCTCGTCCCTCATCCATCGTCCCTCGTCCATCGTCCCTCGTCCATCGCCCATCGTCCATCATCCATCCATCCCACCCTCGATGCTTCGTCTTCTTCGGTCGTCAGAATCATAGCTGCTGACTGTCAGTGCCTGGAAGTGACTTCTCGCCAGAGTGAGAGGCCACTGTGCTTACCCTGAGAGGCTCGTCGAGGTCATAACGCCCCCCACAACTGAGCTGCGGGATCTGCTCGTAATTGTCCACCAGCTTCCCTCGGGTGGCCAGCAATATCTGCCCCTTCATCAGTCTCCCATCCACATCACACATGTCCACTGACACTGCCAGGAAAGCACATACCTCTCGATAGGTCAGGCCGGGCTCCTCCCTCATCGTCCCGATGAAAGCCCACGACATGGCCCCCGTCGCCGACCCCGAGATGGTCGCGTCCGCAGACGTCTGGTCATCCCGGCAGCCCGAGAACATCCACACGTCCTTCCCTTCCGTATGCCAGTCCTTCTCGTCCGAGAACGTCTCAGCCGCCAGTCCCTCCTCGTCTGCCTCCTCGCGCGCGTGCGCCAGCCCGTGGAAAAAGTCCGTCGCACCACCCAGAAGCATCTTGGCGTCTGCGATCTTGTCGCGGCTGAAACCCCCTCGCATCAGCTCCCCCGCGGCGTGGATCAGCGCCTTGCCCTTTTTCAGGTGGTCCAGCAGGTTGATGTTGCCATCCTCATCCGGCCGGTATACGAATGGCAGCTCGCACGCCGAGCCCGAGTGGCAGCAGTCGAACAGGATCGTCAGTCGTGCGTTGGGGTTCATGGGGCTTATGATACTTCTGTGCAGCTGTGCGGCAACATCGCGTCAGTCACGGTCAGCCACGGCCAGCCACGCAGGCTACACTGCACTTGGGCTTGGTCGTTGCTCACAATCTCGCTGGATATTTGGCCCGTCTCCGTAAAGTCGACAGGGCAGATGGTATCATCGAAGCCCGTCGGCCGCCCATCATCCGTGTCCTTTACCTGGCCTGCCGTCGAGCTGTCAGCCCATAATCACCTGTCTGCGCCTGCACAGGTGGGTTTGAGATCGCCGTACCTCCGTGCCCCGAGTATGACAGCCACACAATGTCGCCGTCTCTGTTGTATGATGTCAACCACTTGAACGCGGCCAGGATGTTCTCGCCGCTCGGCCAGAACGGTGTGCCCTCGTTTTCCGGTGTGTCGGTCATGATCACCATGTTCTTGGAGTCGTCTGAGAACCCGCGATCATTGACCAGGAAATCGCGCACGTTTTCCACATCGTTGTGGCACCCGTTGAGCTCGTTTTCCGTGCCGGCGTAGTTGATGCCGATCAACAATGCCTTCTTGCGAACCATGTTGAGCGCTTTTTCTTCTGGTCGTTCGAGGATTGGCACGTATACTTGTTCTGGTAGCGGCGTAAAGATGTTGAACAAGCCGTTCCGACGAGTGTCGCAGTAGCCAAACAACGGCGGCGACACGAGAGCGCGGGACTCTCGGAGAGGACATCGTCACCTAAAAGACAGAAATCTTAGTCTCTCTGCCACCGCCGCTCCGGCTTGCGACGCGAGTCACAGCCCCTCGCGCGATGCGGTCCTCCCCGGCCAAACATTTGAAGCTGAACCCCTGGTTCTGTGGGGGCATTACGTCGTGACGGGTCCTGTCCGGTGGGTCGGCCCGCTGTCACAGTCCGCTCAGCCCCCGTAAGACCCTTCCAGCCTCGTGACTGCGGGCTCTGGACCTGTGTGTACAAGCCTTCTCCCCATCCGAGCTCACGATGATCGTGCATGGAAATCGAGCGCTATTCCGTCTTCGTCCTCGCCCACCTGGGTGGGCTCATGCTCGCCATGTCGCTTAGCTAGTAGCGTACCGCCTCTTTTCATCGGCTCGACGCGCAGTTCTGGGCAGCTGGTTTACCACGAGTTTACGAATGTGTCGGAGAATTGGCTGCCTCAAATCTTTCGCAAGATGAGAGCATTGGCATCCCTAGGCTCAAGTGGCTAAAGTGCAGTTGCACTTGGGTACCAGACACAATTTCTGGAAGACCCAACGCTTCACTCCACTACTCGACTCGAAGAATTAACAGGAAGTCTCAATCTGACATTTTCTGTGAGTCACATAAACAGACGAACGCTAATCTCAACATTTGTGAACTCAAAACTAAGCAGATAAATCAATCGTCCTGCTATAATCCCAACTTCCATTGCTGGGGTTGTACTTGAGATCATACGTGACCGACTCATCGACCTGGCCGCCATTATCATGGTTGATACACAGATTTGGCTCGCCATAGTTGCCCATGAACTCGAGCTCGAGCTCAACGCGGGTCCCCGGCTCTAAGCCACCGCGAAAGTCTATCGTTAGAGGCTCGGCGCGAGCGACACGCCTGTTGTTGCGACACCTGACCGAACGGAGGAATGTGCTCGGTGTCCCATCTACGTCCACGCCAGTGATCAAGAGATGGAACTTGCCCCTCGCATTCTGTCCATTCGTGATGATCAGGCGCCGCTGAAGGATGAACGACGGGATGGGGATATCCAGCTTCGCCATGACGCGTGTCATCAGATCGTCCGACTTGGAGAACACCCTGAGGTCAGCAAGGCCATCTACCGGCGTCTTCTGCAGGTTACAGATCGCCAGGAATGGGTTACGCTTGCGGCCCGGGATCTCCGGGATCTCGTTTGCGGGCGTCACCGTCAGCGAGGAGCCCAGGACGACAAACACGTCGGACTTCTCTGCGTGCGCATGCGCGCGCTCAAAGTCCGCCTCGGGCAGGTCCTCGCCGAAGTTGATGATGCTGTCCAGGAGGATACCGCCGCAGATCGCGCACTTGCGGCCTGTGCGGTGGTCATGCACTGGGCGCTCGTCGGGTGCGACGGCCCGGAAGTCTTTGAAGGAGAGGGGAGGACAGAGTCAGTCGGTCGTATGTGAATCACCCGGGGCTGACGCACAGTGACATACCACGGATGTATTCCTTGCCGCAGTCCTTGCAGTACTCGCGGTTGCTGTTTCCATGGAGCTCAGAAACCATGCTCTGTATTGATTAGCCCAAGGTCTCCACCCGCAACAAGCGTCCGGGGTAGACATGTGGGTTGATTACAGGCAAGATCCCACTCCTCCGATGCAGCCCATCGCAGTTCTGGCTGATGAGATACTTAAGCACCCCGCGATTCTGCAGCTCAACGAGGGCCATGTGAGTCGGCGTGGGTATCGCCTCCAGGGTGTCTATAGACCGCAGGTCATGCCCGCGCCCCTGCGCCATGAGCGTCCAGGCGCCCTCGGGGCCCCTGAAGTCCGCGATCCCGGCCGAGGTCGACACGCCCGCGCCCGTGAAGACGACGAGGTGCTTGCTCGTTCTGATCCTGTCTGCGAGGGCCTGCGCCTTCTTGTCGACGGCGGCGGCGGCCTCCTCGTGCTCTACCTCGGCGACTCGGGGGGCGGTGTTGGCCATCTTGGGGAGACGGCTCGGGCGGGGCGTGGACAAGGTATGTTGTTTGTCATTGTGGGAGAGAACACGAACGGCCGACACGTCTTGATCGAAGGGGATGGCCTTTGTATGGACGACGTCGACTCGAGCTGATCGGTGTAAGCGCGTTTATTATGTCGTTCACGCGCTAGGCAGCAGCACCGACGGAGTGTGAATCCTACTCTGCTTGGATACCGCTGATACGGTGGAGGGCGGATGAAACGGTCTAGTGCCGTTTTGTCACCGTTTCTTCAGAACAGCACCGCTTAAGAGAAAACGGTGCGCCGTCTCACGCTGGGAATATTGCCTTCTCTCATCAATTAATGTGGGGGTATATTGATTCACACTGGGCTATCCAGCAGCTTCAAGCATGCTTGGATGCCATACTGAATACCTAGGTAAGCATCTATCCTTGGGCCTTTCTGTATTTCGATCACAGAGTCCATGGGTCCCAGCCCTGGAGTCCCAAGCAGCCGTCCCGCGACCCATCGTTTGCAGCACGTGCAACGTGCGCAGCATGATGGCCCAGGTCCGGACCTCAAGTCTCAAGTGGTTAGCCGCAGGATCGCCGGGCTGAACATTACTTTCGAGGAAGAGGCCCCGAGGGAGAGGACGGGCGGGCCTTTGATTCATATCAAATTACACCTGGTGTCCCTCTCATACCAGCATGATGCCACCAATGAGACCAGCGACCACAGCCAGCGCCCGTGCGGGGATGGCCTCGAGGACACTGCCACCCGCCGTGACGATACCACTCCCAGAGCCCGTCTCCCCAGTCGAGCTGCCCGAGCCGCCAGCTCCTGCAGAAGCCGAAGGGGCCGCCCCGCTTGTTGCCGCGCCTGTCGCCTCCGACGTTCGCGGTTTGTCCGAAGGCTGAGGCTGAGGCTGAGGCTGGGGCGTTGCGACTGGCTGAGTTGGCACAACAGGGGCCTACGTGAGAGCGAGTCAGTCAGGCTCAATGTGCAACGCCATGGCCGTAGGACGAGGAAGACTTACCGGAGCTCCGGGCGTGACGGCGGGTGGCGTCTGGATGATCGAGGTGAAGGTTGCGATGGGGGTAGTGCCCGGGGCCACGGGCGGCACGGGCGCCGGTGCTGCACCACCACCACCTCCGCCGCCGCCGCCGCCGCCATTGTTGTCGACCAGAATGCCAACGCCCGCGCGGGCACCCTTCATGTTGTTCGCCGTGAGGAACTGGTCGACATTAAGAGTCTCGCCGGCCTGAGGCAGGCCGGAGATGGTCGTGCCCGAAGGCTCCTGGAAGAGCAGGAACGAGTACTGGCGCTGGCCCGTCTCGCCCAGGCTGCCGGGCGGGGCGTAGGCGACCAGGGGCTGCGCCTGCGACGAGATGCCCGTCTGCACGCCGTCGGCCTTGAACTGGTCCTGCGCGAAGTGGAGCACGGGGGCGGCCGGGTCGGTGGTGTCGAGCATCATGACGAGGAAGGCGATGCGCGTGTTGACGGCGGACTGGTCCGAGAGGGCAAAGACGGGGTCCGTCGCCACCGCCGCCGCCGGGAGCGTGCTGCCGTCTTGGATGCCGTCGAACCGGCTGCCCGTCCCCTGATAGCTGACCTCGAGGCCGAGGCTGGTTGTGAAGTCCGAGGTGAGACCCGGCGGGATGATGCTGCCTCCTTGGGCGTGGGCCGTGGCGGCCATGAGGCTGAGGAGCAGCCATAATAGGGGTCTCTGTGTCGTCGCCATGTTCACTCGTACTCGTCTGAAAAGAAACAACCAACAAGAAAGTATGCACCTGTCGTCCGGAGATTTATCAGACCAACAAAAGTCAGCTGGACTTTGGCTCGACCACACCCCTTCGCGTGGGCCATCTTAAAAAAAGAATTAAGCTTGTATATAACCTTCCCATCCCGCCATGCAGGGCTGTCTGTCGTCAGGGGTGCAACTGCCAGTGATGGGGAAGGGGTTTGAAAAAGGGAAAAGTAGGGGTCAAGTCTGAAGATCGGACCGAGAGGATTGGCGTTTCATCACACCCCCTCCCCTAACAGCACCGCACCGCCGCGCCGCCCCCGCCGCGCTAACGTCTACAACCGGCCGTCAGTCACGGTTTCAAGATGGGACTTCAGAGTCGTCGACCCAGGCAGATTTCGTGAAAGCGCACACATGCAGTACGGCCGCCAGCGTACATTACATACCTGCCCTGTAGCCCCGCCGCTAGAAAATTGCCCGTTTGGGGAGATCTCCAGACGGGGGAGCCGCAGCGCCGGCTGGTGGGCTTTCCGTCTGCTTGGCGGGCATGAACGGACGCCTTCTCCTGCCCCGGCGGCCCTGCTTGGCGGCGGGTGGTTGCTGGGCTTACTACATACATGTACGATCGATTGCTTGTCTTCCTTCTGATCTGTGTTTTATTTAGCTGGGGTGCGGCCTAAATGTGTATTTAAGTCTGTCTTGGGGTGTAGGGAAGCAGTGTGGACTTCAGTATTCCATACCGTGCGTTAGTAGGTACTAGAGATGGTCACCATAAATATCCATACCTTTCTAGTAACCTCTTAATTACTACACTACTTCTCTTCCTTTAAGGCTATTATTATAATATTCGTTTTAATCTAACGATTATAATAATATATATTATCAAGCCTTAATAATCACTTTAAAATTATAAGGTTATTCTAAAGGCTTAAAACAGTTATAGAGAAAAAGGGGTTATAAGAGTAGAAATAGACTTACTAGGGAGGCTCCTTCCTTCTAAGTAACTCTCTCCTTATTACCCTATAGTTAGTCTCCTACTTAGGTATACTAACTAGCTAAGAGAGAATTCCTTCCTTCCCCTTCCTATTAGGTCTTTTTTAGCTTTTTAACTTTAATTGGCCTGCTTCTAATAGCCCTACTTCTAAATCTCTAGATATACTAGTAGTTGATTCTAACTAATTAACTTAAAGAAGGAAGGTAAAGGACTTAATTGAAGTTAAAGGAAGGAAGGAAGAAAGGAAGGAAGGGGAAGAAGTACTCCTCCACTCCTTAACTTCTCTATAATCATTCTCCTTTCTACAAGTCCTTCTATAAGTCCATTTCTTCTCTCTATAACTACTTTTCCTCCCTAAGTCTCTTATTATTAGAAGTACACTAAGATACTATTTAACTACTTAAAAGTCAATATTCTCTCCTCTTTAAGTATATTTAAAGTCAGTCTTATAAAAAAGGAATTTTCTATTTAGAGGGTGTTTATAGTGACCATCTCTAGTACCCACTAACGCACGGTATGGTTCAAACAATTGTTTGCTGTGTGTGGCTCTGGCTGGATAACTGGGATTGCATTTGCATCACGGTAGTCAATATGTCGATCCTGCGAAGACAAAAGTTTACCCTGGGGCAGTTGGTCGGCCCACGTCTGGCATGAGGGACTCAGCGTGACCACTTGAGCATCCATGGATTGAACTGAACGACTTGAACTTGGTCTCATATAGATGGGGCATCTTTAATTTTCTCAAGGGCGTCGACTTCCTGCTATAAAGGGGATCGGGGACTTGGTGTTTCATCCACTGGTAAGTGTCCACGGGTATACGGTTCGTGAAATATTTATTAGCCCTTTACCTCGGAACACCTTGTTCCCTCTGTCGATATATTGCGTTGCCAGCCCAAAGATTGTCTACTTGCACTCCATCAATATCAATCCTTGCCACCAGCTATGGTTTCGCCTGTGTTGCTACAGTGCTGAGGTTCGATTCCAATCCCAGCAGGTTCAAGAATGGAACGTCTTCTTTGAATACGTTACAGGACCAGGTTCGAAACTGGGAAGCCAACATTGTGTGACTCTGAATCTTGCAACTAACCTCTTGTAATCTGCTTTGTCCGGCGGGATGAGCAACAACTTCCTGCTAATGAGAGATCCAACAGCCCCCGTGAGGCCGCTCACGCTGGTCTCTGCCTCCACGCATGTGCAGTCGCTGCAACATGGTGGATGCCTTTGAGCCACTGCGCACGGGACTGTTCCCATCTCTTGTCACTGCTGGCGTAGATATGATCCCGGTGACTGAACTCGCAGGCCGCCCAAGAAACAGCTGCCCGGTGTTAGTCCATCCGTGTGTGGGTGATATCGTATCCCCGGGAGAGCAGGTTTGTCCGGGACATCACAGGTCTCCGTGTTAGTGAATGCTAGCGACGCCGCCGAAGTCTTGCTCTCGGAGGCTTTGCACACTCCGGCGACAGCTAAGTCAACAACCAGAAGGAGTGGGTCCTCATTTAATTATACGTATGGGGATTAGGAACGAAACCACCACAACGACTTCGTTCTTCTCCTCAGAAGCAGTGGTTCGACCTCCTGGATCTCGAACAAGTTCTCATGAGCACCGAGGGGGGCATATGAGGGTCCTGCAACTTGTTGGATCTGGCGCCAAGCGCGGATGTGGAACAAGCTGAGCCATAAAAGTTACATCGAACGACAATACTATTCACCAACAGTGCGCTAACAAGCCCGTTGGTGACGCGTGGGGGCGGGAACGGCTCCAGGGGCTCCACCAGGAGGGCCGATCCTCTGTTGGTTTTATCCAGGCCCATTCGATTTATATTCAATGTTCCCAAACCCGTCCTCAAACCGAGCCAAGTGAGACCCTTTCCATTCTCACCTGTGGCTTATCCCCTTAGCCATCGAAGGCTCTTTCCTAATCACGTATTCAAATCTCTAGCAACCTTCACAAGATGGATATCACGGGATTCGCCTTCGTCACCGGTGGAGGTGAGATGAACCCTTCGGCATATTGATCTTTCCATTTTCATTCCCATTGTGGTCCAATCCTGACGTGATCAATGCTGACCCGCTTCCTACCAGCAAGCGGCATCGGCCGGGCCACATGCCTGGCCTTTGCCAAAGACGGAGCTGTAGGTCTGGTGGTGGCCGATCTGAACCTCGAGGGCGCGCGGGAGACGGCGGCCCAGGCAAAGGCCGCGGCTGTGCACGATGGCTTCCGCGTTGATGCGATCCAGGTCGACGTCACGAGCGAGGACTCGGTCAGGGCTGCCGTTGCCCACGCGCGCGGGTTTCTCGGCCGCATAGACTATGGGGTCCACTCGGCTGGCGTGAGTTAACGTTGCCTACTACTGCCCCTGATGATGTCCATACCAGCGACCTGCGGCTGACGTGGTCGCCTGTTTTTCAGATCCCGGCCGGGACGTTTGATCCCATCGCCGCGGCTAGTTTTGCCGACTTCAAGCACCTGCTCGATGTCAATGTTAACGGGACGTTCCTCTTCACCAGCTTGGTCTCAAAGGCTATGATGGATCAGGAGCCTCGGCCTGCGCGTGATCCTGCCCGGGGGAGCAGCCGAGGAAGCATTGTCATTTTGGCATCGGTGTCGTCTTTCATGGCAGTCCCCAACATGGTGTAAGTTTCATGGTTGATTTATTTATTTGTTTATATGGTGGTTGAGCTTGCTGATGAGTTCGTTTCCGATTAGTCAATACACCTCTTGCAAGCATGCCATCCTCGGAATAACCAAGACTGCTGGTAGGTCACTTTTCCTTTCCGTCATCCTGTGATCCTCTGTATATACCAACTGGGTGACTGACAAAACCACAGCGCTGGATAACGCACCCAACAATATCCGGGTCAACTGCGTCTGCCCCACCTGGACAGACACCCCGATGACCCGGCGCGCAACAGACGTGGCTCCAGGCCTGGAGGAGGCCCTGCTGGCTACGATACCAATGAAACGCCTGGGGAGGCCGGAGGAGGCAGCTGATGCCGTCATCTTCCTGTGCAGTCCGAGGTCCAGTTTTACAACTGGGACCGGGCTGGTCCTGGATGGCGGGATGACGCTGTCATGCTGAGTGCAGAACTTGAGCTCGGAATAGAAAAGGTACCAGGACCCCCGATCTCAATGACTTTCTATGTCTTCGTGATTGAATTATTGTCGAGACAAAACAAGGCATGAGAAGGTGGGAAATGATTGGAATGGGGGTGGCCCGTCACTGTAACGAGTAAAAAGGCCTGAAGCCTGACTGTTTTCGTGCCTCTTTCCAGGCTTTATTGCACGCTAGGTGCAGCAACAAGTAGAAAATGAGAAGGGGGGGGGGCGCGGTGATTTCAATGGAAGCAACACATCGTCAGGGCTCTCTTTGGTCATCAACCGGCCTCGAAAGACCGTCAGACCCAGGATCAGGCAAGTTCAGATGTTCCTCCTCGGGGGTCGGAACGCTCCGAAACAAGCCTGTCCCAGTAGTTTTTGGCTTCTTCATCCGAGTGCTGCATTCCTGTGTCACGACTCGGACATGAAAAGGGTGATATTGGGGCAATGTCCGTTGATGACAAAGTAGGCAGGCTGCTGGGAGCAGGCTGACTTGTCTATTTCTTTCTTCTGGATGTTGAGTTTACCAGTTTCTTCTTTACAGATTTTGGCATCTTTTCTTTCCTCTTCTCGCGCTTCTCCTCTTTGACCGCTTGTTTATGGGCCTACAAATTAACCTTGTTAGCAGAAGCGCCCCACTTATCGAGAGCGAAGACAGCAGCAAGACTTACCCGTTTCTCGTCCTTGTCCAGGAACCTCTTTCCACGTGGGCGACCATCGCCTTCGCCGGCCTCGCTTCCGCTCCCGCCTGATGATGCGCCGTCGTCGGAATCGTCATCCGAGTCGGCGCTACCTTGCGCAGCATCATCTGGGGCGTCCTTGGAAAGGACGACCTGGTCGGCAAGGAGGTTCTTGTAGACCAGGGAGTCGCCCTCCCCTGTGCCGAGCTTCCGCCCGTCTGCCTCGATGTCGTACACCTGCTCGAGCGTCTGCGGGATGTACTGGTTCCGGAACACCTCGTTGTCGACTTCTTGCTCCGCGGCGGCCTGGTCATCGTCGGCGACCGCGGGCCTCGACTGGTAGAGCAGGTCGACGGTGTGCTTCATCTCGGCCCCCTCGACCGGTCCTTGTGACTCGATGATGAAGTCGAAAACTGTGCGGTCTGCCAGGGTGTCGACGCCCTTGCGCCGGAAGAAATCGCCTACGTTCTTGATGTCCATGCGCAAGAACTCGAGGGACCGGGGGTGGTCGTGTTCGACACTCTGCGACACGTCGATGATGTACAGCGTCTGGTCGTGGTAGAGGATGTTGTACTCGCTCAGGTCGGCGTGGACCAGCCTGCAGACCTGGTACATGCGCCTCATCAGGCCGAGCAGCTGGACGTAGAGGTCCCTCCACTCGTCGTCGCTCGAGACCTGGGCGTCCCGAAGCCGTGGGTACGCCCAGCCCTTCCTGTCGCCCAGGAAGTCCATGACCAGCACGTGCAGCTTGAGCGAGATGGGCTCCGGGCAGGGGATGCCGGCGGAGTGTATCCTCCTCAGGTTGCGGAACTCCTTCTCGGCCCACAGCTTGACCATCTTCCTGTTGTTGCCCTTCTCGGAGCCGCCCTTGAAGCGGTGCTCGCCGGTGATGTACCTCTCGCGGTCCTTGAAGACCAGGATGGCCGTCTTGTAGATCTTGATGGCCTTTTGCGCGGGCTCGGAGCCGTCGTCGGGGTGCAGCACGGCGCCGTAGACGTTGGCCTCCTTGCCGGTGCTGATGGCGCCGTGGATCTCGGAGACGACGCCGCGGTTGATGAGCTGCAGCAGGATCATGCGCGTGCGCTGGTCCAGCACGAGCTCGCTCGTGGCGCGGTCGGCCTTGTCCTTGTCGCGGTCCTGGGTCTGCTTGACGTCGTCGAGGCGGATCTTGGCGGCGTGCTTCGAGAGGGCCGATATTTGGTCGTCGACGTTCGCCTGTGTGTTCGCCGTGGGTTTGCTCGATCTCGAGGCCGCGCCTGCGCCTGCGGGCCCGCTGGCTGTCTGTCGGTTGAACGACCTGCCCTCGGGGCCGTCCAGGTCGAAGTCGTCGTCCTCGAAGATATCGTCGAAGTCATCTTCTTCATTTTCCAGCTGCTCCTCGCTTGTTGGATTGGGAATGGGCTCTTTGAGAGCTTCTGATACTAGTTCCTCGGCCATGGTGTTGTCTGAATGGCTTGGAATGAGAAATTGGGGTTGTTGCAAGCAAGGACTGTGATGTGCGCCACACCACTCACCTTTTTGGCTAACTTTTTGATCGGGAAAGACTAGAATGGAAGAAATATGGTGTTCGTCATCCTGAGTCAACTTTTTTGGGCGGGATGTCCGCACCCCGCCACCATATGTTATCGATAAGCTGCGATAAGATAAAGAAAGAAGTCGTCTAAGTACCGTACCTTCCCAGGTTGCTCGAGGCCCCCTGTAGAGCGGGGCATTTCTTGACCCCACGTACTTGTACATTGCACAGCAATCTTAGATATCTGCCTGGACTGCACCCTCATAAATTCATATTAAATTGTATGGTCTTTGAATTACCTATCATCGAAATTCATTTCCCCTAGAAGTCCCCGGCTCTAAATGCCCGCACCGGGCATCCGCAAAACATACGCATCTCGCATCTCAGTCGTAGCAGTCCCCAAGCATGTTCATCCTGGTGTAACAGCATATCAAGAACTGGTATGCTGCGTTGTTTGTGCCGCCCATGACGTCCTTCTGCACTGAACAGATGTTCTCGGAAACAGCCAAGTCAGAAAAGCTCCTATGCAAAGGGTAGGAAAGAGAAAGCATGTGCCGTACCTCGAATGGATCACCAGGTCCGTTTATTTTGCCAGGAGGATTCATCTCCTTGCAGCAAGCGGCGGTGGTAGAGTTGTCCATCGGCCACTTCATCTTGCCGCCGAGTAAGTCGTCGATATCAGAGCCGGAAAGGTTCTCTAATTTGCTCAGAGGAGATTGGCACTCGCAGTGTCTGGTGACTGTGGTGGCATGGGCGGCCCTGTCTCGTGCGAGGTCACGTCAGCGCATCTGTAACTCTTTTTTTTTGGCGGGGGGGGGGGGATGCATACTTGATCCATGCCAGTATGAGAAGAAAGAGAAGTCTTGGTGGCTGTATCATTTTGTCGAATATCAAGTTCTTAGTAAGGATGGTGGTATTTCCGTGTAATGTCAATATCACTCCTCAAATAAGCTGGAGTCCATTTAGTATAAACCTGGATCGCAAAGGTTAGAGGCGACTCAGTTGCAGACCGCCTTTTAAGCGGTGGTTCTTTTCTGACTTCCAGGGGACATTGTATTAGTAGTGGCAGTCAAGTTGAAGTCTGTCACCGCTCAAGGTGACTGGAAAAGTGCTCTGACGAAGACATAGTCATTCCATAGAGGCTTGAATGCAGTCAACAGCGAGACCATATAAGTGTGCAGTGGACTCAAAGAAAGAAACATGTTGCGTAATAAAAGGTCTGCCCTTCCAGATGCCTCGGACTATGGTTTGAACAGCCAACAGTGAGTGCCAACCTTGGAATGGAGACCCACGGCGTGCCAACTTTGAAGCCACTGCCTAGGTGACCTGAGGAGACGTTTGTAATGCACAATAAGACTATCGCGAAAGGCGAAGTATGTCCATGAATGAATACGCTCCTGACGTCATCTCCTGACCTTCTACCAAGGCAGTGACGACATCATGTCGATCGTGTAGTCCCCTAATGCAACATCCCGTGTTGGAAGCGCCTTAACACCAACATCAGTTAGTGTAGGGCGCGCCCACAAAAAGTACCTGGGTAGCTTACCGCTCAACGCCAGTATGCTTGAGAACATAAATTGAGAATTCCCTGCGTGATTTTGGACCGATTTAATTCATTCATATTTATTTTCAAATATAAACCAATACCGCATCTCTAGATTTCACAATAACCCATCATCGCATTGCTGGAGTATATCATGCGCAAGAGCTGAACACATTATCACGAACATTCCAAAAAACTCAAGCCCGGGATACTACTTCGTTTTGAAGAAATCCAAAATGCCCATCCGGGACATCTTCGACCTTCCAGATACGTTTGCCTACAACGGCTGGTCTATCAGATACACAGCCCGTCAGACTACCGCTGATGCAGCATCTGCTCCGCCAAACCCCTGGGTCGTCTTCGTCCACGGCACCCCGTGGTCCTCAGACGTCTTCCGGCCCCTAGCAAACGCACTGTCCGCGACCGGTAGCTTCAACATTGTCCTCTACGACCTAGCCGGGTACGGACAGTCACAAATATCCGACAAGTCTCAGGCCAAGCCCGAGCCAGACACCTCCGTGAAGGCACAGGGAGAGCTACTTGCAGCATTACTACAACATCTCCACCTCGATGGCAAAGACGGAAACGCAACCCCGCACATCGTCGCTCACGACATCGCCGGGGTGATATCAATGCGGGCTCACCTGTTGCACGGGTGCGAGTACCGCAGCCTGTGTCTTTTGGATACGAACTGCGTCCTCCCCTGGGGCGACAAGCTTTACAGCCACCTCCGGGAAAACCCAGCGGTGTTCGAAGACCTCCCCGCAGGCGTGTTCGAGGGCTGTTTGAGAGCTATCATCCAGAGCGCCAGGGTTAAAGGACGTGGGTTAGGCCCACAATGGGAGGGTATCCTTGCGCGGCCATGGCTGACTGGAGGGGACGGGGCTGATGATAGTCTGGAATATGACCCACAGAAGAACTTTGTCAGGCAGATCAAACAGGCTGATGATACCCACACGGCCGAGCTCCTGGACAACGAGCTGTACTCGGAGGTCCGCTGCGATGTCAAGATTCTGTGGGGAGAGCAGGACGGGTGGATCCCGCATCACAAGATGCAGAGTCTTGCGAGGATGTTGGGGGATAGGCTGAAGGGGTTCGTCACGGTGCCGGAGGCTGGCCATTTGATCATGCTCGATCAGCCCGAGCGGGTGACGTTGGAGGTCTTTCGATGGCTTGACAGGCAAGCCTGAGATTTGAAGTGTTATGGAACTGTAGCGAATAGCATGCAGTCTAGATATTGTTTAGGTCAGGGTATCTTCTCATGCTCTTTGGCTATTTACGGTGCGACCTAATTGGCAGTACCTTCTTATGTACATCGGCCTAATCCAGTATTAAGTGGAAAACTTGGACACTACTTAGAAAGATGGTATCAACAAGACTCATTCTTGCGCTCCTTTTTGGCATCAGAGGCTGTCCGTTGCCTTTGGGAAAGGAAAGGCCGTTGTCCCCGACACAATAACGGGAGTCCCAGCAGCCCTTGGCAACATATTCGACTGGCTCGCCACAGGGATGGGCCTCGCGTCGCTAGCCAGCGTAGGACCTGGAATCTGATACGTCGTCATCGACTCATATATGTCAATCTTGATTCCCGGGTCGTCGGCGTGGTACATCTCCGTCGCGAGGTGTCCCTTCTCCCTCTTCCTGATGGCCCCGAGGCCACGATCCCAAAATGACCTGGCAACAGTGCTCTGTTTTGCCCCGGCCGATGCTGTTACCCACAGGTTAACACACTGGGGGTAGTTCTGCGCCCCGTCCGTCCTGTTCGCGTAGTGCAGCGCGATGAGCTCGTGGCGCAGCACGTACGCGCCAGGGGCGAGGGTCGTCGGCAGCCCGACCAGCCAGCTGTTGTTGCTGGCGATGAGGGTGTTGGTGGCCCAGAACCCGGGCGGGCCGCCGCTGTCGTTGAGGAAGACGGGCGCCGAGTCGTCGATCTTGGTGAACTCGAGCCGTGTCTTGTCCACGCTCGCGCAGCCGTCGGCGTTCTTGGTATTGGTCGCGTCGCAGGGGGCTAGGTAGGAGAGGATGGGCCCTTGGTGCGACGCCGGCCACCCGTTCCACTGCATGTGGATCTTGTCGCCTGGGGACACGGGGATGTGTGCCCGCGGCGGCGTCCCGTCCCTGTGGCAGATTATGTCGGGCGAGGTGTAGTTCGAGGGAGGGACGAACCCGTCGTCGACGGCGGTCTGCGCCCAGCCTACGGTCTCGGGTGAGTTGTTTGGCCCGAGCTGGGGGGTGTAGCCCGGGTATTCGAGCCCGTTGACGGTGATATAGGCGATGTGAGAGTGCGCTGCGGCCGTGGTCGCCAGGACCGCGGCCAAGAGCCAGGACGGAGACCAAGTCATCGCACCAATTCCAGTCTGGTTGATCAGGCTGTTGGGAAGGTCAGGTAGTCCATCAACTATCCGCGGCACGCTGGCTATTTCAGGCCTGAGAATGAGAGGCAACCGAGTGATATGTCACAAGAGGCTGCCATATTGTCAAACAATGCCCGCGGACAAAGCCCAGGGATGTCGTGCATCTTCGATGGAAGTAAGTTAGATGAGCAGCAGCCAAGCTATGACAAACTGGTTGTTGCGAGTGCGGCGTAGATCTTGCCATGTTTGCTATGCGGAGGAGGGAACCGAAGTCTGGGTATACGCGTTTCAAGCAGACAATATGGAGTAATCCCTGTGATTGACCCGGGCCACGACGAACCTCGTTCGAGCTGCCCTCGCTGTCTCATTCTGCGGCAAGCAGAAAGCTATTGTGGTCTCGTAAATTGGCAGCCATATGTAACTTATTTATGCCGAAACGTTAAGACGGCCACTTGTATGCTAGATGCACACTCCGAATATTCACTGGCAGGTTTGCAGTCAAACCTCCAGGGCGAGGGATTCGGCTGATCTGCCGATCGACAAATGACAGCCGCGTTAATCTGGCGCCCTTGTGGCTTGTCAGGGATCCCGGGTGTGATTTTGGAGGTGCCCAGGTAAGGGGCGCGAGGTTGGCTCAGCGCTAGGAGGGCGGCTGAATATGATTCGGAGGGTGACTGCCGTTATGAAGGGGACTTGGGAGTCAGACGAGCAGCGTGAAATGGTCCACGGCGCCTGGGATATATGACGTTGGATGACTGATATTAATCCCGTACAGGTGACAGGGCCAAGACGCTGTTGGCCCACTGCACTAATCAGCACTATCTGACATTTGCAGCTTGTAGCACTGGGCGGGATGGCCTGCCGGATTTTGCTGGGCATTTATTTGTGTATCACACGGAAATATCTCACCATTCCCGACGCGGATGCGTTTCTTTGAACTCAAAAGCATGCATGCTGAAGTGGAGGTATTCCCGAGGAGACATTTTCATAGAAGCTTGGAGGATTTTGAAGGGATTCACACTGACATGGCTGCTCCCCACGCCTGCTCTTCCTCGGCTATGAGTTAGTCAGTCGGTCACGTAAAGAAGTCCCAGGTGGGTGGTGAGTGCATGTGGCCCGGCTTATCAGCGGCAGAATATTCGACGGAGAACCCCTCATTCGCACTTGATCGCTAGCTAGCAGCGCGAGGAAAATTGTGTGCCTCTCCGATCTCGCCAGTTCGTCGCCGTTCTTTCTGAGCATATTTTAGTCTTTCCGTCATGTAGCCAGGTCAATATCAAACCAGAGCCCAGCATCGTGTGCACTTCATCCAGTTTCATCCCGTATTGGATTACTTCGCTCAGGCCAATATTCTCTGACAGTCATAACCACTTCGGACACCCGCCTGCAGAAAATACCGGCCGAAATGCCCCGCCTCCGCCTGTCCCGGCCGGACATCCACCTGCCGCTGCCGAAGCCCCTCCGTGCTCTCCCTCCGGCCGTGGTGTGGCAGATCCTGCTCCTCATCTCTGTCAACATCATCGTGTGGGTGGCCATCGGCATCATCCTGCACTTCTACCCGGTGCTCATCTCGTCCGCCGTGCTCTCCTACACCCTGGGCCTCCGCCACGCCCTCGATGCCGACCACATCAGCGCCATCGACCTGATGACCCGGCGCCTGATCGCCGCCGGCCAGCGCCCCGTCAGCGTTGGCACCTGGTTCAGCCTGGGCCACTCCACCATCGTCATCATCACCTGCGTCGTCGTGGCCGCCACGAGCGGCGCGCTAAGGGACCGGTTCGACGGCTTCCAGCGCGTCGGCAACATCGTCGGCACCAGCGTCAGCGCCGCGTTCCTGCTCATCCTCTGCGCCGGCAACGCGTGGGTGCTGTTCCGCCTGGTCAAGCGGCTCAGGACGCTGCTCGCGGGCCAGCGCCGGCAGATCCGCGACGGCGACGAGGCGCAGGGCCCGGGCGACGAGGACACCGCCGCCGCGCAGCTGTCCCTCGAGGGTGTCGGGTTCATGGGGAATCTCTTCCGGAAGCTGTTCCGTATCGTCGACCGCCCGTGGAAGATGTACCCTCTCGGTGTCATGTTCGGGTTGGGATTCGACACCAGCTCTGAGATCGCCATACTTGGCATTGCGAGCATCCAGGGGGCTGCTGGCACCAGCTTGTGGCTGATCTTGGTGTTCCCAGTCCTGTTTACTGGTGAGTTTTGATCGTCGTTCCGAGCTCTCGAGGTGGTATACGCAGCGTCTAATACTGTCTCAGCCGGCATGTGTCTTCTCGACACGACAGATGGAGCCTTGATGATGGCTCTTTACACCTCCAAGGCCTTCTCGAGAGACCACATCGCCATACTTTATTATTCCATTGTCCTGACTGGAATCACGATTGTCGTGTCGGCTTTCATTGGGGTCATACAGGTTCTGACGCTTGTGTTAAACGTCGCTGAGCCAGAGGGCAGCTTCTGGGACGGCGTCGAGGCAATCGGAGACAACTTTGAGATCATCGGTGGCAGCATATGCGGGCTGTTCCTCGTCGTCGGGTTGGGATCTGTCCTGGTGTACCGGCCGTGGAGAAGGAGGGTAGACCGAGGCGTGCTTGTGAATGCCTCGCCCGATGCGGCTTTTGAGGACGGCACAAGTAGTAACACGCGGGAGCCAGAAGGCGAAGCAGCTCGAACAAATGAACGCCCAGCACAACCATAGAGCGACGACTTACCAGTATAGGTCTTGCAGCATTTTAAATAGGGATAGAATTTTTGGTTTAAGTTAATGATATTTAGATATAAGAAGCCGAAGACCTGGCCAGGTGACCCAGCAAGGGTACCTACGTGGCTAGAGTCCAATAATACCCTCAAGCCAGTTGTCGAGTCTTGTACAAAACACCGTGACGCCACCACCACAGACCAGCGTATGTGGCTCCTGGCCCAAACAAGACCTGCCCGGCAATAACCCCAGCTGCTGATTTCTTCGCATCCTTGTCCGACACCAGGCCACGCCTGCGAAGCTCCCATACCGTGTATAGCCCGAACCCCAGTGTTGCGGCAGAATACAGAGCAAGGCTCGAATACATCTGTCTGGGAATGGCCTGATGGGTCAATAGGTTGCTCAGCACAGCTACAACTGACCGTTGACCTCGTGGTGCCCGGATAAGACTGCTGACGATGGTGTACAGGTGCTGCGTGGCTTGCATGGCAAACGACACTGCGTATGCCGTCCTCAGAGAGCGCGACACGTCGAGGGCGGCTTGAGTCTGGTGTGTCATTTTGTCTCCAGGCGTTGCCTTGCGTCTTGGTCCACCCTTGCCAGCCTTGCGTTTGGCAAGGCGTGTCACCGCCGATACCATCTGCGTCAAACATGGCACAATCAGTGGAGCTACAAAGAAGGCAGTGATGCTGGAGCTCTCTATGTTGAAGTGAGACAGCGATACTCCAGTCGCTGTCAATGGAACCAGGCTGACCAGGGCGCCTGGAAGTACGTAGCAAAGCAGGGTTGCCGGAAGGACTGCCTTGGCCGCTTCTGAGGGTATCATACGGTCGTCCGACAAGTTTGCGGAATTCCAAGTAGCCATGCTATAGAGGTAGTATATCGGTGCTACCCTCTCAATGCCGCTGATTGGTATAGCTGCTAAGGCGAGCAAGCGTCTGGCAATAACGAAGCATGTCAGCCAGCTGTGCAACTTCCCCAGGCCATGGAGCATGCCGAATTTACTCACAAAGCCGTGCTTTCCAAAAGCATCAAGTCCGTGCGATTCGCTTCTGCCGACCATATCAAGATAGGCGACATCGTGTTAGAGATGAGGTACGTCGCTTGCATGCGGCTGGACGCATCGCTGCCCAAGAGTGAGAACAGCAGGGCCCGTTCTCCGTGCAGAACGCCATTATGCAACGAGAGGACCCAATTAAAGCCCAGAAGACAGATAGTAGCTGCTCTTGGTATGTGTAATAAGGCCGAACAACCCTCTTTTGGCTCTGCGGGTGGTTCATTCTCTCCAGATGAGGCTCGTGTTGACCCCTCTGCTGCCGGTGCCTCTTGCAAGTCATGGCCTTCTGTGAGCTTATCAGACTCCATCAGGTCGTGAAGCTGCCCGCTTTGAGTGGTTTGCGTAGACTTGTCTCCCTAAGGTGAGGAACTCTCCAGCGAAATGAAGTGCAGGGCTTCGAGTCGAGGATAGGATGGGCTGGTGAGTGCAAGTGATGCTTGCAAGATCCAAGTGTGGCGCCATGCCCAGCTTGGCAGCGGGGGATTTTGCCGTTGGGAGGCTGGGCAGGGGCAACCCTGTCAGGAATGGTTCGTCATTTGTGATAGAGCTGCAACACCGAACCTCGTGCTTTGTGGTGCGGACGTTCTATCCATAGCTATACTCAAGTACAGTCAATATAATCTGAGACGCCGATTCATGTCGACTTCGTTATCTGCACTTGCGTGACGTTACAATTGTCTCAACATATCATGTTCTCCTTTCGTCTTCCTGCTCTGTAGTGTCCATGATAGCTTTGTAGGGCACATGAGATAGATAATCTTATGGAGAGGAAACTCTTAAAAAGATAAATCCCATAGTGTTTTAAATTCAGATGATTGAGCGTTTTTTTGCAATACACATGTTTTATGGGATAATCATTCATCTCTCTAATAAGCTCATCGGGCCTCTTTGGTTCACGTCGATGGACTCCCCCAGGAACAGGGCCGGAGAGACATTACCCGCGACCCACTTATAGACGCGCTGCCCGGCATGCCAAAGTCCATACTTTGGTATTCCCACTTCATCCATTGGAAGTACAACTTGTCCGACCAAGTTTAGCGATCAAGAACACTTCCAAACGGGGAGAAAAGTCTACGTGAGCATAAAAATCTAACAAGAGGCTCCTCCTGGGCCCGCGGGGGGGCTTCGGAACCTGCACCTGCAGGTTCTTGCAAGGGTTGACGGGCAGGGTTGGATGTTGATGGTAATGAAGAATACGATGGGGCTCAGTAAACGGAGCTCGCTGCACCTCGCAGGCACGTTCAGGCTTGTGCCCCTGACTTTTGATGGGTTCCTTCAGGAGGTGGCTCCAGGGAATTGACCCTGAGATTGCGATTCAATGTGTGGGGATTTACAAGGGTTGCCTCACCGTCCGCACCGTACTAGACGCACCTCGAACCAAGGCAGGCAGAGTCAATGGTGCTATTGATGCAAAAGGGGCTCAGTCATAGGAATCGTCTTTGTATATTCTTTTAGGTCACTACTAGTAGACCTTGAGCTATGACATCAGCTCTCCGGAATTACTTGAATCATATTCACGATAGCTGAAGAGCCGACCGGGGTTCTCATCTGTAGTCGGTCGTCCCAGGGGCGGTTCATCTCGCGACCTCTTCATATGGGGCCGCTAGCATCAAGACCCATCAGATTGGCTGCGTGGGACGCGGGTAGGGTTTACGCATTTGTCCGTCGATCAAGGACCACCGCGGGGAACTCCATGGCCTGGATTGTAAAGGCGTCTTTCTCATTGTGGATAGGGGGGGCACGATAATAATGAGAGTCATATAACATGAGGGAAGCGGAGGTCCTGTTCTCCTAGACGTTCCCTCTTCCTTCTGATCCACCACCTGCACGCTCGCTCATCAACTCAAGAACTCCCAGACAACAACAGTAACAGCACCAGTCCAGCCAGACGCCGAGCTTTCCAACCGCCAAAATGCAGTTCACAACCCTCCTCTCCATCTACGTCGCCATCGCTGGCGCTGTCGCCGCCCCCACGGAAGACCCTCTTGCGCTGGTCCCAGCATGTGCTAGGAGCAAGCTCACAGCCGCCTTTGCGGTCACCGGCTGCACATCCCCGACAGGTTAGTTGCAGGTGGTCCGGTCACTAGTCGGGGCCATCACTATACATCAACACGGAAACCATGCAATGCTGGCATCAAGTGGCCTTGGACATCTCAACGGAGACAAATGGCTAACATGTGTGCCGTCGGAACAGACACCGCCTGCTGGTGCAGCAACGCCGTCCTGAAGATCGCCGTCACCAACATCGTTGGCACTACCTCCATCTGCTCTGCCTCCGCTCACAGGAAGCTGATTGGTGACCTCTGGAACGACAAGTGCCCCGACAAGACCGTCCACATCGCCTAAATGTCGCCTCAATCGTTGCTGGAGGACAATTTGAAGGCGATGAAGGATGGACTTGGCAACGGCCACATGATGGGATCTAGGGGGGGGGGGTTACACAATATCTATTATGCTCTAGCGTGTATATATTTGAAATATGCTCTTAGTAGTTATTTTAATCGTTGGATTTGATGAATTACCAACCAACGGTGACTAGGGTTTCAATTCAGAGCCATGTTCGAAGAATGCGATACATCAGTGAAAGAGCAGGACTCCGCAACAGTATTTACTCCACATACCAAGTCTGTATGATTGATGCGGGATATCATCGAGTCAAAAGCCAGGAATTAGTCACGAACACTTCCACAAAGGTACCCGAGCATTTTCCTTGCATGTATGCTGGTCCATCATTGGGTCTCATAAATGAGCTGCAACACTGGCGACGTGACATCGATTTGGGGCGTCCTACAAGAGACACCTTTTTGATTGTATGAGGAGGAAAGAATATATGAATTTTTCAAGCAATAAAAGCCTGTTTCTTCAGCTTGAAACACGCCTGACCTCGCTGTATGGAACCTGCAAGGGATCGTATTCGACCTGGTCACCCTGGCCAGGCTTCTTCTCGATCAACGTCACCCGCATGGTCTTGGCCCTCCCTTCCATCTGCTTCACATACTCCGCCCCATGGACAACATCCTGCACCTGATTTCCCCTGGCCATCACAGCCAGGGAGCTCGACTTCCACGCGGGAGCCGAGCGGTTCCGGGCGAGCGTCAGCACAAAGAATAGGACTCCCAGCAGGAGGCTGGCGCAGTGCAGTGAGATCCACGGCCACTGGATGTCGTAAAACGTCGTGAGGACGCCCTTCTCGCCCACAAGCTCCATGTTGGCCCCGTCAACACCTGCGTCCGAGCCGGAGCGGAGGGCGTTGCTCATGCTCGTCGCCAGGCTGGTGAAGGTGTCGTTCAGGTCATCGGCCGAGAAGAGCACCTGCATCGTGCTCGGGGTGAACTGGACCTGGCCGGTGCTCAGGTAGTACCCGTTCAGCTGCCACGCGGTCGTGTAGTTGTCGTCAGACACGTCGAATTCTTCGAGGCCTGCTGCGAAAGTCCCGTTGAAGTAGGCCCCGATCCCGTTGACTGCCGCCTGGGAGATGTTGTACCGCGTGTTGTGAGCCGGTGAGACCAGGCTCAGGTCTGTCCGCTTGAAACCCGACCAATATCTGTTGAACTCTATACTGGAAAGAATCTCGTCTCTCAGTGGGTCAGACAGGTTGTCTTCCGGCTGCCATGAATCGGGGGCTCTCGTGGCTTCCTGCACGTTGGTCACATTCTCTTGCAATATGCCGTCTTTCACCGCGGCAGAGTAACTGTTGATGCAGTAGTGAAGTGCGCACTCGGTTGCTGAGTGTGGTAGGTTTGGCCAGGCTGCCGACGAGTTCGTCGGGTCCTCGGTGACCCGGATCATGGACATTGCCCATATCAACGTGTCGAGGTCCTGCATGCTGACCGTCTTGCTGGCATTGCCTGTACCGAGTGTTGTCATCATGACCGCTCCGAAGACACCGTCATTCGCACCCTTGTCTATGTCCTCATTGTATACCCAGCCGTTGTCGTTTTCGATGAATAGGCCATTGGGGAGCCTGAATGCCGTGTTACCTTCGAAGGTGACCGCCAATGCGGGATTGTCGATCGCTAGGAGGCCGTAAAGACCAATGTTTGAAGCATGGCGCTCCAACTTATCGGTGATGTCAACGCAGCTGCTGCAGATAGCAAGAGATTCATATTCTGGCCATGTACAGTTTCCGGTGGGACAGCTGAAGGCGCCTTGTTGAACGACATTATTGAGTGGTTGGTCGAGCCCAAAGAGTATGGCCGACTGCATCGAGAAGTCTGCGTCTGCGTTTCGGACTATCGTCACGTTCGTGTCCGTCGGCAGCGCTAACTGGAGTCAGTATCTGATGACTGCGCAGACTCAGGAGGCCGGGCGCGAGACTTACATGAATCAATGGCGGCTAATAGATCACGAAACCAGACACCTCTGGAGTATCTTTCTGCCCTTGAGATAACGGCCTCATTGTCTTGATTGTACACCAGGTCTTGCCTCAACTGAACCAGCTGTTGCGAGAAAGGGTCGACCGCGACATCCAACAAAATAACAAGAGCACCTAGGCGGAGAATCCAACTGAGAAGGTCAGCAAAAGTCATACCCACAAACAGGAGTGCCAAGGTGCTCACGCCTTCTTGCAGGTCCACATCACCCGCAGGCTTCCAAGCAAGCCCCGACTGGCAGCATCGATCCGCTCAAAGTCCATCAACGGCCTTGCGCGGTCGGTGAATAATATCCATTTCCACTGGCTGATCAGTTCGCCAACGGCAAACAGCAAGGCGGCCTTGCTGGCGGTGGACAGGACGGAAACGATGGAGTTTAGCGTGACCCCATGCCAGGTGAAGATGGGCTGGCCGTCGTAGACCACCAGGAGAGCCGCCAGTGCCGCGAGGCACGCAGCAGAGCCGATGACGGCCAGTATCTCCAGACTCCACGATCCTATCAACGAAACGCCGCCAGCCATTGTTGATTTATTTACACAGTAATGAACGAGAGTGATGCAGTGCAAACCAAACTCGACGCCTCTCCCCTAGATTATTATAGAAAAGAACTGGATGACAGTTGTGCATGGGTTCCATGGGTTCTTTTCGTAGTGGAGCCACCCATGTGTGATTCTCACGCTCGACCAATGATAGGGGCAGCGTGTCAGGCACCAGAATCAGAGCTGAAAATCCGAAACCCACAACGATGCAGCACAGCCAGAGGGCTGGAGCGGCTGCCGATGACACGCAGGCCTGCATTGCACTAAAAAGGACACAACGTCAAGCCCGTCAGCTGTACCGAATCCTTCGCGGGGGCTTTTGCCCCCTGCCAGTGGCTCTCACGGCCCGCAACCCAATTCAAGTTGATGTCGTCTTGAACGACCTGGGCCCTTCAACTATTTATGGCTGCTGCCTGCATATGCCCTCCAGGGCATAGTGGGGATCTCCAGATCCAGCAATTAAAATCAATGCCAAATAGAACTTGCCAGGCCAAACCAGCTGGTGAACTCCCGTAATCGTAGGGCCTGCCGATACCTAGAAACACTAGCTGTGCACAGCCGGGGTTGCGTGGGAGCGCACAGGCTGTCACCACCCCCGTTCAACGCTGCAAGTTGCATGTAGGTGGTGCCGGCTCCGTGTGATCATGCTGCCGCCTCAAGTAATAAAGACTCCGAGAAGGCGGCTAAACGTCGAACTATTTTCTCTAGACATTGTCATCAAGCAAAGTGAGACATGTGAGGTTGGCGGTTTTCAGGATTGATATTGCTGGAAACTTTCAGATCTCAGGTGAATTAACAAACCCGGCCCACATGCCGACCACCTTTTCGATACAAAATCCCACTTTTACCACCCCCTTATTAAATCTAAAAAAGGTTTAATACTTATACCTATAGGTCTTAAAAATAGCTTATAAGTTCCTTTATTATTTATTAATAATTTAAATTATAAATTTAATTGTATTAAACTTTGATATATTATAGAGGACTAGCTGACTGCCTTAGGTATACTCTAATTACTGGTAGAAAGCGGTAGATGATATGGATTGCTCTCCATCTCTGTCAGCCTTATTGGGTCGCCATTGCTGCCTAATTGCCTGCTTGCCGCGCTAATGTCACGCACGGTACATAACCAGCATTCTGACCTGTTCCCAGACTCCTCCAAATAGGTCTTCACCCCAAGTCTAGCGTTACTACATCCCTAGGTAGTCTCTTTATAGACAAATACATGATGTCGCATTCATTCACACTACAGTACTCTCCGCTGCCTCGCCACGAGCGCAAATCTGTACGCCTGATCGAATTGCTTCCAGCTCGAAATGGCAAACCAATTGAAATCATTCTTCACCATAGCGCCCTGGACTCGCATCAGAAGTATGATGCCCTGTCATATACTTGGGGATATCCGCAGCGCAACCATACCATTCACTGCGACGGATCCTCTTTACCTATCACTGATAACCTCCATGACTGCCTCTCAAACCTCCGAAAAAGCCTGACCCGACGTTGGTTGTGGATCGACGCCATTTGTATCAATCAAGCAGACATGGAAGAAAAGGCATATTCGATAGAGTTGATGCCTGAAATCTACTTCCATGCCGAGCGCACGATCTGCTACCCTGGGTCGAAACTCCCGTCTCCAGCACGACACTTGATAAATGACCTTCAACAATTCCACAGCGTGGTGGCCCAAGGGCGTAGTCTCGTCTCGGATCCCGATTTCTACCACTCAGACTACAAGGTTTCCGCGGCTGTTCTGGACAAGTTCTACACAGACCAACGTTTTACAGCCTCTCGGGGTTGGCAGGCGTTGGACAAGTTTCTCAGCCTTCCATACTTCGGACGGTAATTTCCTTCCCATCCAGATCCGTGTCTACAGCAAAGTGAATTGTTTCACATGTACTGACACCAAGCGATATTCCTAGGCTCTGGATCGCGCAAGACTTAATATGTTCACCGAAAATCGTGATTCAATGCGAGGACGAGGAGTTGCCTTGGGATAAGTTCTGCTCCGCTCTGGAAGTCTGTCTACTCTGCTCTCCTAGGCAACTCCCGACCTCGCCTAGTCTCATCAATGTTGTGACGTATCAGTACCTCAGACAACGTCGACACCTCGCCTCGCGGCAGGACTCGGAGATATCGCGTAGAGACTACGCCTTGGCATTACAAGCCTGCAATACTATGACCACCGATCCACGCGACAACATATTTATCATCTTTTCACTTCTACACAATGTGGATTCTAGCGCAGATCTCCTTGCTGACTACAGCCTCTCGGTCTCAGAGATCTGGTCTCGCGGTGCTGAAGCCTTAGGACTTCAATGCATGTCACTGGCATCCGTTAACAATTCAGAGAATCCAGAGTTCCAATTGCCGTCATGGGTGCCGAACTGGGGCTCTCACCGCAATCGTTTCCTATTAGATCACCCAAAGAGCCGCTTCTGTGCTTCGCCATGGTCTTCTCCCCAGACCGTCAGTCGGTTCGGTGCAGACCCCGCCGTTCTGTCCTGCGACGGTCTACAAGTTGATATTCTTAAGGAATTGTCCGAATATCTACCTCTGCGACATCAATGCGATCATTACAATGTTCAATGCGCCAATATTGTAGTCTTCGATGAATGGTATGACTTCGCCAAGTCCCATTTGGGAAAGTCCCTCGGAGCACGAGTCAACGAGCTGGAACTCTTGCTTCAGTATGCGAATACAATACAGGCGCGAGGATGCAACAGCATCTGGGAACCAGGCTTATCGTCTGACACTGGTCAACTGGCCAGGCAAACGCGTGACTTCATCAATTTCCTGACAGATGAAGATGCAGAGGCTACACTCGAAATCCGAATGTTCTATGCTTGTTGTTTCCCCTCACATGGTCGAAAACTCGGCATCACTAGGCGAGGATTCCTCTGCCTTGTCCCCATGGAGGCGAATCGAGGAGACTTAGTGTGTGTTCCACACGGTAACAAGGTCCCTCTCATCTTCAGGAAGGCAGGTGGTCAGTTCAGAAATTTGGGGGAGTGCTACATCAACGGCCTAATGACTGGCGAGGCGGTAGATCTCGAGGACTGCAGGGAAATGGTCTGGGAAGTAGTTTAAATGAAACACGGCCACCGATCTCAGTCATGGTCAATCTGGGCATTTCTGGAACTTTTGACTACCAGTCAGGTCTTGCTATTCCTTCACGGTCTCATTTATGAAGCCCTTTCTCATCCTCTTGGACAACGCCTCAAGCTTCTTTTGTACTCGCTTATGAAATGATCTTCGGGTCTCGCTGGCGACATCCCTCTCGGATGAGTTTGAAGTCCTTTCAATGGTTTCAGAGGGCTTTGAACTATACGAAAGACCGTCTTCATCTTTTGCAAACTCTTTGATGGTAAAACTCGCCCCTCGAAGATCAAGAGTCGAGTTCAGGCTTCTGCGAAGCCCAGCGAGATTCTGAGATATTTGTAACTCCGAATGATGGTGGAAGATGCTACATAGGTGTGATATTGGCCCATCAACCTCCCAGTACTCAGACTCCTCGGGAGAAATTTTTATTTGAGCCAACAAAGCTTTGCAGATAGCCTCGTGCGTGTCGAATCCGGGAGAACACCGCCTTTTTAGTAGATCCATGGTTTTCTCAAGCAGAAGAAAATCGCGCACGGTTCGATGGAGGAAATTGACTTTTGAATTGAAGAGCACGTTGGAAGCCAAAGAGGTCTGCTCGCCGCGGGGAGGCAAGTATTGTACCTCGAGCAGTCCTTTGCAGCGAGCGTTCAGTTGTTTCTTCACGTCCTTGCGACGTTTATTCAGCAGCTGTGGTGTGATCGGGTTCGGCTCCAGATTCAAGGCGTAGTCGGTTGTTTTCCCTATGAACCAGTAGGCAATAAGTGGCAAATCTTCGGTCGCACTCACTGTGACGCAGAATATCTCGGCAGATTGCCTACGGTAGTCTTCAACCACGTCGAACAGGAGAATTCGCTCGAAGTACTCGTTTAAATCCTTGGGAAGAGTTCGCAATCTCTGCTGGAGGTCAGAGATGTCATCTGCATTCGTGAGGCCTTCTTGAAACGATCGAACGACAAGAAAGACCCATAGAAAGACGCCATTTGCCGCTTCAACAATCTCCTCTATCAGTTCCTTGCCGGCAGTGTCTCTGTCCTCCATTTCTTGGTAATTATCGTCCTTGGCGAAGGTGTCGTGGACGTACGCGCTGATATCGTTGCGGTTGAAATCCTGCATATACAGTCTTTGCGTCCGGTCCTTGCCAAATTCTTGATCGAATTCATTCCAGTCCCGGCTGGAAAGACATAACTTGACGTTCGGCAGGGTTCTTAAGGCTCGTATGAGATCGATCACGTCTGCGGGCTTCCCGTCGTATTCGTCCAGGCCATCGATGAAGAAGCAGAATTTAGCCTCGGACTGCGCAGCTAGGTCGCAAACAGTGCGTATTGTAGCCAGGAGGCCCAGGACAGATAAAGGGACCAAGGCACTTGCACTTTCTGTGGTGCTCACTGCCCGTGTTGGATGCTGGTCCTCGGGAAAACACAGCCGCCATGTATTAGGATACGTTTGCGGGATCAAGTCTGGGCACTGCCGCAAGATCTGATAGACGATGGACCGAAGAAGCCCCTCCTGCGACTTTTGAAGGTTCTGCCTCCCCGCGCCCCAAAAGAAGTATTCGGCGCGAATGAGGCGCGTTTTCTTTGACCAGATCTCGAGCTTCTCTATAGTGCGCGGATGATCACAGAGGAATTTCATCAGCGTTGACTTGCCAGACCCTGGCTTTCCAGAGATCCAATACAAGTCGTCGTCTGAGGTGAGCCATGCATCGAACGTCGAAGGGCTGCATTGGTCGTCTGTGCCGAATAGCCACGTCAAAGTTTGCTCGTGGGCGTCCCGAATTGTGTCATGCCGGTCGTTGATAGCATCAAAGCGCAAATCTTCTAGTATTGCTTGCTCTACCGAGTACCGGGAGCCTTTGGCAGCTGCGCCGAGCAAGATCGTCGACGTGCGAGCCCTCGAGTTAGCCTCTCCTAGGTTGTCCCCGATGCTAGTGAAGATATCACTGAACTGCGTCCTCAATTCGCTAATCTCCTCGGCGCGATGAGCCTCCAGGCGATAATTTCCTTTTTCGAGGTCGTCCAGTCGTTGCAGAATCTTCTTCGAGTCGTACGCGGCTAGATGCTTCTGTATGTTGTCTCCGATCCTCTCCAACCGCGCTTGTAGGGCTTCGACTTCCCCTTGCTTCCATACTCCAAGCAAGGCTTTGTAAAAGCTCTCGATACGGCCATGTGTCCCGTCTCTGTTTGTCACTTTCAGGTTGTTCACTACTCCAAGAAGTTGTTGCGCGACTTGATTGCATTGCGCGCCAAGCGCACGTATTGACTTTTCGTCTTCGCTCAGCAAGACGCCGGATGGAGGATCGGGTGGCGTCACCCGCGACACCCAGGCTTGCAAGTGGTCCGTCAGGCTGTCTATCTCCAAATGGTCCTCGCTTATGCCGATATGATAAACTTGATGTGCCGAGGAAACCAATTTCTTGATCGTCTCAACGAACTGCAGAATGTTTCCTGCCAAGCTGACGGCTGCCAATGCTTCCATTTTCCTGGACTTGGAGAGTAAGGCATGTCAAGCCCTGTTGAATCGGACGTATACTCGGACGTATACGGAATAGAAGCGAAACCAGTTGAATTGAAAAGTTCAAATGTGAATGAGAATCGACAGCTTCTATCGGTCTCAGCATCAGCATTGAGTCGAGACCGTGCTGACGAAAGCTGCTTCCTCATGGCGGGGCTGCAAATAAGCATTGCGGCCCAAGGTAGCACGAGGACAACGCCGGCTGCCTGCTGCCAAGCCTAGGTACTCCGTAATCACAATCTACATCCAATGAGACACTGTACCCGTGGGTCTCGGTTCTTCTTACCCACTACTAGCACAGTGGGGTACAGTACTAAGCCTAATCGTAATCTAGTAATAATCTTTCTATCCTCTTATAGTCCTTTATAATTATAAATAAATATTATTATTAAAAAAGCTTATTTAAGTATAATATTAAGAGATTGATAATTATATTTTAAAAGTAATTTTTAATTAATTATTTTATATTATTATAACTTATTAATATTATTTTTTATTAAACTTTTTTTAATTTATTTTTTTTAAAGAATCTTAAAGTTTAATTAAAAATTTTTATTTATATTTACTTTTTTTTAAAAAAATTAAACTTAATTATTAATTCTTATTACTTTAAATTATTTATAATTTATTTAATATTAATTCTTAATAATAAAATCTAAGAATTAAATATTTATTTAAAAATTCCTTTTAAAAATTTATAAAAGAAATATATTTTATATAATTAATTCTACTATTTTCTATTTTTAATAACACTTTATTAATTATTAATTAATATTTAATTAATTTTTTATAAAGCTAGTAGATAAAAAGACCCTCTAAATCTACCGAGATAATTATCCTTAGTCGTTAAGACGGTGCCCCTTAACCTTATCCATATATCGTAAGGCTGAGGCTATAAGCACCTATTATATTATAACTACTATTATCAACACTATATTCTTTCTAAGCGCTAGGTCTTAAGTACTTACCACTGTATGAAGGCACCAAGTATATCCTTAGATATATACGGAATAGAAGCGAAACCACATAATTATCCTTGTTGGACCTGTGGTCATCTAGACAATACCCTTCTGTCCTGGCTCCTACGCGCAGCTATCGTAGGGTACTCGCGACTTGCGATTCACATCCGCCCCGTGCTCTAAAAGGATCTCGACCGCAGCCTCGAATCCTGTGTTAATTGCTAGATGGAGCGGCGTGTTGCAGCCGTCATCATACCCGTCGACCACGGCTGGGTCATCAGCGCAGTGCTTGAGTAAGATCTGCAGAATGGCCCGCCTCCGGAGCAGCATCGCCCAATGTAGCGCCGACCGTCTCTGGCTGTCCACAGTGGCGACGCGGGCACCGCGTGATAACAATGCAGTCACTACTTCTTCATGGCCAGCCTTGGCGGCGTGCATCAGGGGTGTCTTTTTTTGTTATTCTTTTGCCCAAGTTAGCTCCGTTTGTTCTTCCAAGGTTGTTCTCTCAGCCAGGGTAATTGAGGCCATAACTCACCAGACCCTCGCCGTCCCCCTCTTCACAGTCGACATCGTTACGCTGTAGCAGCATGATTACGATCCTCTTGTGTCCCGCTTGTGCCGCAATGTTGAGAGGACTCTGCCAGTTCTCGTCATTGTCGTTTCCCTTCCCCTTCTCTCCTTCGCAATCGTTGTTGGTTTGTTTTGTACGATATTGAATGGAGGAGCTGGCACCCCCCCGAGGATGTTAAAGGAGTTTCTTTCCCAGCGGATGAGGCGATCATCTTTGATGATGCACTGGCGCTGCTGGAGTCATTGGGGGTGTTATCCCGCCTACGGTCTCCAGTGCCCATGTTCAAGGTGATGATGTCGTCCAGTACCACATTTCCCGAAAATCCGAATTGGCAGAATGAAGGTGCCTTTTGTTCATCTGGTCTTGCGGTGAGAGCAGATACGTCAACCTCAAATGCTGGGATGAGGTCGTCGGCGGTGGTTATGGACAGATTATGAGGCATCAGCGACGACGCGCTAGGTTCGGCGCTCGTTGTTGGCAGCCAGTCGGAGGGTGTGGCCACCACGACGTCCGGCCCGTTGGCATCATGACTGTCAGCATAGCCGGGACTAAAGTATTGCAGCTCAGGCGTCGCTTTCTGCCGGCCGTTTCTCTCTAAAGGCGGCCGGCACATTCGGGTCAGCTTTAGCCACGGCACCAGACTAATAAGCCGTAGGATAGATCGATCTTGGCACGGCAGGGCCCGGCCCTCGAGAAGTGGTGCAACCTGAACATGGGGACATGGAGCAGGCAGTGGAATGCGGACTTACGACGAAATCGGCGCTGGGCGAGGCGTTTTTGCTTGCGCCGGCGATCGAGGGCTTCGTCAGTATCCATGGTTTCTTATCCTGGGTTGCTTGTAGCTGTGGAACAGGCGACATGAGGCTTTACCTCACACTTCTCTACCGTTCTACTTTCCCAAGCATATGAAAAGGTTGAGAGGTCGTGAGCTTACTCCATGCCTCCTTACAGTTATTCAAGCTCGTCACGTGATTTAAAACAACCAAGATCCTTATCGACGGGAACAACCAAACCGACAGAACCGAGCCAACGGCATGCTCGTTGAGAATTCGGTTGCCATTTTTCCTACTCTTGAGTTGGACGGGACGGCCGGCATGGATCAGGGCGTTGAGGTTGTGATGCCCTTCGAGACGCACGACTTGGAAATGTTGTGCCAGGATCCGGATCTGGCAAGATTTTTCAAGTTCAGGGGATACGAAAGAAGGTGATTATATAGATTAGAGTAGTAGTCTTACATTGTGAAGTATAAAGGTCGTATACAGTGCCCTTGACTAAGCTTACTTTAAAAAAAATATTACTTCCAAGGTTGGCAGTCCTCCAGAGGGCAGATGTAACTTGTGGGAAGGCAGTAAGTGGGTGATCTGCTGGAGATGATGGTCCGGTGTCAAGAAGGGCGGCGGCTGCAATACGCATGGTCTTGAATTGATTTTCAACCTAGAACTGCAAGTAGAACAAAATTTAAACAAATATGGGGCAAAGGCATCGTCAAAGGAGCACAGGGCTAGATTGTTCAAAGGGCACGGGCAGATGGGATCATAGTGTAGAAGCTCTTCGGAGGTTCAAATGTTCTCTTTGTACAATGTCATTTTGCATCTATAGAGGTATCAAGGACCCGAACGCCGTAAAGTGATTTGAAATGAACCCCCTAGAAAGCGTCTGGGGTCTACCCAGCCATGAAAAGAAGATACGATACTCCCAGTCGCCGACGAGCCCGAGCCCAGTCTATAAAATAAGACCGACTTGCATTGCCTCTAAAGGAATGCCAGAACGCAGCCAACAACACCAAGAAGGACCGAGCTGCCAACCTTAGTGGCACTCAGATCCACAGCGCCGGAAGCAGAATCGTCCGTGGACGCGCTCGAGGCAGACGAAGATGAAGATGACGAGCCGGACGAACCATCGCCGCCCGCTGAGGAAGAGGAAGACGAAGTCGGCGATAGGGAGACTGTGACGTTCGAGGTGGATGACGGCCTCGTCAAGCTGGAGCCGTTGCCGTACGGAGCCGAGCCGGAAATGCCGGACGCACCGCCCGACGCGCCAGGGCGGACAGACGCGGTGCCCGAAGCATTCGAAGGCGTGGAGGGAGACGGAGGAACGGAGCCAGCGTCCCCGGACGACTGGGTGACGTCGGTGTCGCCGAGCACGATGGACTCGGCCGAGCCGGTCAGGTCGCCGTAGGTGTATGACTTTGCCGGGTTGTAGTGGGTGATGTCGACGCTCTTGATGTACGCCGTGAAGGGCCCCTCGTCGTAGTTGGTCTCGCCGCCGGCCCACTGGATCGTGCCCGCGGGGTTGCCCGGGTCGCCGCCGGCCCAGATGCCGAGCTTGACGCGCATGGGCGTCTGCGGGTAGTTTGCGCCGCCGTTGGCGTCGGCGTAGGCCATCGTGCGGACCGGCTCGCCGTCGATCATCCAGGTCGTGCTCTCCTTAGCCCACACGATGGTGTAGTTGTGGAAGTCGGCCTGGGAGTCGGCCATCTGCACGTAGGTCTCGCGGTCGTACGTGGACGTGTTGCCCTTGCCGAAGTAGTTTGTCTCGACCTCGGCCGCGGTGCCGCCGAGCCACTCCCAGTCGATCTCGTCCAGGTCGTCGGACTCGAGGATTGCAGAGGACACGATCCCGGTCCCTGGGGCGGCCTTCATCACGACAGAAACAGCCCCGAAGAAGATGTAGAAGTTGGACTGGACGGTGGGGGCGTCGCCCGACTTGGTGATTGTGTAGGCGGCGCCATTCTTGTCGTCGTAGGTGAGAGTTCCGTAGGTGATGTTCCAGTCGTCGCTTGCCCCCTTGGTGAAGTCCACGCTGTATGAAGCCTGGTCGAGGCCTTTGTCTGGAGGACAAGTCTCTGCGCACTCATGTTAGCATGCCGTCTGTGGTCTTGTTTGCATGGCTGCCCAGGAAGTGCTCACTCTTTGTAGGGTCGCAGTCTGTAAAGGTCTGAGCTGACGCTGTGGACAGGAGAGAGAGACCAGCGGCAATGAAAATGGAAGAATGCATCTTGCCGGATATGAAGGAGAGTGATGAGTATATCCTGGCTATGGAAGAAAGCAAGTCAAGGATTGGGGACCAGCCTGGAGTAGGGAATGACAAGAATAGCGAGCGAAGGGATGGATATTCACTCGAGAAACAAGATAAACAAAACCAAACAATTTTTTTAGAACTCGGGTTTCAAACAACGAGTTAATCGAACAACTTGAATGAGTGGGTGAATGGAAGCAGACATGGCCATCAATAAGTCATTCCCACCCGGGGGGCAGGTCCACTTTTTGATGCCGCAGTTAAACAAGCTTACCCAACGCCCGGACGCCGGCACTGGTGGTGAATAAGCAAGCGGCTAATGCAGGGAAGATGGGAGTCCTCACGGGAGCATAACTTGAGTAGCGGCTGAGCCCCTGAGCCCCAAACGCCCTGTCCTGGCAGCCCCGGTCGTCTCTGAACACCACTGGTGCAGAGGCGGTGCGTGGCGGGAGGGGCCCCAGTTTTTCAGGGGAAACCTTCAAGGACAAGCATGTCTAGATCGACGACAGTGACGACCCGAGGCGGCCGGGATCCAATCGACCCTGCCAAGACTGCGCCTCCCGAGACGTTAGCCCCTGTCAGAATCGGACGAATCAGTGGCTGAGAATGCATGCTCTCTCCACAAGCTCGCAACCCGAGCAATGCGAGCTGGCCTCCTGCGTGAATATGGGACGTCACATGTGCACGGTATGTTCTCCTGGCCCGACACTGCTAGCAGTGAATGAGATTACGTGAACCTTTGTGCAGCCGGGCCGTCGGGCGGCGGTAATTTCAACAACTTTGGTGAGTCATGGTGTTGATTTCGAAGGTCTCGTGTCAAGACAAATTGCAATGGCCCGTCTGTGGATCCGCCCGATCCTCAATTCTGCCCAGGTGGTGGATTGATTTCAGGCTGCCTGCCCTACGGTACGCAAGTCCAGTAACGACCCGAATATCTTCAAACTGGATTTTGGGGTGCCTACCTAATTTCCTGGATACTCTGACTGTCCTGAAAAGAGTGGATCACAAATCCCTGGTCAGATCCCCCGGAATCAGTTTGTATGCTCCTTTGGCGGACTCATTGGGGCGGAGTTGGGATCTTGAGGAACACGGCAATTAGAATCTTGGGGCATCGCGCGAGGCAAGGCGCTCCACAGTCGGTGTCTGCGAGATCTAGAGACATCAGGCCAGAACAAGGAGACAGTCTGATATCCTCCAACGCCTTGATTCACATCTTCAAACTACTTAGTTGACGCAGAGCCGCGGTGAGGGCAGTCATGAGTGACTTACAGGCAGTGAAGCCATGTAACAGACTGACTAATAACTGGTAGGGGCTGCAATGGAATGGCGTACCCAAGGGCGTTGAGACGTTCACTGAGTACAAGGATAAGATTGCAGCTGGCGAGGACACTCACCCAGAGTAGTGAAGCGCTGCATTCGGCACAGCCTGACATTACTTTAATTTCTTTCGTGCAGAAAAGCGGTTGAACTCAATGACCCCGGGAATCTCCTGTCTTGCGTAGGTGACTCGCCATAACGTAGCATGATGAAACCCTACCTCTTATTGCGCTCGGAATGGCATCGTACCGAAATGAAAGTCCTGACCAATTTTTATATTATGTCACTACAAATTCAATCTACGCTCTCCGTGTTGAAGGCAATTCGATCGTGTCATCTGCCTTAACACACTGGAACTGTTTCACTCTCGAGCTCCTTCTTCATGGCCAACGTTCTCATAGTGTCCGGATGTTTCTCCCCGAGGCTCGCCGTCTGGATTTCCAAACACAATTTGAACAAGGGTCCCGCATCCGTGATGCGGCCGCGAAGGCCGAAATTCTGTGCAAGATTGGAAGCAGTCCTCAGCGTGGCAGGATGTCTGTCACCCAAAAGACGGGTCTGCGTGGCGAGGACGCTCTGCAATTCTGCAGCCGGTGATTCGAGGTCCCCTGGCCGGAGCTCTTGGGCCACCAGCGCAAGGTTCATCCTCGTGAGGAGAGCGTCAGGGTGGTTGCGGCTGAGGCTCTCAGTCTGGTCTTGCAGCACCTTCAACCAGAGAGCTTCTGCATCCTTGTAGCGTCCCTGCTCAGCGGATCTTCGCGCCAGGTCATTCTGCATGCGCAAAAGGTCTGCATTGAGGCCGCCGCTCCCGTGGGTGGTCTCCATGATCTTGACAGTCTCCAGGTAAAGCTTGTCAGCCTCTGCGTGCTCCCCGTTGGCGTCGAGCGCCAGGGCGAGGTTGAACTGCTGGCGCACCGTGTCCCGGTGCTGTGGGCCGTAGTTGGCCCGGCACCAGTCCACAATCTGCTTGAGCGACTTGACGTTGTCTTCGGTGCAGTCCACGCGGCGATGAGCACCCAGCACGGAATTGCTCATGCTGCGGACGTCGTCAGCTTTGGACTTGGGGCTGATTGTGATGGCCTTCGTACCTGGCGAGTCGTCGCGGTGGCCGGCCGGTGGCGACCCGTCCTTCTCTCTGGAGCGTCGTCGTTGGGCTTTCCCATGGTCTTTTTGAGTGCTCTCGAGTAGCTTCCTGGCATCTTTCTCCAGTTTCCTGGTTCCCTCAGATCTCTTTTCTCCCTTTCTGCATAACTCTATACACTGCTCGAGCAGCTTCATAGCGCTGTCGCGATTACCAACACGTCTTTCATATGCGCCGAGTCTGAAGAGGAGTTGAGCCTTTTTGTGGTTTGCCTCCGGTGACTCGACTGCAAGCCGCAATGCCGCAAAGGCGCATGGCTTAAGAGCCCTGCACTTGATGTTGTCTTCAGTCTCATGCGATGGAAACGCATTAGTCACCAGTCCCAACGCCGCCTCGTCAAGAAATCCGGCGTCATCAGACTGGCTGCTGACCATTGAGTTGGCCAAAAGTCGTATCATGGGGGTCACACGCGCATCCCTCTTGTTCACTGAGATCTCCAGCATGTCGTGCTTTTTCAACGCCTTTGTGTGCTTCTCCCGTTCTGACTTGTCATCGAAGCGGGTATCGATCAGGAAGACTGGTATGCTTTGAACGTCCAGTCGACACAGTATGTGAAGCAATTCGGCGGCTTCGTTGTGTTTCGCTCTTAATTGGGCGTACAGAGGTTTCCAAATTCCTAGCACGTGTCGTATGTGGTCATTTGCCTGTGTCTGATTCTCGATGTTGTCTTTGATGGAGGTCTGGATGACATCGCACAGATCCTTCCACGAGAAATCGGGACCAAAAGTCTCCTTATATGCGCGGACTAGTGCCAGCGCCCCAGCTGACCCTTGGAGAGCGTCCACGATCTTCGGCTGGTACTTCATAGACGAGGATGCCTTCATCTTGCTGCCAGAGAGAAGAAGTTGTAAGGCGTCGTCTTTGGTCAAATTCTTGGAAAGCTCAACAATGTACTTGTGTTGACTGATCACCCTGGTGGCCATGCGTTTGGACCTAGTCGTTACGAGCACCTGACCTCCATAGGTGTGCCCATCTGGAATATAGTCGAGGATCGACTGCAGGGAATCAGGATCGTTCCCATGTGGGTTGGCTGTTGGTTTGTCCGTGTCGCCAATTGACTTGTCCTGATCTAAGCCATCGACGATCATGAGCCACTCTCCGCTTTCTCCCTGAGCCATGTAGTCCCTCACGGCTCCCATGACGTTGCCTTTTCTCCCAGATTTCAGCTTCAACTTGTCATTGATGGCATAATAGGACAGCTCAAAGTCCGCTGCGTTGCTGGCATTTACGCAATATATCTTGGCCTCTGGGTTCTGTTTGTGGAATCGATCTGCGTACTCAACTGCGACGTGTGTTTTTCTATGTTTTCTATTGTTATTGAACAGGCCTTGATCATCTGTAAGAGAGGAAGGATCTCGGGCCTTACCCAGAGCCGCAAGCTCCGACGAGCACCACCTTTGACGAGTGTTCAAAGTGGGATTGGATCTTCTCCAGTATGCCGTCACGAGGCGCGAACCCTTTTGCGACAGAGAATGGCAACATGGGGATCGATTTGTGAGCTTGCGAGTCAGTCTGTTGATTGAAGTTGCCCGATATACTGCCTAAACCGAAGAAACTCACTCATTAGTGTATTCGGGACTTGGCGGAGCCATGTTGAAGACGTACCATGCATTGCTGCTCTTCTCTGCTTCATAAGGTCCTCCGATTTCTCCCCCATCTTCTTCAGCTCTCTAACGACCTTCTTGTAGTTGTCATTCTTGTTGCTGCTAAACTTGTTCATGTTAAAATGGTCTGTTGTCAGGCCCACCCTTCTATAACCGACGAGGCAAGCCGAAGACTCGTTCACCACAAACTCTGGCAGCTTGTCGTCCAGGTTCGCTATGACGCCGATTTGTGTAGGACGCTTCTCAAAGAAGCAAAATATCTCAGGCCCAGGTGCCTGTTGCTTTACATCTACTACGAAGTCATCAACAGTCTCGACAAGGACCGTGTTGTCGTGAGCGATAGTCTTCAAGAGGCTATCGTCGGTCTGCAAATTTTGCTGCCGGATTGTTTCGTATATGTCGCCAAGTGATGCCATGTTGGAGATACTGCTTCCATAGTGTGGAGTGCCCAGGAAGACCATCCCTGTAATCGAGTCGTAGATGCTGGGATACTCGCTTGAACGACGTCGAGACTGCAAATACATCTGCTGCATCACAAGACCCCCATAGCAGTGGCCTATGAGGAGAATCGGACGACGATCGCAATCCTGTACTTCCAGGATTAGCATTCTCGTTAGCGTCCGAAGTAGTCATGAAACGAACCTTCCGCTGTTCACAGAGGTCCATCAGAACTTCTGTCGCAATTCCACCCAGTCTTTGCTTTGGAGGGGCGTCCCCGAACCAAAAAGAGTCATATCCGAATGTCATTATGCGCGCATTAGGAAAGAGTGACGGAAGCATTGTATCGTCGCTCAGCCACTTCACCCTGGAAACTTTGGACTTGTCCTGAGGGTCCTGAGGGTCGGGTTCGTAGTATGTCCAGGTACTCTCAGGATTGGTCCCAATACCAGGCACAGCCAAAATGCTAGATTGGCGGTTTTCCAGTCAGTGCGGTGCTTAAATCCAGGGCATCGTGGATATTTACGGACTCTATATCGATGTCATCTTCGTTTTCTGGCTGATATCGAATCTTGATGCCTAGATCCTCAGGAGCAATCTTCCTGACAGTGACTTGGCGAACAGTTGTTCCTGACGCTTCTTTTGTCTGCGCAGCGGTTGCTCCGGCCATGTTCGTTGTCATCTGAGGCGCTGGTGTCTTCTGGGTAGGAGTTTCTTTGGCCACGTTTGTGGCCGATTGGGATGCACTGGAATTATTCATTGCTGCTTAAGTGGCAGGGCTTGAGAGTTGTAAAATTGCGTGTTTCTTACTGAAGAGGATTAGAAGACTCAGTCAGGAGGAGGGGTGAATTCAAATAGAGACACGCATTGACGAATGACTGGAGCCGCCTCTGGCTGATATTGAAAGCCTTCTACATAAATAGAAGATTCAATCCCCTTTCCAGATTGAGCCTCGGGCTTACACAGCCTAGTCCACCGGCGAAGAGCGCAGCATACATTCGATTCGGCCCCTGAGCTGTTCAAACATGGATGGGGCCAATACAGAAGCTGAAGAAATCCGCCTAGATGCAACCATCCCATGCGGCTCCTCTTGCAATATGTCTACACTAACGGTGCTTCCCAATTCAGAGACTCCGATAGTGAGGCTCAAATTACTCAGCACGGTGTCTGTGAGGCCTGTTGTCTTCTTTGCAACCTGACTGACATCTTAGCCTCTGCCAAGATACTCTGCGCCCCACCCGTCGTCAAAAGGCCTAATTCGGGCCCGAGAGGAACGCCACTACTACGTGGTGGCTGATTGTTGCCTTGCAGCAGGCTGACCACACCCAAACTTCAACTTCAGGGAAATATTTTCTCGACCTGTTCCGGAAATCCAATGACGACCCTGATTTGATGGCTGGTCACCCAGCAGTCGGTCCCTTATTAGGCGACAATAGCCGATATGCATCCAAAGTTATTTCTGGTTCACCGGCTGGTGTGGCTGCATATGCCAGTGTGCTGACAACTTGTTTTTTTTCTCTCTCAAGAAACTCAAGCAGTCTTTCTATTGGTTGCCTTCATTTCATGATTGGTCAGTAGAGCGGTGGATCCTACAACCGTAGTAAGCGACATGCATCAGACTCGTGGCTGCTGGCTTGCTTGACTAGACATGTGCTGCTACAGTTGGCGCCTTGCATGACCTGACTTCAAGGGATTTCTGGGGGCCCATCATTTCTGACGCACTAACCAATAGCATCAGTACAGCAGACTACCCTTGGGTACAACAATACTACCCCGTTGTATACCAGGAGTACAACGGTCTTTGAGCCGCAACTCTGCTAGGGTACTTAGGCAGACTCATGAGATGGTCATCTGGATAGTTGGGTACCTTGACATACTGCATCTCAGCTCGGGCAGCCAAAATGCGAAAATCTTGACCGATAATACACATCATGAGGCCTGACATTTTTTTCTGGAAATCAACCTTACACGGGTGCTCACTGAAAGGATGAAAGCGCTCTCAGATATATCATTATGACAGTGCAACTATGTCGACATCATGACTGACCACAATTCACTCCCGGTGCCATCGGTTCCACCCACTGTGGCCGACTACAAACCATTATTGCCCATCTTTTAGCAATAATTTTGCTTCTCCAAACTGAGTAGAGACTCGAACCTATCCCGGGAAATGGCTCCTCCTGTCCCATTCATCGAGGAGGATCAGCTCTTCCTCGATGGCCATTTAGAAACGGTCCCAGGGCACCCCTACCTCAAGTTATCCGACTCAGCCTCCGTGTCTCGGTTCCTGCAATTGGAGCTATCTACGGAACGGCTAAGGGATGTGTACTCCATACTCTTCCTGACGTCTAAGCCGCGAAACATCAGCCCATTACACCACCAAGCCCTCAAGGGTCGCAAGATCATCATCACGGAACAGGCTGACTTGCACCTTGTCACATACCCGGGCAGGATCCTGATTAAGCCTTTACCGCTGTGGCTGCTCAGCCATGCCTTCTACCAAACTCAGCTCGTTCACCCCCGCGCAGGTGCTGGCGACCTGGCCGGGGAGGCCCACGGGTTCCTTCGGACTTACGCGAGCCTCATACAGCACGAGTCCGACTTGTCTATCGCCAAGAAGGAAAACCTCATTCCTAGGTACATCAAGTGGGACGCCTGGTGTCGCTTCATCAACCAGCTCAAGTATCCCTTCAAGGTCTCCTCCGAGCGCGTCGAGACCGAGGTCCGCAAGTCGCGTAACAGCGGAGAAGCGCTCCTGGTCGACGCCGTGCCTCTCTACAGCGACTCGCTCGTCTCCCCGCGCTATCACTATGGCGAGATCGGCCTGATCCGTCTCAACCTTTGGTGCTTCCTCACGTTCCGCGAGTGGGAGTACCTGCCTGTGCACTATGATTACGCCGCCTACTTTGCTCGGTACCTTGCGCCGTGCCTTTTCGTCTTCGGCGCCTTGACTGTGATCTTGTCGGCGATGCAGGTAGACATTGCCGCTCACCCTATGGATTCGACATATATCCGATACTCCTCACGCTTCGTTGGGCTCACTGTCGCACTCACGATCATCAGTTGTGTGTTCTTCCCTGCCTTATATATCTTCTTCGCTGCCCGCGAGCTCTACTTTTATTTTGTATACTTCCGGCCTCAGCTCTGAGTTATCAGAGTGATAGGAGACATGCTTGGGGTCTTGATGAAAGCTACGGTCGCGAGTTAGGTCTCGAAAGATGGAAATATTAGCAGCCGCGTGGTGTGAACGTATTAGTGTCATGTTATTACGATTACGCTGTGGCTCATCTCCTATAACGCCAATCTCCTAGAATACAATCTTCTGCAATCCAACTCCCTATCATGACTCATGTGGAAAACTTACACCCCGATCCTCTTTCTGTTCTTTTCGTCAAAATATTTCATGGCCGCCTTCATCCTGAGCGTCTGCTGATCAGCATGGACTTTCTCCATTTGCAAATCATGACCTTGTCGCTTGTTCGCAATCTGTGCCCTCATCAGCCCTTTCATTTGGTCGTTCTGCTTTTTCTTGAACGCCAACTTCTGCTTCTCTCCCGAAGTCTTCAGCGACTGCATCTTCTTTGCCTCTGCCAGCTTTCTCTTAGCCGCCTGTTGAGCCAGCATGTTCTGCCTGCGCTGCCTCGCCTCCTTCTGGGCTGAAATGTTCTTCTCAAAGTTCATCTTTAGCGCCTGTTCTCGCTGGAGCTTGCTTTCCGACAACGCATTCATCCTCATCTTCTTCGTTTCTTCGAACTTGGCCTTCTCCATGGCCCACCGCTGCTGAGACTGAGCCATCTGAGCCTGCATCTCCAGCTTCTGCCCGTGGCTGTCTGCTGTGTGCATTCGCTTCTGCATGTGCGTAAACTCGGCCTGCTGCCGCTTCTGCTCTTCCATCTCGCGCTGGTGCAGCAGCTTTTCCTCGTGGTGGAGCCGCTCCAGTTCGCGTTGCACCGCTGCCTCGTGCGCCTTGCGGATGATGCTCCTTTCATGCTTCTCCTCCTCTTGGAGCAACTTGTGTTCTTGTTCTTTACGCTTGAGCTCGGCTTTGGCGATATGCTCCGGCATCCCCACAACATCTTCAGGCTGATCCCGGCCTTCCTCAGCAAAGAACCGGTCTGGGCATCGCATGCGATACAGAAGTTCCAAAAGGGCATTCTTGTGCTGCTCCGGGCCATGGGACCAGCCCAGTTTGAGATACATGGTTGGGGACACGTATGTGGGTGCCCCTGTCTCAGGATCAAGCTCACAATAAGTGTTTGTCTCCTTGTTCACGACCTTCCACATCGCGACGTCCAGGAGAGCTTTGCATACTAAGAAGCAGCCGCCGTCCTGGTTGTCCAGAGCGAGGAAAATCGCATTCTTGTGGCCAGGAGCGTTCATATCCCGGAGAAGCTCGATCTTGTCTTCCTTGTCTATTCTGGTGGCGAGTGACTTGATTGTGTCTTCAAGCTGGCCTGCCTGAGACTTGGTAGGCCGTGCCAACAAAGCCAGCTCCTGGATTGCGTCCCGTCCATCGTGGTATTTGTCGCTGCTTGGATAGTTGGGACTGTGCCCCGCTTCTCTCAGTAGCTGAACCGCGTCGCTGTGCAAATTTCGTGCGGCCTCATGCAAACTCCCGTCGTTGACCCGAGATTTAGCCTTGATCAGCGCTTTGATGGCATCTACGTTCCCCACGCGGGCTGCATAGAATAGTGCTGATCTGTCGAATTGATCTTTTGCCGAGACTCTGGCTTTTTTCTTGATCAGCTTGGCGACAATATCGCCACGGTCGTATTTGGCGGCGAGAATTAGGGGAGTGGCACCCGAAATCGCCGAAGTGTAGTTCACCTTAGCTCCGTCACTATCGATGAGTGCACCTATCGTATCTGAAGATATCCGGTTCTCGGTAAAGCAGACCGCCCAAAGCAATGGATTTGCCGGCTCAGCCTGAACCTCCTCGTCGTCGTACAAATGCAGGTATGTCTCAGGCTCCATATCACACCCAAGATCCGCAAGCCTTTTTACAAGGCGGGGAGAGTCAGGGTGCATCATAATGCAGCAGAAGATCGGAGCCAAGCTTCCACGATTTGAGACAAGAGCCTGGACATCGGGAAGAGGCGCTCCATCCCGTGGCCTCACTAATACATCAAGCGCCTGCAGAATGATGTTGTCGTCCTTCAGCTGATCAGTAGTTATTGTTTCCGCAAATGCCTGTGTCATGGAGTCTCGAGAAGGAGAGCACTCTGCTTGGATGGCAATGTTGAGAATGTGGTCCAAAATGGTGGGGTTCCCGCGGCGGATAGCAACCTTCAATACTTCACCGTCCTGATGGTTGACATTGGCATGCCCGTCTCCAACCGTCATCAGTGTCTCAATGATGTCTTGGGAAACTCCTTGGACTCCGACGACTTGCAGAAGGACTTCATTGGCATACTCAGATCCCGCACCCGACTCCAGGAGCAGGGTGATCAACTCTAGCGCGTCCTCACCGGCCGCTTTGGCAGGGTCGCTCGAGGCAGATAGGAGAGCCAGACCAAAGACTTCAGAGCCGACATAATCATAAAGAAGCTCGACTGCTTTCATAACATGGTGTCTTGCTGCCTGGCAAAATGCGGCCTCAACCACCTTGCCCCTGGCGCCGTTTTGAAGCAGAAGCTTGGCAACCGAAATGCCATCGGACATAAGCCAACGTGGACTGTCCGTAAGAGCGTCGAAAGCTTCTTCATATATTTGGGGAGAGTTGACGTAGCGAGAAAAAAGCTCGACAATGTCCACGTAGAAGTGTTTGGCGGCAACTGCCATAGCCTGGCCTCCCAACCGGGCTGGAGAAGCGCCATACTTCAACATCAGCTCGCAGAGACTCTTTCCGGCGTGGCCGAGGGCGGCTGCACCGACTAGAGCTTTGTCATAGAGTGATTGATCCACCTTCCCACTCTGAAGTAACAGCTGATAGACCGTCATCTGGAATTCGGCGTCGGCCACTTTCTGGACTTCGGTCCACGCGGAAGTGATCGTAGCATGGGACGGTCTCCCGAGTTTGACGAGGGCCTGGACCTGTTCGAAACAGCCTGAACGAACCGCAGACACAAGTGGTCTTCCACATGCTATGTCTACAGAGCTGTGGGATAGGATCATGCATGTTAAGTTGACGTGTTCCTGGCCCAGTTTCGCAGATAGTGTGAGAGCCTCATCGACAGGAGGGCCGCGGGCCCCGGTTTCGAGAAGCATCTTTATCGCAGCATATCTCGTGCGAGCGTCTTTCACGCCGATTGCTCGCGGGACAGCTTTACTTAATGAAGAAACTGATGGACGATGCTGGATTAGCAAGTCCAGAACATCTATCAGCCCGGAGCCTGCGGCCAGTTGGACTGCTTCCCCTCCGTGGTGATCAACATCGGCGGCACCTTGGCCCAAGAACAGCTTGACGAAGTCGTAATAACTCCGGTAAGCTTCCATTGGGACAGGGAGTTGAGCTGAACAGGTGCATAAAACCCGGATGCAAGACACGAGGACTTCGGAGACTGCCACGTCCCCATGGAGGCCGCTTTGTAGCAGTTGGCCGGCGATCGCCAGCCCAGCCGCCTGATTTTGTAATCCCAAAGCTCGCGTGATCCCTTGCGTCTTTTGGGTCCTGCTCGGACCACGCGAAAATGACAAAATAGTCTTGACAATTTCCGGCCGCTCTGTGGAGATGGCAGCGTGAATGATTGCTGTACCGGCATCCCCATCTTTGAATACTGAGACGTTTTGTCTTGCAAAGATTTCCAAGACATTCAACTGACCGCTTTGAATAGCCTTGATGAGCGTTCGACACGTGCCTTTTCCAGAGGCTCCGGCTGCCAGGCATAGTTCAAGAACATGGTAGTGGGCTTCCACCTGTTGGCTGCCTTCGAACCTCTGGTATGCCAGCTCTACCGCATTGTCGAGAGTTCCTGACGAGGCCCTGGGGCCTTGGTCGGGCACCTCGGTGGTGAGCACTTTGACCAGATCAGCTCGATCGCTCTGGACGGCAGACAACAACGCCCCAGAGCCCTGCGACGTGACATCGGCGCCGTTGTGGACCAATGATTGCGTCCTTCTCAGACAACCCTGATTGACGGCGTGGAGAAGGGCCAGGTTCAAGCAGCTTTGGCACGGCCGTCGAGTCTTCGAGATTGCTACCACAGCATGGAGCGTCTCAAAGGATCCCGACTGAACAACGTTCTGAAACTCTTCACAGAGAGGCGCGGCATTCGCTCCTGCAGCCATAACGAACTGAACCTTGACCGGGTCATTAGTCCTCATGGCCACTGGCAAGGCCTTGCTCCTGGAAGAAAAGTCCGCATGCTGAAGCAGAGTTGCCACAATGTCCGCGTCGCAGTTCTGGACAGCTTGGCTGAGGAGGTCCGTCGAGTGAAGGACGTCAGTCTGATCGATCCCCGCAACCTTTTTGAACAGGCTGCTGCTTCTTCGCTTGGCGACGGACAGACTAGCATCATGGTCGTTAAGGAGGACTTCGACGACACCCGCAGTCACGCCTTGTTGTCTATCCAGTCTCCCGGATACGATATCCGTCAAGACAGGGCTCGACTCTTTGGATGAGAATGGTTTGGAGTGAGTCTTGCCCTGTTTCTGCCGTTCCTGCATCATCAGCCGTACGGCAGTGGCTTTGTCATTGTCGGTCGGGGCAAATTTCCGCGGGGATGAGTGTGCAGAAAATCCTGTGGAAGACAGCGGTGGAGATAGAACCCTCGGAGTACCAAAGCTCAGGTCGCTCATAGTGGTTGAAGACATCGAGGATACTCGTGAGGATGGAAATGTGGTCGCATTGCTCGCCAGGCCAGGCGAAGAGAAGGAAGAAACGCACGACATTCTGCCAGTAGACGGTGGGGAGAGAGTTGGACTCTGTGACAGCCTGGAGCCGTTTAGTGACAGCATGGACAGGCTGCTGTTCAAATTGGACTGGGATCCAGGTGTATCCATTTTGAACTGATTTGTTGGAGGTTTTCGTGAGTTGGGCTCCCTGGAGAGACTAAGGTAACTTTTGATCAAGCATGTATGTTTGCACTTAGAACTTAGAAACTGGCTCTACAGATGGACATGATGACACACAAACTTTTTATCGCAGATGGAGATTTGACTCTAGGATTATTAGACTGACTAGAACTCCGAAAATAGCATCTAGGAAACATCCACACAGGCACTCCTCTCTCCGCTGCCAGAATTTCCACTCACCTACATGAGGCTCTGCTGATACCCGAGAATGGGTAACTGTCTTGGCAGGGCTCAGGTACATTGTGGTACTTGGGATACAAGGCTCTGCCAAATGGTACATACGGTGAGACCTTGCAGCCATTGACGTTAGTAATGCAGCCACTTGAAGGCTGCGTGGCTCCTGCTGACACACCTGGCTTGCATCGATTGCAAAGTGTGTGTCCGCCAAAGGAAAGGCTCACTTCTTGGCGAACCCAAATTGTGATAGACCGGCAAGCTGAAAACTGAAGATCAGGGTTGCGCGGGATGCAAATCCAGGCTATTGGCGTTGAACGCAATCCTTGATGCAGCAAACCTGTCATCTTGTTTGCCGGTCGACGAAAGAGGAGACTCCGACCCTGCCTTGCCAATGAATGTTCACCACACTTCCGCCGGGCGACATAGGTCGTGGAACATCAAAGTTTTCTAAAATTAAACTCTAGGCAGCACAATAGATGATGAGGCTCAGTTCGCATCATGACTATCTTCAGTCGTACCCGCAGGGTGGTGTGCAGCAGCATGTGAGGGCGGTGAGCTTTTGCACTTTGAGCCGCCTATTCCACTTTTGTCATCGATGTAACGACCATCAGCCCTCTGAGCGTATCTGAAGCAGGGGATCGTTGAGTAGGTTCCGTCGCTTAATCATGTCTCTTAGTTAAGTACCTTTGCCTACGCTGGACGACCAAGAAATTGCAGGTCGGCTCCGAAGCGTGTAAGAAATTATTCGCGCGTGTACGCAACCTTTCTCGTTGTTGTCTCGTGATATCCGAGTCTTGCGTATTATATTCCTATTTCCATACCTAGAAGTCGCCATCGTACATCCAAGTCCTCACATCAGGGCAAAGAACCTCAGCTACAGACGAGCATCCCGATAACTAGATCCGTACAACCTGTATTTGCCAACATTGGCAAGAAGCACAGCGTACAACCCTCTTCTCTACTTTTCCTCGAGACATTAGCACAGTCCAGAGATAATGTCTTCATCCAAAGTCCTCAACCCACAGTGTCACCACTCTGAGCAGTATGAAATCAGCACAGATGGAGAACCAGTCCCGGAGCTTCCCTACCCAAGTCGTCTCGGCTTCCTCCAAACCACTGAATCCGGAACAACAATCCGCTTCATCGACCTGAACAAGAATCTTTGCCGAAACTGTTGCGACTCGCTTATTCCCGACGGCAAGTATCTTGTGTGGTCTGTCCTCGCTGGTGCCAGCGCAGCCAATGTTGTCGCGACACTTGCAGCACTCGTTCCGGGTGATGGGCACTTTCCACCAATTCTTAAGGCTGGATCAGAACTCAAGGACACACTGAAGAATGTTTCTTTATCCATCCCAGACCTTCCTGAAGCGGAAGAGGCATGGAAATGGCTAGAAACCCAAGATAAGCCATTCTATATCGACCAACTCCATATGGTAGTCGGTCGTAATATGACTCCTCTAGCTCGGAAACGAGCGGCAAAGGACTCTGCGGTGGCATTGCGGTACGGCGAGGTTTTCAACCCCGATCTAGTACGATCACTCTCTACGACATCTCATTTCCGGGTTGACCAGCATGTTCAGCTTGATCAGGGGACGCAGGATACAAGCGATTTCGCACCGCCGGTGAAGGAGAAGACGGTGTCGAAGAAGTCATCTACCAACAAGAAATCGGATGGGAAGAAGTCGAAAGAGGAGAAGCCGTCCAAGAAGAATTCAGTCAAGAAGTCCGACGAGAAGCAGTCCGACGGGAAGCCGTCCAAGAACAAGTCAGAAGATACGGTGTCAGATGAGAAGAGCTCCATAAAGAAGAGCAAAAAGAATAAAAATGACAAAAAGGACAAAGAGGGTGCTCAGCCTACAGAGGTCATCTCCTCTCCGGAAAAACAAGTCTCGGAGTCTTCAACTGTGTTACGGAAGCCCAAAGACAGACTTGAAGCCAGTGGCGAGCCCTGCAAGACAATATCCACGGATACTTTGAACGAAGTCGCTTCGATATCCGGAACTATCTCCACACCGAATCTCACCCCTGAGCCAAAAAAATTGAAATCCAACCCCGGTGGCGCTACTAATGCATCAACAAGCGCCGTTGACACAAAGGGCGCCAGCTTGGACATCGATGCAACCCCAGGCATGACAACGACGGTGAAAACGTTCAGCAGAAGCTGGGCATGGTCTGAGCCCTTCGAATTTGCCACTGGTACCAGGAAGGTGCCGGCACTGAGCGACTATGAGAGGGTGGCTGAATCACGAGCGCCACCTCAACACACAGCCAACTCGCTATATAACTTTTTTCGACAAGACTTGGAGTTGGACGCGCCTCGCAAATTACTTGGCCCCGGTGACTTTACCCACACGGCCTCAAGAGATATTTCGTCGTCTCTTATGAAACCCCCCACAGCTTCGCAGCTCTCAGAATCCAAGGCGAGCGGTTCAAAAGGTCACGGTAACGAATCTTCCGCAAAGAAGACAAACAAAGATTCGGACGCGAAAAGCAAACCGAAAAAATCGACTGTCGATTCTTCACACTCTGGCTCCTCAGAAAGCGCCAAGCCAGCCAAATCCCAGGAAATGGGTCAGTGGAAAAGCCCTGAAAGGTCTACCACCAGCAAAAAGATGGGCCAACTAGGCCTGGGGTATGCGAGTAATTCATCTCAAGACAGGAAAAGCGAGCAATCCAAGGCAAAGATCCACAATGACACGTCTTCGACGAGCAGTCACCAAGCCAATAGTAAATCCGTGGCCAGGACCCAAGAGATTCATGAAAAGTCTATCAAGGTTAAGTCGTCATCGGATGGGCCTGGAATCTTCTCTGATCTCAGCAAAGCCGGGGCGAACTATTTTGCACACAAATTGAATGAGGCAACAGAGAAGACACACAAGAAAGACAAGGATGAAAAAGATAAGCTGTCAAAGCCAGATCACAAGCCTCAGGGTCAATCTGAGCCTGAATTCCATGAGCCTTCACAGGGGAATGGCCCGAGACCCTCTGAGGAAACAGGAGCGAACCAGACTCAGCCGAGCCCTGCTGAGCAACCTGGTACCAATCAACCCTCTGATGCGCCAACCCAGGACGACCTTCCGGATGAGGCCGGTCCGACAACTCAGGCCGACCCAATAAGTCAGGCTGGCGTGTCAACTCAAACTGGTCCGCCCATTGGGACAGGCCCTTCAGTCGAGACGCAGCCTCCAGTCACTATCGGCCACAGTGACTCCACACAGTCTGGGCAAATCGCTGGGACAGGTGGACCTGTGGAGACTGTGCTCGCTGCTGAGGGCAACATGTCTCTACAGGCTAGTGCCCAAGGTTCTTCGGATCTATGTCCTCCATCACAGCTTCCATCACAAGCAGGAGGCGCATTCACCTCGAACCAGCCCACCAGTGTGTCTGCCACACCTGTGAACAACACCATGATGGTGGCAGCCGAGTCTCCTGCTCCAGCTCGCACAGGCGAACGAATTGTTATGCCTTCATATCAGGCAGCAGCAGGCTTTCCAACGCCGCCGAATGGCCTCGGGACTGGAAGCCCTATGAGCCAGTCTGTTAAATATCCACATAACCGTGGAGACGGTCACCACGCAATTGATAATTTGATTGAGGGCGAACCTCTCTTAAATCAACCTGCTACTCACGCATCGTTAGAACGACCGTTCTCTGGGGATGGAATTGGTGTGTCCGGCAATAGCATAACATCTACCAAGCCTATACAGGAGCCAATCAAGACCGGTAATACGCCATCTGACATGTCAAGTCCAGAAGTTACGGGCGCACCGGCAAGTTCTGGGTTAGGTATGCCTCAGTCTTCAATGGACCAGGCTCACCCTGGCAGGACAACTTTCGCACCGGGGCTGAAGCCTTTGCATCCAAGTGCCTCGAACCTCCCCAACGAAGAGAACGAGCTGTCTGGACGCCAGCCAGAGAAGAACCTCGAAATGAGCCCTGGCGCTGGTTCTGGAGCTGAAGATCACGACCACACAGCGGGACAAGAACCCAAGCGATCTCACACGAAGCTTGGCGGCCAAACAGGACACGAAAAGCCAGGTCGCAAACCAAAAATACACCCGTCTAAGATCAAGCCAGAACACCACCCCAAGCGTCCAAACGCTGGCAGTAGCCACAAACGCCCCTCCGGCGTTGGTGTTGCAGCTGGCGTATTAGCCGGGGTCGCCCTTGGAGCTACAGTAGCAGCTGTTGCCGCAAACACAGGGTCAGATGACGACTCGAGCTCCGACAGTGACAGTGACAAGGAATCAACCCATTCAGAGTGGAGTGGGGATGACGATGGGAGCGTCTCAGAGGCTAACGATGAAAATGACTCTTTAGAAGGCGAGTCCATGGCCGAGGAGGATCAGTCCGATGACTCAGGGGACGAGACCCCCGGTGATGACGAGGAAGATACAAGTGCCGGTGAAAGTGATGGCGGCGAAGACCAGGATTTGGCAGCATCTGATTCGGACTCGGAAGGTAACAGCAGCCCAGAGCAAGCTGATGATTCAGGGAGTGAAGGCTTAAACAGCGATGATGACGATGAGGACGTCAGTGTGGGAAACAATTCTTCCGAGGGCGAGAACTCTGAGTCCGAGAGCGAGGCTTCTGGTAATGAAAGTGAAGCCAGCAGCAACGAAGATACAGACCAGGACTCATCTGGGCTGGAGGACAACAGCGATGAAGACCCCGAGGAATCTTCTTCGGATGCCGGGGACGACGAAAGTGGCGAAGAGGACGGTGGGGATACGGAGCAAGAGGCTTCGAGCAATGAAGAAAACAGTGACCTTGACGATGATGAGGTCAGTGACAGCCAGGAGTTTTCTGATGATGACTGATCAGGCGGTGGAAATGGAAATGGAGAGGAGTCTGGTCAACAGCAAGCAGAGCAGTAGGTACATAGCACCGTAGTCTCAATTATCAAATCAAACAGAGCGAGTCCAATTGTTGCACGAGACCTTTGGCTGTCTTGCAATCCGGGACCCAAATTAGCAACTGGCAGTTAAAACTGTCTTCACTAAGAAGCTGAGGAGCTATACCGGTATCCTTATAGTAGTGTAGAAAATGGTTTGCTAAACTGCTTCCATTGAAGTTCAAGTTTCGGTGCACCAGTGTCCGATTTATTTACATCAGTATTACTGCGAGAAAATAGTGACTTTGGAAAGCTTTACAGGTCTTCGAGCGCATAGAGACCATTGTCTCTTTTGTTGAAATATGAAGACGACTCTTGTACGGAGCAGATAGGGCTAGGAGCGTGAGACATTTAAAAGTATGTTTGACACGTATCGTCCATCACCTGCAGCGCGCCAATAATACAGTAAACATTAGCCGCAGGCACATCGTACCTAGGTAATCATTGAACATCTGCATAGCCTCATCTCACGAAGTCAGGCTTCCATCGAGGCGAAAAAGCCGGACTTTGGAAAAGTCTGCAGACTCTTCAAACGCTGGGGGTAGGCCTTTGATCCAAAGCCTTCAGTGACGATGACAGTCGGAACGTAACTACTTCTTTGGCTTTGGCTGCAGTTTTTGTGTCTTTTGCCAGGCCACGGTATGAGACTTCAAAAATTTGCGCACCTCGACCTTGTCAAGACATTGGTCAATGAGTGCCATCTCAGCGTTCTCACCAGGCTTGGTTGGATCCTCATCCCGCAGAGCTCCTTTGATAGCCCATTCTTGAATCCAGAGCTTGCCCTTGGACCAACCAGCAACACCATCCTTCTCCGTGTAGACAAAACCCTTGAGTGCCTCTGAGTTATATCGGTATTCATCTTCGTCGTTTATCCTGGATTGCTCCAGCCTCCATTGCACCGAAGGATGGATGTACTCGTTGGTTTGGCCCAGGTCTGTCAACAATTTGTAGGGTTCGGCGGATCTGTCGTCGCAAGCACCGGGTGTTCTGGTCGCTGGAAATGACATGCCTTTATACATGAGGGTGTAACTGTCCTGGGGCCGGAACAACGCCCAGTGGGTCGGCTGATAGGGTGGGTTCGCGATGACACTGTAGCAGTAGCTTCTGACCAGCTTCTCCTTCAGGGCTGCATTGTTATCTGCGCCTGCAAACAATGAGCCAACCCATCTGCCAGCTGAGCCTACAGCTCCGGTAACGGTTCCGGTAACGGCTCCAATGGCTTTTTTCACAGTGCCTGGAGCATCTTGCCATGTTCCTTTGGTCTGTTCGTCAACGTCTGCGATCATCGCGTTCACATAGCCGACGATTGTAGCGTTGGTAAAATCTTCAAAGGCAAGATATGGCTTACACATCTCCACCATCCAAGCAAAGGTGATGTTGGCCAAACCTGAGACATTTCAGTCAGATTATCACTGGTCTACGGTTGGAGATCGGGAGAGTTGGGTACAGATACGACATGGGAGCACTGACCTTCGAGATCTGTCTTTGCATCATCCGTACCTCCACCGACATTGATATGGACACCTGGCATACCAGTCAGCGGCTGAAGTTTTGTCCTCAAGGTTCACAAATTACCTGTAAACCAAACTTGTACCAGATCCGGCTTCCGAGTCTTCCTCAACTCCTCTAGCTCCCGATCGACCTCTGCGCGGTGCTCGGTCAATTCGGGCCAGTCTTCTTCATCCTTCTTCATTGCTGTCTTCTCCTCTTCGACCACGTTGTCGTTCGGAATGTAGTATAACGTGGGAAGAAAAGGTTGACGGCGATCGTCCAGTGCCAGTGCGTGAAATGCGTGTTTGATATCTGTTAAATAATTAGCCCAAGCATTTGGGACTCAGCAAGGATTTCAGCTGCTCACATGGATTCCACTTGACATTCAGCCATTCGTATTGTTGCCGACTTGATGCATGACTGCGCAGGTACGTATCGGCAAGCCCAAGGCTTCCCACTGTGTCAAAGACACCAACTACCTCGACCGAGCGTGACCCCTCCCACTCGATCGTCCCCTTGGCCGTGTCGTACCATGGAATCTTGGGGTATGTGGTCCCTTTCTGGCTCTCTGGAACAAGTGGGGCCTTACCAGCGAACCATTCGAAATATTCCTTGGTCTTTCGGAAGGTGTACTTGCTGGTGTTGGTCTTATATGCTGCAAACAAGGATGCAAAGTGTCGCATCTCAGAAGGTTTGATCACGCCAAAGTCAGTGATCATACCGGCAATGGCTCGCGCGGTGAATGCACCTCGGGAAAAACCAAAGCAATAAATCTTGTCGCCAGGCGAATAGTTGTTGACCACGAAGTTGTAGCCTTCAATCACGTTGGCTACCAAGCCATCACCCGTAGCGCCCTGGCGGTTGGATTCGAGCCAAGACAAGGAGCCAGTGCCCACGCCTGCGTCGTAGAAGACTATCTGCTGCCAGATAGTGCCATCTTGATCCATGCCGGCCTTAGCGATAGTCCTAGCTATTCTGGTGATGTTGGATGGCAGATTATGCTTTCCGGAAACTGAAGACTGCCATGTGCCATCACAGCACACAATAATCTTTTTTAGAAGACCATCAACAGCCTTAAGGGGAGTGTCTACCAGTCCAGCTTTGAGAGCCAATTTTTTCCCATTTTTATAAAACCTTTTACCTTAAATAACACCTTATTATCCCTAATAAAGGAAAAGGTTATTCTATAAGTATTAAAATATAACTTTAAAAGCTAATATTTTCCTATTTTTAAAGAAGGTTTTACCTAAAATAATACCTTATTATCCTTAATAAAAAAAAAGGTTATTCTATAATTATTAAAATATAGCTTTAAAAGAGAATATTTAACTATTTTTAAAAAGGTATTATATATAAATCTTTTTTATCCCTAATAAAAAAGGCCTTATTATTATCCTACTTTTTATAATCCTTATTACCCTTATCCTTATTTATATAATTCTTATTACTATTATTTTAAACCTTATTAATATTAATATTATTTCTAATAGTTATAAAATTTTTTTCTATTTAATAACTTCCTTTTTCTCTTTAAATATTATAGGTTTAATATTAGTATTTATTAAAACCTTTTTATTTATAATACCTATTAAATTTAAAGGTATATTTACTTTAAATTTAAGTTAATTTTTATTAATACCTTTCTTATTTTCTTATAGTTAAAAATACTATTATAATAGTTTTATTTAAACTTCTACTTATTAAATATAATATATATAATATATCCCTTCTTTTAAATTAAAAGGTATTATTCTTACTAAAATTACACTTTTATATAATTAAATAACTCTTTAATTTTAATATTAATAAAATTAATAACTTTATATTAATACTATTATTAATAGTAATATTAAATTAAATAATTTAATTTTTATAAAGTTTACCTTTAATATATTTATTCTAATTAACCTTATAGTTTATTTTATAATTATATATAATAATAATATTCCTTAAAAGATTAGTTTTTAAATTTTATAATATAATTTAAATTAATTATAAAATAATATAAAATACTTTCTTTATATCTAATAGAATCTCTTTTAATATTAAATTTATATTTATAAAATAAATATTAATATTTTTCTTTTCTAATTATTATTATATTTAATAGCTTTAACCTTTATAATTTTATATATTATTATAAAATTAGTAATCTATTTTATTTTACTTTAAATATATTAATTTTAATAATTATTATATAATAGAATACCCTAACTTTTAATTCTAATATTAACTTATTATTTTATAAATACTATTAACCTAATAAATATCCTATTATCTTTATATTTATATAATTTAATTATATTTAAAATAATAGAATTTAATATATTCTTTCCTATCCTCTTTATTAACCTTTATATATATTTTATAAGTATTTATATTTAAATAATTTTAAAACTAATTTAAATATTTATAAAATAATACTTATATTTATAAATTATAATTAAAAACTTTTATTATTAATTAAAATATAAATATTCTTAAGGTAATTTTAAAATAATATTAACTTTTAAATAACTTATTTAAAATAAAACTATATTTTTAAAATAATTATAATATAAATAATATAAATAAAAAGGTAATACTAATAACCTTATTTAATCTACCCTTTTTTAAAGTAGACATTTATATTATAATATACTACCTTTATATTCTTATTAAAGAACTTTAACCTATAAATATAATATTTAATTATCTAAATATTATACTTTTATTTAAATATTCCTAAAATATACCTATAATAAACTTAATATTATTAAAATATATACTATAAATAAATATAACTAATTTATCTTTATTATTAAATAGTTTATTATATAATAAATTAAAAATTTTAATATTATAATAAAATAAACTAAATATAATTATATCTAATAATTATATATTAAATTAATTAAATCATTTTATACTCATTACCTTACTAATTTTCTAAAAGGGTCCCTTAAAGAGAATTTATAAAAGATTATAAAACTAAAGTAAAAATAATAAAATAATAAGAATTTATAATTTTATTTATTTACCTAATATTAAGTAATATATTCTATATATTATTATTAAAAAGCCTATTAAATAAAATAACTTAATATAGAAAACCAAACTCTTAATTAAAAGTATTTATTTTTATACTTTATAAAGCCTATAAATATAACTATATTTAATAGTCCTTTAATAATAATAATAAAATAAAGTAAGTAATATACTTATAGTAATAGTAAAAACCCTTTTAATTTAAAATTAAATACTTAACCTCTTATATAAACTTTTATTTAATTAATAAAGGTTAAAATAAAATAATTCAACCTTTTAATAATAATATAAATACTCTTACTAATAATATACTATATAATATAAAATAACTACTTTTAATAAAATAAAAGGTTTATTTTATATAACCTATATAAATTAATACCCTTATTATATTAATTATAAAAACTTAATTTAATTTATAAATTAAAATTATTAAAATTATATTTAAAATATTTTAAAATAATATAATTTATTATATAAAATATATATAGTATTTTATTAAAAGTAATAATTCCTTAAATTTATAAAAAAGAGTTTATAAAATTTAAAAATAAATTAATATTTATATTTAATATAAACTTTATTATCTTTAAAAATATTTACCTTAAAATAATTAATTTATATTTTTAAAAACTTTTATAATTCTTTAAAACTTTATTAAACTTTTATCTTATAAAATTTATAACCTCTCCTATATAAAATATCTTAAGAATATTCTAATAATCTTTAATTAAAAGCCCTTCTAATAGATATAATAAGTTATATAATCTTTTTCTATAAAACTATAAAAACTTTAAATAATTATTATATTATTAAAAGTTTTAATAAATTAATTTATTTAAATTTTATATTTTAACTAAAATATTATTTAATCCTTAAAAACTTTTAATAACTTTATAGTAATTATAAAATTTATAAAAACCTTATACTACTTTTAATAAAATTTAAAAGAAAGTTATAATTATAATATTAATAATAAAATAATAATATAATATACTATAAATTATAATAAATAATAAAACTATATTTAAGTTTAAATTTAATAATAATAATAAAAGTATATAAATAATCTTATTATATAATTAAAGTTATACTTTTATAAAAGATTGGTATAATTACCTACTATATTTATAAACTAACCTTTAAAATAATTAAGAATATAATTTATATATCTATTTTTATTAACCTTATTAAACTCCTTATTATACTTTTTATCTTAAAGGATTTTTTAAAATATTTATTATAAATATAATATCTCTTAATATAATTTAATAATATTATAAAAATAACTTATTATTTACTTTAAGATAATTATTTAATACTATAATATAAATATATCTACCTTTAATATAAAAATACTTCTTTCCTTTTAATTTTTATAATACTTAATAATAGTTTAATATATATTAAAATATACATTATAATTAATATATAAAAATAAAATAATACTTCTCTACTATATTATTATTAAATAAACTTATAATATTATTATTAAAATTAATTATAATTTAAATATTAATACCTTTATTTACTTAAAACCTTTTAATTATAATAAATATATTATTTATAATTAAATTATTAATTTAAAATAATTACTAAATTTCTTTTATTATTAACTTTAATATATAAATAATAAATTTAATTTATTTAATAATTAAATTAATTATACTAATAATAAAATATAAATACCTATTATACCTTTAATTAATTTTATTCTATAATATATAAAAGCTTTTAAAGTATTACTTTATTATAAACTTTTAATTATATAAAATTTATATTAAAAACTATTATTAATAAAGAGCTTTTATAATATAATATACCTCTTATTATTACTATTAAACTCCTTTTAAAATATAATAGCTATACCCTATATAGCTTTACTATTATAATATAGCTCTCTTTATCTAAACTTATAGGCTTTTACTAAAAATATTAATTATAAAATAAGTAATAAAGAAGGTATTCTCCTAACTCTAATTATATTATTTATATATTTATAAAAATATAATATACTACCTTAAGATAAATAACCTATATAAGTTAAAGTTAATTTATTTAAACTTCTTTTATATAAAAAAGTAACCTATAACCTACTAATTATAATTAAAAACCTAATATATTTAATTTAAATACTATTAAAAGTTTATTTATAATAATTATTATATTATAATATAATATTATATTTTAATCTTATTACTAATAATTATAATAAAATAATTTTAATTATAAAAAATAATATAATATAAAATAATATTACTTTTAATTAAAGTCTTTTATTTTATTAAAAGACTATTTTTACTCTTATTAAATTTAAGATTAATTAAAGAAAGGAATATATTATTATATTTAAAAACTAACTTTAAATTAAAGAAAAGATTATCTTTATTAAACTATTTATAATTTTAAAGGTTAAGGTAAAGATTATATATTAATATTATATAATTTTAAGATATAGCATTTAAGCACAAATCCTTATATAAAAGTTAACCTTATAAAGCTTATAATACTACCTTTAATATTTAAATATAAATAGTTTATATACTTAATAATATTTCCTTTAACTTAATATATTTATAATATTTATACTTTTAATAAGGTTATTTAAGTATTTAATAATTTTAAAAGGTTTAATAATAGATTTATTACTTTAATACCTTACTTATTTATTTCTTAATTAGAAAATACTACTTAATACTTTTAAATAAATTACTATTATATTAAATATAATCCTAAAGTAATATACTTATTAATATTAATTATTAATACTTATTATATTTTTAATAATATATTTAAATTAATTTTTATTACTTAACTAGTTTCTATTATTAATAATAATCTTCTTTATAGTAATCTTTAAATAATATCTTTAAATACTTTAATTATAAAACTTATAATATATTTCTATCCTTTATTACCT